TATTTGGGTTAGCCTACGTGCACTTCGATTAATCTTTTGTCTGAACCAATCAAAAGCATGTCATTTACGCAAGAGACTAAAAAATTTAAGAAAAATAAATCTATCACGACTTGGTCCTAGAAAAATTATTAAGTTTCCAATTCAGTAAGAATCTATAATTCCACTGGATTTTATTTTATACCCATAATTATTTTATAATCACATAAAATATTATTTATTCTAGCTCCCTTGTGGGATGTTAACTAACTACAAATTCAATAATATCGATTAGTTGGAGGAATACATTGATAGTATTTAAAAAAAATTTAACGACACAATTTGAGGTTTTTAAATTTTAAGAAATTATTACAAAAATGATTATTAACTCCATAAAAGACAAATAGGGCTCGTTTTAAAAAAAAACAAAATTCATGTGGAAAAAAAAGGTAAAAAGTAGCATCTGTCATCTAAAGGAGCATTGATAAAATATACTATCAATTCCCCAAAATTATAAAAAAATAAAACTGAAAAATATGTTGGTAGGCAATTTTCCTTAATTTTTTTTTTAAATTGTTAAAGAAATGAGTTGTAAGTAAGCTCGCCAATGGATCGAATAATTCGTTTTGAACATGATTAGTCAGATATTGTTTGATAATTTTTTTTAATAGATTATCTAAAATCGAACTTAAATTCGATATCTTTTATTTCATGAATTTTTATTTATTTATTTATTTTTATATTTCATGAATTTAAATTTGAATATACATATATTTAATTTTATTATGATTCGATTCAAAATATTTATATATTTTTATATAAATATTAAAGAAATTAAATGGTTATTTGAAGAAATTTAATTAAAATTTAGATATGATTTATTAAGATTTAGTTAAATTAAGTTATTCAAATTAAATTAAATTTTTAAATCAAATTTTAAATTATTAACAGATTTGAATATAAATAAATAAAATTAATTGAATTATCGAATTCGAATGAATTTAAATTCGACGCATTGAGAGCTCTAGTCGTGGGTTTACCGGGGTCAAATAGAACCGGTCTGGCACTGGCAGGCGGTTTTCCCACCGGTCGGGTTACGGTCCATACTCTCTTTTAATTGGCGAAAGCATTCCAGTCTAGCATTGCATCAGCAATCGCCATTTCCAATTTTCTCTCTCTTCCCACCTTCTTCTCCGTCGAGTCGTCGACTCAGAGAGCGACTGTCAGAGACGACAGATATGAGCGGACACGACTCCAAGTACTTCTCCACTACGAAAAAGGGCGAAATCCCTGAGCTCAAGGAAGAACTCAATTCTCAGTACAAGGTCCGTCCCCTCTCTCTATATTCATATTTGTGCAGACATATATGCCATATAATATACTCATGCGTATTTTTTTAGCTGATTTGCTAGCTCTGTATTCGATCTGCTGCGATTATGCTTGTGATTTAACTTGTATTGTGTTTCCACTACCTATTAACACAAGTTATGATCAGATCTATTGAATTTTGTATTCGATTTACGAATCATATGTTGGTAGGCTTCCACTGAATTGCGTTTTACATCCGTACATTTTCTGGATTCATGTTACTTGATGTGATTTATGCCGATGGAAACGCATAATGTTATCTTGCGGTTATGGAGGAAAACGAAAAAATAATAGGAATTAGAAATAAAAATAGCTGGTGTATTTTAGTCTTTCATTTTAAGTTAGAAAAATTCGCCTCAGTACTGTTCAATTAGAATCAGTTAAGTGCAGATTCTCTTTTCTTGTTTGTTAAACAATGAAATGCCAATTAAAATTGTATAATATGATGGAGTTTAATGTGTCTATTGTGCAGTTTTCCACATGGACTTCTATCCCGGTTTTAACAATTTGTTTTACCCATAGACAAAGATATTATTGTCATACTAAGTTATTTGATTCTTTCCAACTGGTTGTAGGAAAAACTTGATGTTTGTTTAATCCATGACTGGTATTTGCTTAAATTTCACCATGTGATGATTGTACAGACTTATTCTCTAATTGGAGGAAAAAGAGATAACCTTCTAAAACGATGGGCTTGAGTGCATAATTAATTATGGGCTGCTTCACTGCTTTATGACATAAATGATACTCTTCATATCTACTATGTTGTGCAACAGATTGAATGCTGCTCTTCTTTTTTCTGTGTCATGCAGGATAAGAGAAAAGATGCTGTTAAAAAAGTTATTGCTGCCATGACTGTTGGGAAGGACGTTTCATCACTGTTTACTGATGTAGTGAATTGCATGCAAACTGAAAACTTAGAACTCAAGAAGCTTGTCTATTTGTATCTTATTAATTATGCTAAAAGCCAGCCAGACCTAGCAATTCTTGCAGTAAATACATTTGTGAAGGTAAGAACAATGATAAAAGTTTGGTCTCTTAACTTTCAACATGCTTCAATCATTTAGAATATAAGCGTTAAAATATGTTCATACACCATTTTCATTTGTTAAATTGATTATGGGGACTAAACTGGGTGTTATGTTTTCATTGAATATGCCATCATCCTTATATAAGCAAATTAAATAAGTGTTGCCTTAATGCTTAGCTTCCCCTAGGGTGATCAATCAACATATATCATTTTTTTTTAAAAAAAAAAATTGGGGGGGATAACATCATTGAAACCCACAAAGGAAATAATCATCATTTGCTGGAGAGGACTCCATTGGCAATCTTTCATCAATTGTCCATGGTAGCTTGGTTGGCAAAATCAATTTGCTTGATTCATTGGAGAAGCTTATATTCTGTGATGCAGGAACAACAAATAGGAAAATCAAGTTACCAGCAATTGCTGGGAATTTGATTCCAGAATTTTCTATATTCTGATTTGGTTAGAGTTAATAGAAAACTAGGGACCTATTCTTGAGCCACAGCAGATTTTCAGTTCAGATGGTTTCCATTCTGATTACTATGTAGTGAGTGGGCCAAGTTTTGGGGTGTGTTGGATTAATGTCTGCAACATCAACTTTTCTGTTGTTTGATAATTAAGATTGTAGTGTGCAACATCAACTTTAATTTTCGTTCATATATTCTACCTCTGCCTTTTGTGGATCAAGAGATACCTTGCTTTTCTCTGATGCAGGGAAGTTATACCATGTTTATTCATTTTCTCTGAATCTTTTGACTTGTTTTTTCCATATGCCAAAAAATTGCTTCAATGTCTTTCTAATAGTTTGCAAAATTATGAGTGTTTTTGCAGGATTCACAGGACCCAAATCCTTTGATCCGTGCTTTGGCCGTACGGACGATGGGATGCATTCGTGTTGATAAAATCACAGAATATCTATGTGATCCCCTTCAGAGGTGTCTCAAGGTTTATTTTTATTTTTCATCATACACATGTCGTTCTCTGTTGGAACCTACTTTCATGCTTTACCATTTCCCGGGTTATCTTTGGTTGTTTTCTTGCAGCAATGCTGTACATTTTTTAGTTAAATTACATATAACATCCATTTTTTTACGGAAAACACTGCAATGTACGTTGAANCCCCCCCCCCCACCAAAAAAAAAAAAGAACAAGGAAAAAACAAAGAGGAAAGGTTACGATGCTTGGTGAGATGTCAACAGCAAACAGCCAATGAGTACATTTTTAGATTGACTATCAGATTCAATTTGCCATGTAACCAAACTTCAGATCCATTTACCATTGAGACACAATGCACTCATGTTTCCGCAAAGTTCAAACCATACAAATGGATGAGCACACTGCACAGAAACAAGACTGGATGGCATGGCAGTCTACACCACGCTGAAAATCATGCCAAGAGAACAAAAACATGCTTATGCATAATCCTCACTGGTTGCATTCCCACAATGTCTCACTACAGAGCAAAATATGCCAACACTTCAAGTAATTTCCCAATACCAGATTAATCCTGTGGTTTCCAACCATTTCCAAGAAAATAAAAAAAACAGTTAGCACAAACCCCAGTAAAGAACAATACAAACACCAGAATAAACATAACATTCTGATAAAAACCACAGATATTAACAATAATAAAGGACCTCAGTGGAAATCCTTGCTCTGGATATAACCTCATCCTTGAGCAACCTCTTCAACACCTGCACATAACCATAAGTTAGGGGGTTTACCAGCCCAGTCTCCCAATTCATCCCAATTAAAAGAAGAAAAAAAAGATCAGAGAAGGCCAAACTATCTTGCCTCTGGAAATGGGGATTCGATAAAGTACCGATTCTTCTTAAGTACAAGCTTCACTTTGCCATAATTGGCAGTAGAAGCCTGTATGAAGTCAATCGTCTCTTTGGGAAGCTTGGTCTTTGACAATTTATTCAAAACAGCTATGATGGTCTCAGTTTCAAGACCAACTGACACCGCGGCATATAAGGAGTGAGGTGTCAGGTTGTATTCGTGCATCGACTCTGGNAATCCTGTGGTTTCCAACCATTTCCAAGAAAATAAAAAAAACAGTTAGCACAAACCCAGTAAAGAACAATACAAACACCACAATAAACATAACATTCCNAACCCCAGTAAAGAACAATACAAACACCAGAATAAACATAACATTCTGATAAAAACCACAGATATTAACAATAATAAAGGACCTCAGTGGAAATCCTTGCTCTGGATATAACCTCATCCTTGAGCAACCTCTTCAACACCTGCACATAACCATAAGTTAGGGGGTTTACCAGCCCAGTCTCCCAATTCATCCCAATTAAAAGAAGAAAAAAAAGATCAGAGAAGGCCAAACTATCTTGCCTCTGGAAATGGGGATTCGATAAAGTACCGATTCTTCTTAAGTACAAGCTTCACTTTGCCATAATTGGCAGTAGAAGCCTGTATGAAGTCAATCGTCTCTTTGGGAAGCTTGGTCTTTGACAATTTATTCAAAACAGCTATGATGGTCTCAGTTTCAAGACCAACTGACACTGCGGCATATAAGGAGTGAGGTGTCAGGTTGTATTCGTGCATCGACTCTGACCTATACATCAAAATTCACATATAAAAACCCAACAACTGAAACGAATAAAGATTTACGAACATAAATATGCTCGTGTGTGTATTTGGCCCGTAACCTATGGTACCTGCAAACAGGCTCGGCAATGGCAATGAGAAAATCATAAGCTTGTTTGTAGAGAGGAGAGAATGTTTCCAAGAATATTCGGCCATCAGCGCAAGCCCAAAGTGGCCGATTGGCGTGATCGGGTTTAAGTTCCAATTTGGTAAAATCTCTCTTTTTTCCTTCTTTATCACCTCAAATTGATTTCACCCAAATCAATTGAAACAAATCAAACAAAAACTATATTTACAGGCAAATATGCATTATAATACATTTATATACCATCGCGACAATCGTTTTCCAATTCTTCAGTATAATATGCATCCTCATCTTCAAAAACTGGAGTTCTTAGGTCCTCCTATATAGAACAACGATGAAAATTATCGTTCTAGTTACATATTATCAGAACAAAACTAGGGCGGTTAGGAGGAGTTGAAGAACCTTGGATGAAAACTTGGGCTTCTTGCTAGGTCGGCCTCTATCACCTGAAAATCAAAGACTACGGTTCATATAAATTGCAAATTGACCGCATAGTTACATGAATATGAATCAATACATACGTAATATTGGTGTAATGTTATGCTTGATTGTATGAACTATGTTTTATACCGAGGCCCATTACTCCGGTATCGGAATTTGACGACGATCGGAATGGAACGATCAATCGTGTCTTCTCAGGGTTTTATGTGCTAGAGTTTACGGGCCAGAGAGAGTAGGGGTTCGACGAAGTCGGATTGGAAGAAGAAATGACACTGAACCACCTAAAGTAATAGGCGGTGATCGCATGGCTACACCTACACGCAGCTGAACGCATGTGCGATTACGGGACAATCTCAATTCACCGACTCACTGGTCCGACTTAGTTGTACTTTTTAAGTTTAATGTCACTTTATCCCCTCAAGGATCTGAAAATTATCACTTTGCTCGTTGAAGATTAATAATTTATCATTGTATGCTTAATTTTATTTCATTTTTTTTATTGCTGTCGTAGGTATTTGGGTTAGCCTACGTGCACTTCGATTAATCTTTTGTCTGAACCAATCAAAAGCATGTCATTTACGCAAGAGACTAAAAAATTTAAGAAAAATAAATCTATCACGACTTGGTCCTAGAAAAATTATTAAGTTTCCAATTCAGTAAGAATCTATAATTCCACTGGATTTTATTTTATACCCATAATTATTTTATAATCACATAAAATATTATTTATTCTAGCTCCCTTGTGGGATGTTAACTAACTACAAATTCAATAATATCGATTAGTTGGAGGAATACATTGATAGTATTTAAAAAAAATTTAACGACACAATTTGAGGTTTTTAAATTTTAAGAAATTATTACAAAAATGATTATTAACTCCATAAAAGACAAATAGGGCTCGTTTTAAAAAAAAACAAAATTCATGTGGAAAAAAAAGGTAAAAAGTAGCATCTGTCATCTAAAGGAGCATTGATAAAATATACTATCAATTCCCCAAAATTATAAAAAAATAAAACTGAAAAATATGTTGGTAGGCAATTTTCCTTAATTTTTTTTTTAAATTGTTAAAGAAATGAGTTGTAAGTAAGCTCGCCAATGGATCGAATAATTCGTTTTGAACATGATTAGTCAGATATTGTTTGATAATTTTTTTTAATAGATTATCTAAAATCGAACTTAAATTCGATATCTTTTATTTCATGAATTTTTATTTATTTATTTATTTTTATATTTCATGAATTTAAATTTGAATATACATATATTTAATTTTATTATGATTCGATTCAAAATATTTATATATTTTTATATAAATATTAAAGAAATTAAATGGTTATTTGAAGAAATTTAATTAAAATTTAGATATGATTTATTAAGATTTAGTTAAATTAAGTTATTCAAATTAAATTAAATTTTTAAATCAAATTTTAAATTATTAACAGATTTGAATATAAATAAATAAAATTAATTGAATTATCGAATTCGAATGAATTTAAATTCGACGCATTGAGAGCTCTAGTCGTGGGTTTACCGGGGTCAAATAGAACCGGTCTGGCACTGGCAGGCGGTTTTCCCACCGGTCGGGTTACGGTCCATACTCTCTTTTAATTGGCGAAAGCATTCCAGTCTAGCATTGCATCAGCAATCGCCATTTCCAATTTTCTCTCTCTTCCCACCTTCTTCTCCGTCGAGTCGTCGACTCAGAGAGCGACTGTCAGAGACGACAGATATGAGCGGACACGACTCCAAGTACTTCTCCACTACGAAAAAGGGCGAAATCCCTGAGCTCAAGGAAGAACTCAATTCTCAGTACAAGGTCCGTCCCCTCTCTCTATATTCATATTTGTGCAGACATATATGCCATATAATATACTCATGCGTATTTTTTTAGCTGATTTGCTAGCTCTGTATTCGATCTGCTGCGATTATGCTTGTGATTTAACTTGTATTGTGTTTCCACTACCTATTAACACAAGTTATGATCAGATCTATTGAATTTTGTATTCGATTTACGAATCATATGTTGGTAGGCTTCCACTGAATTGCGTTTTACATCCGTACATTTTCTGGATTCATGTTACTTGATGTGATTTATGCCGATGGAAACGCATAATGTTATCTTGCGGTTATGGAGGAAAACGAAAAAATAATAGGAATTAGAAATAAAAATAGCTGGTGTATTTTAGTCTTTCATTTTAAGTTAGAAAAATTCGCCTCAGTACTGTTCAATTAGAATCAGTTAAGTGCAGATTCTCTTTTCTTGTTTGTTAAACAATGAAATGCCAATTAAAATTGTATAATATGATGGAGTTTAATGTGTCTATTGTGCAGTTTTCCACATGGACTTCTATCCCGGTTTTAACAATTTGTTTTACCCATAGACAAAGATATTATTGCCATACTAAGTTATTTGATTCTTTCCAACTGGTTGTAGGAAAAACTTGATGTTTGTTTAATCCATGACTGGTATTTGCTTAAATTTCACCATGTGATGATTGTACAGACTTATTTTCTAATTGGAGGAAAAAGAGATAACCTTCTAAAACGATGGGCTTGAGTGCATAATTAATTATGGGCTGCTTCACTGCTTTATGACATAAACGATACTCTTCATATCTACTATGTTGTGCAACAGATTGAATGCTGCTCTTCTTTTTTCTGTGTCATGCAGGATAAGAGAAAAGATGCTGTTAAAAAAGTTATTGCTGCCATGACTGTTGGGAAGGACGTTTCATCACTGTTTACTGATGTAGTGAATTGCATGCAAACTGAAAACTTAGAACTCAAGAAGCTTGTCTATTTGTATCTTATTAATTATGCTAAAAGCCAGCCAGACCTAGCAATTCTTGCAGTAAATACATTTGTGAAGGTAAGAACAATGATAAAAGTTTGGTCTCTTAACTTTCAACATGCTTCAATCATTTAGAATATAAGCGTTAAAATATGTTCATACACCATTTTCATTTGTTAAATTGATTATGGGGACTAAACTGGGTGTTATGTTTTCATTGAATATGCCATCATCCTTATATAAGCAAATTAAATAAGTGTTGCCTTAATGCTTAGCTTCCCCTAGGGTGATCAATCAACATATATCATTTTTTTTTAAAAAAAAAAATTGGGGGGGATAACATCATTGAAACCCACAAAGGAAATAATCATCATTTGCTGGAGAGGACTCCATTGGCAATCTTTCATCAATTGTCCATGGTAGCTTGGTTGGCAAAATCAATTTGCTTGATTCATTGGAGAAGCTTATATTCTGTGATGCAGGAACAACAAATAGGAAAATCAAGTTACCAGCAATTGCTGGGAATTTGATTCCAGAATTTTCTATATTCTGATTTGGTTAGAGTTAATAGAAAACTAGGGACCTATTCTTGAGCCACAGCAGATTTTCAGTTCAGATGGTTTCCATTCTGATTACTATGTAGTGAGTGGGCCAAGTTTTGGGGTGTGTTGGATTAATGTCTGCAACATCAACTTTTCTGTTGTTTGATAATTAAGATTGTAGTGTGCAACATCAACTTTAATTTTCGTTCATATATTCTACCTCTGCCTTTTGTGGATCAAGAGATACCTTGCTTTTCTCTGATGCAGGGAAGTTATACCATGTTTATTCATTTTCTCTGAATCTTTTGACTTGTTTTTTCCATATGCCAAAAAATTGCTTCAATGTCTTTCTAATAGTTTGCAAAATTATGAGTGTTTTTGCAGGATTCACAGGACCCAAATCCTTTGATCCGTGCTTTGGCCGTACGGACGATGGGATGCATTCGTGTTGATAAAATCACAGAATATCTATGTGATCCCCTTCAGAGGTGTCTCAAGGTTTATTTTTATTTTTCATCATACACATGTCGTTCTCTGTTGGAACCTACTTTCATGCTTTACCATTTCCCGGGTTATCTTTGGTTGTTTTCTTGCAGCAATGCTGTACATTTTTTAGTTAAATTACATATAACATCCATTTTTTTACGGAAAACACTGCAATGTACGTTGAAATCTTTGGCTTGGCTATGTCATTTCTTTTACTTCATAACTTACCAGGATGATGATCCATATGTTCGCAAGACGGCAGCTATATGTGTTGCTAAACTTTACGACATAAATGCTGAGCTAGTTGAGGATCGGGGATTTCTGGAAGCTCTCAAGGATTTAATATCTGACAATAATCCAATGGTTGTAGCAAATGCCGTTGCAGCTCTTGCAGAGATTCAAGATAACAGTAGCGGGCCCATCTTTGAGATCACCAGCCACACACTTTCAAAGCTCCTTACTGCCCTAAATGAATGCACCGAGTGAGTTTATGTTTCAAATATTTGTCACTTTGTTCTGTAATCTGAAAAACATATGCTGTTTTTTGACCTTGTGTAACTTGCCATTTTTGGTAAATTGTGCTTGTTTGATTGGTAGAATGAAGCTGAAGTTGCCATTTGTCATTATGTAGCTGATGTTGGTTGAAAATACGTAACATGTTCCCTCAGTTATTGATGAAGGAAAGAGATTATGTTTCAGTTCACTTCTTCCTTCTTTGTTTGTAAAGCATTATAAATTCCATATGTGAATTCGAATGGAGCAGATTGATCATTTATTTACTTCTTATTCATCTTTGAAACAGTTCAGGATATTGACACTAATTATTGTGTTCTTGAAGCTTTACCATCCACTGATTGGCTTTGCTTGTAATATTTCTTGAGCTGCAACTATTGATCATCAAATCTGGTATAATTCACCCCATTGGTCTTTAGTTGGAAGAATACATCATTGATTTTGATGTTCTTGAACATTATGTATTCTTACAATTTTTACATAAGGCGGGAAGATGATATCTTGAGAAGATACATCTAGGGCCCTCAACAAATAGGGGCATCACAAGTTCCGTGAACTTTGTAAGTGATGATAGTTAGATAAGAGTGAAGGTGCAGTAGCCTGGATTTTGTCAGTTGAATGATAGGTACTTCATGCTGAATAGCAATGATGATCGCAATATACTTGTATCTGATCCAAAGTTCTGTTGATTATAGTTGATCAAATGTGGATTTTGTTAAAACTATATGCTATGTTTTTAAGAATTATGTTTGGTTTTGATTTCATATATCTTGGTCATGCATATGTTCTGTGGAACTTCTGCTGAGTACGACCTTCTGTTTTTTTTGCTTGTTGAATGTCAACTATGAANAATTCACCGACTCACTGGTCCGACTTAGTTGTACTTTTTAAGTTTAATGTCACTTTATCCCCTCAAGGATCTGAAAATTATCACTTTGCTCGTTGAAGATTAATAATTTATCATTGTATGCTTAATTTTATTTCATTTTTTTTATTGCTGTCGTAGGNAATTCACCGACTCACTGGTCCGACTTAGTTGTACTTTTTAAGTTTAATGTCACTTTACCCCCTCAAGGATCTGAAAATTATCACTTTGCTCGTTGAAGATTAATAATTTAGCATTGTATGCTTAATTTTATTTCATTTTTTTTTTATTGCTGTCGTAGATATTTGGGTTAGCCTACGTGCACTTCGATTAATCTTTTGTCTGAACCAATCAAAAGCATGTCATTTACGCAAGAGACTAAAAAATTTAAGAAAAATAAATCTATCACGACTTGGTCCTAAAAAAATTATTAAGTTTCCAATTCAGTAAGAATCTCTAATTCCACTGGATTTTATTTTATACCCATAATTATTTTATAATCACATAAAATATTATTTATTCTAGCTCANATTTACGCAAGAGACTAAAAAATTTAAGAAAAATAAATCTATCACGACTTGGTCCTAGAAAAATTATTAAGTTTCCAATTCAGTAAGAATCTATAATTCCACTGGATTTTATTTTATACCCATAATTATTTTATAATCACATAAAATATTATTTATTCTAGCTCCCTTGTGGGATGTTAACTAACTACAAATTCAATAATATCGATTAGTTGGAGGAATACATTGATAGTATTTAAAAAAAATTTAACGACACAATTTGAGGTTTTTAAATTTTAAGAAATTATTACAAAAATGATTATTAACTCCATAAAAGACAAATAGGGCTCGTTTTAAAAAAAAACAAAATTCATGTGGAAAAAAAAGGTAAAAAGTAGCATCTGTCATCTAAAGGAGCATTGATAAAATATACTATCAATTCCCCAAAATTATAAAAAAATAAAACTGAAAAATATGTTGGTAGGCAATTTTCCTTAATTTTTTTTTAAAAATGTTAAAGAAATGAGTTGTAAGTAAGCCCANTATAAAAAAATAAAACTGAAAAATATGTTGGTAGGCAATTTTCCTTAATTTTTTTTTTAAATTGTTAAAGAAATGAGTTGTAAGTAAGCTCGCCAATGGATCGAATAATTCGTTTTGAACATGATTAGTCAGATATTGTTTGATAATTTTTTTTAATAGATTATCTAAAATCGAACTTAAATTCGATATCTTTTATTTCATGAATTTTTATTTATTTATTTATTTTTATATTTCATGAATTTAAATTTGAATATACATATATTTAATTTTATTATGATTCGATTCAAAATATTTATATATTTTTATATAAATATTAAAGAAATTAAATGGTTATTTGAAGAAATTTAATTAAAATTTAGATATGATTTATTAAGATTTAGTTAAATTAAGTTATTCAAATTAAATTAAATTTTTAAATCAAATTTTAAATTATTAACAGATTTGAATATAAATAAATNAATATACATATATTTAATTTTATTATGATTCGATTCAAAATATTTATATATTTTTATGTAAATATTAAAGAAATTAAATGGTTATTTGAAGAAATTTAATTAAAATTTAGATATGATTTATTAAGATTTAGTTAAATTAATTTATTCAAATTAAATTAAATTTTCAAATCAAATTTTAAATTATTAACAGATTTGAATATAAATAAATAAAATTAATTGAATTATCGAATTCGAATGAATTTAAATTCGACGCATTGAGAGCTCTAGTCGTGGGTTTACCGGGGTCAAATAGAACCGGTCTGGCACTGGCAGGCGGTTTTCCCACCGGTCGGGTTACGGTCCATACTCTCTTTTAATTGGCGAAAGCATTCCAGTCTAGCATTGCATCAGCAATCGCCATTTCCAATTTTCTCTCTCTTCCCACCTTCTTCTCCGTCGAGTCGTCGACTCAGAGAGCGACTGTCAGAGACGACAGATATGAGCGGACACGACTCCAAGTACTTCTCCACTACGAAAAAGGGCGAAATCCCTGAGCTCAAGGAAGAACTCAATTCTCAGTACAAGGTCCGTCCCCTCTCTCTATATTCATATTTGTGCAGACATATATGCCATATAATATACTCATGCGTATTTTTTTAGCTGATTTGCTAGCTCTGTATTCGATCTGCTGCGATTATGCTTGTGATTTAACTTGTATTGTGTTTCCACTACCTATTAACACAAGTTATGATCAGATCTATTGAATTTTGTATTCGATTTACGAATCATATGTTGGTAGGCTTCCACTGAATTGCGTTTTACATCCGTACATTTTCTGGATTCATGTTACTTGATGTGATTTATGCCGATGGAAACGCATAATGTTATCTTGCGGTTATGGAGGAAAACGAAAAAATAATAGGAATTAGAAATAAAAATAGCTGGTGTATTTTAGTCTTTCATTTTAAGTTAGAAAAATTCGCCTCAGTACTGTTCAANTTTCGTTCATATATTCTACCTCTGCCTTTTGTGGATCAAGAGATACCTTGCTTTTCTCTGATGCAGGGAAGTTATACCATGTTTATTCATTTTCTCTGAATCTTTTGACTTGTTTTTTCCATATGCCAAAAAATTGCTTCAATGTCTTTCTAATAGTTTGCAAAATTATGAGTGTTTTTGCAGGATTCACAGGACCCAAATCCTTTGATCCGTGCTTTGGCCGTACGGACGATGGGATGCATTCGTGTTGATAAAATCACAGAATATCTATGTGATCCCCTTCAGAGGTGTCTCAAGGTTTATTTTTATTTTTCATCATACACATGTCGTTCTCTGTTGGAACCTACTTTCATGCTTTACCATTTCCCGGGTTATCTTTGGTTGTTTTCTTGCAGCAATGCTGTACATTTTTTTAGTTAAATTACATATAACATCCAATTTTTTACGGAAAACACTGCAACATACGTTGAAATCTTTGGCTTGGCTATGTCATTTCTTTTACTTCATAACTTACCAGGATGATGATCCATATGTTCGCAAGACGGCAGCTATATGTGTTGCTAAACTTTACGACATAAATGCTGAGCTAGTTGAGGATCGGGGGTTTCTGGAAGCTCTCAAGGATTTAATATCTGACAATAATCCAATGGTTGTAGCAAATGCCGTTGCAGCTCTTGCAGAGATTCAAGATAACAGTAGCGGGCCCATCTTTGAGATCACCAGCCACACACTTTCAAAGCTCCTTACTGCCCTAAATGAATGCACCGAGTGAGTTTATGTTTCAAATATTTGTCACTTTGTTCTGTAATCTGAAAAACATATGCTGTTTTTTGACCTTGTGTAACTTGCCATTTTTGGTAAATTGTGCTTGTTTGATTGGTAGAATGAAGCTGAAGTTGCCATTTGTCATTATGTAGCTGATGTTGGTTGAAAATACGTAACATGTTCCCTCAGTTATTGATGAAGGAAAGAGATTATGTTTCAGTTCACTTCTTCCTTCTTTGTTTGTAAAGCACTATAAATTCCATATGTGAATTCGAATGGAGCAGATTGATCATTTATTTACTTCTTATTCATCTTTGAAACAGTTCAGGATATTGACACTAATTATTGTGTTCTTGAAGCTTTACCATCCACTGATTTGCTTTGCTTGTAATATTTCTTGAGCTGCAACTATTGATCATCAAATTTGGTATAATTCACCCCATTGGTCTTTAGTTGGAAGAATACATCATTGATTTTGATGTTCTTGAACATTATGTATTCTTACAATTTTTACATAAGGCGGGAAGATGATATCTTGAGAAGATACATCTAGGGCCCCCAACAAATAGGGGCATCACAAGTTCCGTGAACTTTGTAAGTGATGATAGTTAGATAAGAGTGAAGGTGCAGTAGCCTGGATTTTGTCAGTTGAATGATAGGTACTTCATGCTGAATAGCAATGATGATCGCAATATACTTGTATCTGATCCAAAGTTCTGTTGATTATAGTTGATCAAATGTGGATTTTGTTAAAACTATATGCTATGTTTTTAAGAATTATGTTTGGTTTTGATTTCATATATCTTGGTCATGCATATGTTCTGTGGAACTTCTGCTGAGTACGACCTTCTGTTTTTTTTGCTTGTTGAATGTCAACTATGAAAAATGAATTCAGGTGGGGTCAAGTTTTTATATTGGATGCGCTTTCCAAATACAAAGCAGCTGATGCTCGTGAAGCTGAAAATATAGTGGAGCGAGTTACTCCACGGCTACAACATGCAAACTGTGCAGTTGTTTTATCAGCTGTTAAGGTGACATTCATTTGTTAGTAACTTGATTTGTAGATACGCAAATAATATTCACCTACCATGTACTTGTTGAAAATCTGTTGTTGAATGCTTTCCATTTCAACTATCCAGCGAGAATCATTATTTTTTCTTGAAAAAAAATGTCGCTTGCAGATGATCCTTCAACAAATGGAACTCATAACCAGTACTGATGTGGTTCGAAATCTTTGCAAGAAAATGGCTCCTCCTCTTGTGACATTACTTTCAGCAGAACCTGAGATCCAATATGTTGCATTGCGGAACATCAACCTTATTGTACAAAAACGGCCAACAATCCTTGCCCACGAAATCAAGGTTATTTGTTATGACTTTTTATTGCTTCATGCATATGGGCATGATGCCATGATCAAGGGATATTTTCTAGTGATTCACATTTTTCCTATTGTGACATTACTAACAAGTGAATGAGGGTGTACTTATAATATATCTCTATTTGTTGCTAGGTGTTTTTCTGCAAATACAATGATCCAATTTATGTGAAAATGGAAAAGTTAGAAATCATGATAAAGCTTGCTTCAGACCGTAATATAGACCAGGTAAATAAACTTGGTAGTTGATGATCATCCTATTTTGAGTATGTCTTAATTGGAATTTGTTTTTATTGTCTTGTTCTCTTGGTTTACACTTGCAGGTTCTGTTGGAGTTCAAAGAGTATGCAACCGAAGTCGATGTAGATTTTGTCAGAAAAGCTGTTCGTGCTATTGGACGCTGTGCAATCAAGTTAGAGAGAGCTGCTGAGCGGTGCATTAGTGTCTTGCTTGAGCTGATTAAGATAAAAGTAAACTATGTCGTTCAAGAAGCTATTATTGTTATCAAGGATATTTTTAGAAGATATCCTAACACGTAAGCATTTTTCAGTACTCTTCTTTTATTTGCTTTGGATGACCATAGAGTCTTTTTTTATGAACACCCAAGTGATTTTGTTCTTTCCAAACGTAATTCCTAATTCTATCTTCTTTCGCAGCTATGAGTCTATCATTGCTACTCTTTGTGAGAGCTTAGACACGTTGGACGAGCCAGAGGCTAAGGTATTCCGACGAAATGGCATGGGTTTGGCTTTCACGATCACCAATGTTCTTAAAGTTCATATTCTATGATTTTGGTACTTTATGTATTCGACAGGCATCGATGATCTGGATAATTGGTGAATATGCTGAAAGAATTGATAATGCTGATGAACTCCTTGAAAGCTTTTTGGAGAGTTTCCCTGAAGAACCTGCTCAAGTCCAGTTGCAGTTGCTGACCGCAACAGTCAAGCTTTTTCTTAAGAAGCCAACTGAAGGCCCACAGCAGATGATTCAGGCATGTTCTTACGATTCTGTGATTGTCTTTTGTGTCACAAAATATCATAGCTTTTATGGTTCTCTAATCTCTTTTCCTTGCATTCAATGGCCTTTTAAGAATTACTGTGTATTCCATCTGGCTCTGGTACTTAATGTGGACTAATACTATCTTTTTGAGGAATGCCAGGTCGTTCTTGTTTTGCCGAGGTTCTTTACTAGTCATATCATAGCAGCATTAACTATGCATATAGAGTTGAAAACTTAGTACTTTTTCATGTGGTTTCTTTGGGGCAAGCAATATAAGCTTTGGATCCAAGAGAATTTATGTTGCTTCCCTTGATTTTGATGGCTGTGCTGTTGCCTGAACTTCGAATGGGCTGTCTTTTGGAATGTTAATCCACTTGATTTTCATGTTTTGAAGTTGATTCTCATTATATATCATCATCTCTATAGGTTGTGCTGAATAATGCCACTGTGGAGACTGACAATCCGGATTTGCGAGATCGCGCATACATATATTGGCGTCTTCTTTCCACTGATCCTGAGGTTTGCATTATCTAAAATCTCACAATTTTGGTTTCAACTGCTTTGATATTCCACGTGGTCTTCGTATTTTCTTTTGACATTAAAAATACTTTTTGGGGTGTGTCACCACAAGAGTTGTTATTGCAGTCCTTGGATACGTTTCATGTTAGGTGCAACTGTTAGGTCCATCCTTTATTGGTTAAAATTTGTTTCATATTTTTTGGGGCAAAGCATTGATTTAGTGGAATCCTATTACATTTTTTTGTTCGTTCCCCTCTAAAGATTTTTCCGATGGACAAAACAGCTTCCATAGTTGGAGAAAAGAGGAGTGTGTTGCATATTTAGGAAGTTTATATCCTTCGGGTATTCTGGAGTCCTGGATAATTGGGCTAGGCGCAATTGTTAGGTCCATCCTTTATCGGATAAAATTTGTATCATATTTTTTGGGGCAAAGCATTGATTTAGTGGAATCCTGTGACATTTTTTTGTTCTTTCCCATCTAAAGATTTTTCTGATGGACAAAACAACTTCCGTAGTTGGAGAAAAGAGGAGTGTGTTGCATATTTATGAAGTTTATATCCTTCGGGTATTCTGGATAATTGGGTGCCCTTAAAGTTGAAAATTTTAGGACCCTAAGTGGGTATATATTCATGATGGACCTGCTTTGTATCTGTCAGGCAGCTAAGGATGTTGTGTTAGCTGAGAAGCCTGTAATCAGTGATGACTCAAACCAACTTGATTCTTCTCTCCTTGATGAGCTTCTTGCCAACATTGCTACCTTGTCCTCCGTCTATCACAAACCTCCAGATACATTTGTAACCAGAGTGAAGACCACCCAAAGAACTGAAGAAGAAGAATATCCTGACGGAAGTGAAACGGGTTATTCTGATGCACCTGCTCATGCAGCGGAGAGTGGTGCATCACCACCAGCTAGTTCAAGTAGTTCTTTTTCTGCTGCAGCAAGGCAAGCANTGACGGAAGTGAAACGGGTTATTCTGATGCACCTGCTCATGCAGCGGAGAGTGGTGCGTCACCACCAGCTAGTTCAAGTAGTTCTTTTTCTGCTGCAGCAAGGCAAGCTGCCCCTGCACCAGCTGCACCTGCATCTGTGCCCGATTTGCTTGATCTAGGCCTGGATAATAACAATAGTAGTAATAATGCTCTTGTTTCTGTTGATCAGCCTGCAGCCTCTGCTGGGTACGTGTGATGGAATACTTACTGATTTTATAGATAGTTGTGATGCAAAAAATTGGCTACTGAAATTTTTTGCAATCTGTGCTGAAATTGTGAATTATTGAAATTTGTTTGGCAGTTTTCCAATGCTTGATAATCATTGACCTTCTTTTTGATATTTGGATAATGGTTGCCATTTATGGAATTTCAAGTTTCACAACCAGTATTAAACTCCTTCATGAAAAATCAGTATGATTTGCACTGACAAAGAGTTCTGACTTTGATTGCAGCCCTCCTCTGCCTGTTTTGTTACCAGCATCAACAGGTCAAGGTTTACAAATCAGTGCACTGCTGATAAGAAGAGATGGTCAAATATTTTACAGCATGTTGTTTGATAACAACTCGCAGATTCCTCTTGATGGATTTATGATTCAGTTCAACAAGAATACCTTTGGCCTTGCTGCTGCTGGACCACTCCAGGTAGGTTTTCTATTAAGCGGTTTCTCTCTCTCTCTCAGTTGATATCTCTAAGTTTATATCTTATTGTTAATCAGGTCCCGCAATTGCAACCTGGGACATCTGCAACAACTCTCCTGCCTATGATTTTGTTCCAGAATATTTCCCCTGGACCACCAACCACTCTTCTACAGGTTGCTGTGAAAAATAATCAACAGCCTGTGTGGTACTTTAGTGATAAAATCTCGTTGCTGGTATTATTTACCGAGGACGGGAGAATGGAGCGGTCTACCTTTCTTGAGGTAAAAAATAATTGTTTTCCCCCCTTCTGTACTCATGTGCCTAAGTTGATATACTCAAGATGTAGATGATGATTATGCTTTAGTGAACATCAGAACTAGTTGGCAATGCATGAGTTAAATATATTTTCAAAATGTTAGTGAATTTTATGAGTTGCATAGTTGCAAGGACAATGTTGGTTGTAGACAGTTGATACACAAGTCGTGTTATATCTGGAAGACATGAGAAATTTTGCAGCAATTTGACTATAGACGATTTGGTTAGCGTTTTAACAACAGAATCTGGAACCTGATGTTATTGCAGACATGGAAGTCATTACCTGATTCAAATGAGGTTTCAAAGGACTTTCCAGGTATTGTGATTAACAGTGTGGAAGCAACTCTAGACCGGTTGACTGCATCAAATATGTTCTTCATTGCAAAGCGTAAACATGCCAACCAGGAGGTGTTGTATCTCTCTTCAAAGCTCCCTCGTGGCATACCTTTCTTGATTGAACTCACTGCGACAATAGGAATCCCTGGTCTCAAATGTGCAATCAAAATACCTAGCCCAGAAATGGCTCCTCTATTCTTTGAAGCCATCGAGACTCTTCTCACAAGTTAATTAGTTTTCTCCTTCATTCCCTTCTGTTTCCTGTTGGTTTTGTTTTTATTTCTCATTTTGGTTCGGTGGTTGTTCGTATCTGTATTATTTTAGGCTACTGAGGATTTTGCTATTCATACTCCACTTTCTACTTGTCCAGCTATTTTCGTTGACTTTAATTTGTTTAATCGTGTTTTCGGTTTCACAAACCTCTCCATTTTTTTGAACAATTTTATGTACCTTAAAGAGATAAATGCCTTCAAACTATTTATATGTGTGTTTGTTGTGGGTTGGGATTATTATTTGGATCGAAGAAGAGGAGGAACTGAGGAAAGAGAAAAAGGTGGTGGCAGCGGTGGGAGCGAGGTGGAAAGGCTAGGGGCTTCCAGCTGCCACCATTTACTATGAGAATGGCTCTTGCAGGGATGTATCATTCCGGCTAATCCTGTTTTGTCACTCCAAGACATGAGGCTGCCCGGAACGCGATCCATAAGCCCACGGGGATCAGATTCACCCTTGATGTGAGGTTTCCATAAGCCGGTGCGAGACAACCGGCGAGTCGAGTATGACTAATATTGTGCATTGCATTGGCGTGGAGAAAATGTACACCATAGCATTGACTGTGATAGCGCCGACTTTGAAAGACTGGAGGCACTATTTGTTGTTTGTTGGCATTCTCTCCCTATCCCCCGGTCGTTGTACCAGCAACGACCAATGCAGAAAAAAAAAATCTAATGTTTTTTTGAGAATGTAAACATCTATCCTTTTTTATGGGTTAATAGTATTATTAATTTTTTAAATATGTATTTTTTGTTAGTTTAATCCTCATGATACCTTTTAAAAAAATGATATGCGATCAAGTCTATAAAAAAACTGGACGGAATATATAATTAAGGACCAAAATGACACGAATATAATATTTTAAAAATGAAATTAAAAAAATTAATACAATAAGAATTAAATTAATAAAAAAAATATCTTTTTAGTGACCAAATGTATTATTAATCTTTTTTTTAATCTTTCAATAGGGTCAAACATATCATTTGGCCTTGGCAACAAAGAAAACTCGGATTGATATGCAATCATAATATTTTTCACAAAAAAAAAATATTTTCAATCTAATGCTTAGTAAAAAAAAAATCACCTATTAATCTTTTTAGAGTGTAGTTTATATTCAAAAAAGAAGAAAGTTTTAGATTATGCATATTTTCCACAAATAAAATTAGTGTGTTCGGACACATGAACTTGGGACTTTTTTTATTAGGGTCAATTTTATTAATTTTTGGGTTCATATTACTGTGTTAGAACTTAGAACATACTAGAGGTAATCTATACTTGAAGACACGATGCAATGTAAATAGTTTTAAGAAGGATAATGGTAGCTGTTAGATAGATTTATTTGAAACCGTTTGATGAGTTTATTGAAGTCTATCCTCTTTTCTATTATAGATAATCAANAAAAGAAGAAAGTTTTAGATTATGCATATTTTCCACAAATAAAATTAGTGTGTTCGGCCACATGAACTTGGGACTTTTTTTATTAGGGTCAATTTTATTATTTTTTGGGTTCATATTACTGTGTTAGAACTTAGAACATACTAGAGGTAATCTATACTTGAAGACACGATGCAATGTAATATAGTTTTAAGAAGGATAATGGTAGCTGTTAGATGGATTTATTTGAAACCGTTTGATGAGTTTATTGAAGTCTGTCCTCTTTTCTATTATAGATAATCAGAAAGATAAAACACTTTGGTGAGTAGACTTGACAATAAATCAGATTTTAATTAAAATATGATAAGTTAGATATAAATTAATATATTTTTATTGATAATTCGAACAAGATTCTAAATCCGTGTTTTTATATTTCATAGATTCAAATTTGAATATATAATGTCCGATTTGATTAAGATCTAATTCAAAAAATATATTTTTTATATATAAATATTAAAAAAAAAAGTGATTATTTAAAGAAATTTAATTAAAGCTTTAATATATATTTTATTAAATTAAATAATTTTGATCAAATTTTAAATTATTAATAAATTCAAATATGAACCATAAAAATAAAATTAATTAAATATACAAATAGAATTCAGCTCTGCTGTCGGGCAATGTACACTCGCCACCAAGCAGCACATTATGTCTCATCACGTGACGTTCCCACTCTGAAAATTCCTACTCGCACTCTCCAGTCTCCGCCCATTTGAAAAAGGGACTAATCGTCCTTTTAGGGGTTTTCTAATTTCTCTCCCAACTCTGTTCATCAACTCAAATCGAGGTAAGCTTTGGTTTCGATTCACTAAATTTTTTTTATTTATTTTGAATTTCTCAGCAATTACATGTATGAGTATATGTATGCGTGTTCACTGCAGCTAATTTGTATAGAAATGCCAGTTTTTGTTTCGTTTTAGTCTAATTACCTGTAGAGATCTATATGATTGATGCGATGTTCTTTGTTTTTATAGAGTTAATATTACTTGATTTTTTTAAATTTTGCCCGGAAGGTTGTGTTTGTTTCAATGGAAAACAATTGCTGATTCAGGAGATTTGAAGCACGTAGCTCGTACAAAATTTCTTTGATTTTCCCTTTTGGTGTAACAAAAATGAAATCGACGTTCTAGTGATATAGTTTATTTATTGGATTTTTTTCACTGAAAAAATTGTACATTGCAAACAAACAAAAGCAATTTAATCATCTCTAATGCTGAAAAGGGATGGGTATCGTGTGTGTGTGTGTGTGTGTGTGTGTGTTTTAATCCTATTTGGTTCATTTTTTTTTTTTATAAAATAATAACATTAGTAATGCTATTTTAAAGTTAACCTTCCCAAATCATCTGAGAATGTTCCTCTTTTTTTTTCTTTTTTTTTTTTATTATTTCAGATAATTTTAAGCGGACCAGTTCATGAATACTTTATTTTTGTCCTTTATTTCTGACTAATGGCATTCTTACATATCTTTCATCTGTTTGTGAATTATTTAATTTTATGTTCTTGAAGATGTCATACTCAAGAGGTGGAAGGTTAGTTTCTTTTCTAATGAAGATTTCCAAACTCTGATTTTATTTATATTCAAATCAATTGCCACTTGTGGTTCATTTCCCTACGGGTTGTGCTCTTAGGTCTGCTTCACCACCTAGGTCCGTATCGCCTTGCAGGGGTCGACAGTCAAGGTCATTGTCTAGGTCCAGGAGGAGCCGATCCAGGTGTAGTAATTTTATTTGTTGAATTCAATTAACTCCTCACCAAACTATGTATGGTTATACATGCGTGGATCTATGTGTATGTGTGTGTGGACAAAAATGCTTGTGTTGTTCCTAAACTGGTCTTGTGATTGAATTGTACTTGATATGGAATTTGATTTCAATTACTGCAGGAGCCATTCTGAGGATCCTGTAAATCCTGGAAATAATTTGTATGTAACGGGCTTATCTACAAGGGTCAATGGCAGTGATCTTGAAAAGTATTTCAGCAGCAAAGGGAAGGTATAATCTCTTTGAATGCGGTTTTTCAATTCCATGTAACATACTACATATAATTTTTTTGATTTAGTTGGTGAAAAGTGGTAAACTTTAGTGAGCTCTGCCTCATGTACATTTGTTTGCATGCTTGAAATTTTTTTAATTCATCTGACAAATGCAAATAGTGACTGACGATGTTGATTCATTTTCTGTGAACTGCGAGCCAACTGCTATAATGAAGTGAATATCATGGAAAAATCGATGATCAGTTTGGTTAACCGTTTGGGTGCAAACTCCTTTTTTGACTATGCTTGCTATGTTTTAAGTGTTTGTGGCATATAATGGTGAGGTGGGAAGTACTAATTTCGATTCTATGGTGGATGGAAAATCAGTTTAGAAGTAAAAGGCTTCATGAACTTCCTGATTGTTTTTGTTACTGGGTTGGGTTTTTGTGTTTATTGCTTACAACTGTTTCAAGTCATTTATTGGGCCAGATGGGGTGGTAGGGCACATCTATGTGACGTGGTCATTCAGGTTATGCTGTTGAATGTAAATGGAATAGATGCCGTTCTACGTTGTTCTTTTGCTATTTCTTTTATATCCAATTGAGCTTGTATCTTTAATTGGAGTCTGTATTGTTTCTCTGTCTAGCTAGAATAGGTTGTGTCAAGCTTGTATGTTTTCTTTGTAGTATATTAAAGTTTTACATGTTTTATGCGTAAAATCGGTTCTGGTTTCAGGTTACTGAGTGCCATCTGGTAACAGATCCTCGCACCAAGGAGTCTCGCGGATTTGGTTTTGTTACTATGGAAACAACTGAGGATGCAGATCGATGCATTAAGTATCTGAACCGGTCTGTGCTGGAAGGTCGATTGATTACTGTGGAGAAGGTATTGTTTTATTTTAAATGGGTGTACATATCATACAGGAAAGTGTGACTGGGTATTTGTGGTTCAAATTTTAATTTTTAAATTTGAGTTGTGCTCATCTTCAGAAATGTTGCCTTATAAATTTTGGCAGCAGGTCTGGTCTGTGTAGCTCCACCGAAATCAAACTCGTAAGACGTAAAGTATAAACAGTTGAACATACCCCCACAACTTGCGCTCTGCATCGACATTTCAAACTCCTTGATTCAAATTCAACTATTTAACCGAGTGTCGTATGCCCTGATTACCGTTTCTTCATCAGTAGCAGGTTTGGTCTGTGTGGCTCCATCAAATTCGAGTTTGAATGCTAAGCTCTAAAGTTTAAAACAGTTGGACCTACCCCTGCACGACATGCGCTCTCCATCGACGTTTCAAACTCTTCGGTTGAAAAGCAACTGTTTAAGAGGGTTGTATGCCCTTGATACCTTTTCTTCATTAGTAATGCTATCTCACATGGTTATGTTTCTGTTTTCAAAAAACTCTAAAGTATCGAAAACAACCCTTGTTGCTCCTGTTACATTCCTTTTGTTTTGTTTCATGAAATGCATTTTCCATTTAAGGTACATGCTTTATGCGACAAGAAAAAAAGGGGGGGGGGTGAGGGGGGGAATAGGGTAGCAGTTGAAATGATTGTTTTCTCTGTTTACTTCTTTTCACCAGGAGATGGTTCGTTTTCTCTGTTTACTTCTTTTCACCAGGTGATGGTAAATATTGCTTGTTGAAACAGTTCTTTGAGGATGACTTTGAATTAATAGGATCATCCTAGAGGGTACCTTCTTTGTAATTCACATTATGGTTGTGATTAAATATTTGTCTTAATTATCCAATGCCCATATGTGCAGGCGAAAAGGAAGCGTGGGAGGACCCCAACACCTGGAAGGTATCATGGTCTGAAAGATACACGAGGTACATAGAATATACAGTGTCTACTTGGCAACTGTTTTGATAAACGGAACTCAGAGCAGCTTTGAGGATTGAAACAAAGCAATTTTATTGATTTTTGCTTGGGTTTCAACTCTGCAAATAGAGCTTATATAGCACATCGAAAGAATAAAGTATGCTCGCTTGGAGGATTTTTTGATTGGGTTTCTATGATATGCTTGGGTTTCCATTAAAAGTACTGGATGTTTTTTAATTCCGATGCGGTCTACATTTATATATAAAATTGATCCTTATGTCCTACCTGTACCAGCTGCAGGACGTGACCGAAGACGGTCACGTAGCTACTCACCTCACCGTCGGCATGACAGAAATCCTTATTCAAGAGGTCGGCGAGGAAGATCACGCTCCCCATACAGTAGAAGGGCAGATGATCTTTCTGATTCATACAGGAGACGCAAGGGTCGTTCCATATCACCTGGTGGCGGCGGCGGCAACTACTCAAGAGCGCATTAACTCTGGCTGATGTGAGTGCCCCATATTTACCTTGTCAGTAGAATGTGGTACATATTTACCCTTGTGAAGTTTGGATTCGTTGATTTATTTTCCATTCCTTGCTGTTTTGTATGTCGATATGCATTAACAACCATAAACATTGTGAAATTTGGCTGTAATGTGAGCCAAGACTCCTCTGGATTTCTTCTCCCCCCCAAAACAACAAAAAAAATCCACCACCACCAACAACAAACACACACCAAAACCACTCCTCCGGTAGCATGATGCTTTGGTTATTTTGAACTTGACACCCTTACTTTTCTTTGATCATGCCGAGTTTGTTGGGTTCTGAGTATATTTGAATGTTGTTGTCGTGATTGGTAACGCTCTACTATCAAGCTTAGTATCTTGCCTAAGTTCTAGTTTGGTCGAAGTTTGTGAGTATTCGAATGTTCATTTATAATTCTCGGGCCAAAGCTGAATTTTGGACCGCACTTAAAACGAATGGTTGGTAAATTGTAGTGGGCCCAGGCCCAGCCACAAAAGGAAATTAGTCTGATAATGAAACGAAATGCAACGGAAAGTAGAAGCACGACGGGCATGTGAATGTGAGGGTGTGGAGTGGAGCCCACTCTTTGAATCCTAAAATCTCGGGTTTTTTTTCTTTCTCTGGTGCGCTCCAGCTGCCTCCGAGAAAGAGCGGACTCCAAATCAAATTTCAAACTTATGCATGGTCCAATATATCTAAATATATATTAGTCAGAGTGTTCTAGTCAACTTATGTGTATTTTGATTAATTTTTTCTCTTGTCCAGTTAAAGGCAAGTCATTTTAATCGAGATTAAAGTATTCATGAGAAATAAATTTTTCATGATCTGGTTTTAAAGAGTTGTCAAAATTTGAATTTAAAATGTTTATGTTTATGATTTAACTTAGAATAGTTGTCAATATACGAAAATAGTAGTGTGATACTGCTTTTAATATCGTACTAAAATTTATAATAAAATAAAAGATGAGTTCACAATTTAATAAATCATAAGATTATAATTTGATCACTTTTTAGTTATAATATTAAAAAACTGATTTACTCTATAGAAAGAATAAATTTATTTGAGATTGATCTCAAATGATATTTTTAATGCTAATGGTGTGAAAATTTTATCATCAAATATCATATTTTATAACTTAATACATACACATACACGTAGTACAAAGCAACGGAAGGGAATAATAATGAGAAGTTATCCATTGGTCTAATGGTCACCTATCTTGCACTTGAGATTGAAAATTCGAACCTCATTCAATACTGCCATAGTAGAGCCTAACAAAAAAAAGAAAGAAAGAGAGTAGGATAAGGTACAAGTGTATCTTTTGCTGCTGTCTGGATAGGATTTGACAGGTGATTCCGTGACACGTGTACGTCAAGTTTTTCTCTGTCTCTCTATTAGCCGTGGCTTGTCACCAGATTGGCCAGGGCGAATGCAGTGCTTACTGGACTAAAAGTGCCCCCCTTTGCGTATGTAAATTACCAAATGTTGACAGGATTTGACGAGAGAGAGAATCCTGGCCGTTGATAAGCTTGTCGGATGTTTTCTGGACAGGGTGTAAAATTACTGGCGCCACCCCTCCGCCGGGGGGGAGTACTCGTCGATATCTGCGACGTTTGGTAGGCTTCTTACCGTACAGATTGTTTGGCTCTTAGCAATTATATGACGAGCTAATAGCATTTCACCCCCTCTTTTTATGAATTCACACAATGGAGAAAGTACATAATTTCTATTTAATATAAATAGTGTCATATGGTCCCTATAAGCACCGAATATTTTTTTTCCTTACGGCCTGTTTGGTATGGGTAAAAATGGGATGGATGAAAAAGAAAAGATAAAAAAGATAATTTTTTTTTTTGTTTAGTTTGGAAAGGAAGGTGGAGGAAAGGAAAAATGGAATAGAAAAAGAAAGTCCTACTTCGGAGAAAATGACAAAAAATGGACTGTGTTAGCAAGGGGGTCCACAACCTTTATTAGCACCTATTGACATTTTAGTCCTTTGATTGAGACTATGTCTGGTAGTATAATATCCAAAACTATTTAAGGGTATTTATGGTATTTCATTAGTATTGATTTATTTATTTATTTATTTTTTCATATATCAAAAAATAGAAAAAAAATTTATCTCTTCCATTTTTTCACCCTTCTATCAAATATGAAAAATAAAAAAAAATATTTTATTTCTTTCACAGATGAAAAACTCATTTTTTTCCAATTTTTTTATCCTCTTACCGTACAGATTATTAAGCATAGGAGGTATTTAATTGATCAGAATCTCTGCGGGGTTGGATGGGATTTTTGAACAAGGTTCGCCCATTGGATACCCTTTCTCTGTCTAATACAGGAAAAAATAATCATTACAATTATCAATCAATAATATCAAAATAAATAAATAAATAAATTTTATAAAAATTAATAACTAATTCTTCAGATAAGTAAATAATTATTTACTCTTTTTTTATGTATAAATAATTATTTAAGTGGGATTTATTTCATTTACTTAATATTTTATTATTGATCAGGAAAATGGCATCAATATTATATCACCGTTCCATTAAATATTTTGATACAGAAAAAAAACATAAGCCAGCTTTAAGCCGAGCCAAATCAGCCGAACAGCTCATCAGCCATTCCTGAGAGTTAACGGGCAATATCAGGTAAAACCGGTCAACCCGGTCTACATTTGCAGCAAAGTCGTTTCTATTAAGAAACTTTCTATCGCTACTAATTCCAATGGCAGTTGGTAAGCATTAAGTGTATGCTCTCTCTCTGTCTCTCTCACTCACACACTCACACACTATGAAGAATCTCTCTTTAAGTCCGTGCATTGCCTGTAGAATCCCTCGCATTCGGCCTTGATCGTCTCTTAAATTCAGTATTTTAGTCACTAAAACCCCTCATGAACCTCTCGCATTTCGTGTATCTTCTGCTGATTCGGTACTTCTGTTGTCGATTACGAGGTGTACACACAGGTTTGCGGCTTATAATCATGTGTTTATATCATTTAGCTATATTTCCACTATTATTATTCAGATTTAGAAACACACTGATGGTTTATGAAGCTTAATTATTGTATTACTCTGTTCCTAAAAATTTGCAGAATTGAATGGGATTTTCTATTTGAACAGACTCAGAGGTATTACATGAGTGATTACAAAATCACGAGTATTTGCCTGTAAGCCCATGGTCTTGAATGTAGAAATTTGGGCTATTTCACTAAGAAAAACTCTAGGAAGGAGCATGATTAGTTGACAAACGTTGAAGGGTGTTTAATTGGAGGAATTGAGGGTCAAATGTTAGGGAATTTCATGTGTGTGTGTTTGATTTAATTAGAAACAGCCATCTCTCATTTATTGTCATAGAGCTAATTCCGTGAAAGCGGAGATTCTATTACTTTCGTGCAATTGTGCTCATTGCATTCAACATCCTCTTGAGAATTTCGTGTCAGACCCTAGAATAACTCAGGATATTCACTCTCTCTCTCTGTGAAGCACACACAAATCACCCACAGAAATTTATATTGGTAACTGCAAGGGACTGAATTTCTCGATGACATGCTGTCGAACTTTGCTATTTCAGGGATGTCCATTTGAGCTTGGTCGTAGCTTCTTGCTGTGCAGTCTACAAAACACTTGTCTTCTCTCCAAGCCCCTGAAGATGAGTAAGATGAAGAAATTTGACTGAAATTACAATTGAATCTTTTTGAGCTGAATCTGATGGGATTTTGTTGAGCAAAATACAACTAAATATTAGCTTTTGCAACATTTGAGCTTTGGGTACTAGATAGTCTAGGTAAATTTGCTGTGGTTCTTTATTAGTTGGGTTTGCACGATTTCAACTTGGTTGAAATGGGAAAAGAGAGATAGTGGTGGAAGATTGGTTTTGTTTAAATTCTACTTCTTGCTCAACAATTGGAGGAAAAGTTTGCATTGACAAAATGCTGGAGCCTGAGCTGTGTTCTTCCCGGATCCTATCACCTTTTCGCGATGAAAGTGGTGATGAAGATCTCTCTGTTCTTCCTAGACACACCAAAGTTATTGTGACTGGAAATAACAGAACAAAGTCTGTTTTAGTGGGTCTGCATGGTGTTGTCAAGAAAGCTGTTGGCCTTGGCGGTTGGCATTGGCTGGTATTCCCTTGTTAATTTCTACCCTTTTCACCACTTAATCCATTCTGTTGTTTTACCCCAAGATTGATATCTATTTACTCAAAACTTTCCTTATATGTTTTTCAGTACTAAATCATCTTATTGTACTTTAGTCCTAATTAGTCAATAGGCATCTGTCCTTTGTTTTTTGAAGGCTCTCTAATCATTTTGTAGTTGTATTAGGTGGACACTAACATTATTTTGTTAATTATGTTTTTAGTGAAAATGACCATCAAATTAAGATTACATGCAATAACTTGATGCGATATGTCCGTACATTAAACAGGTTTAGTTTTCAGAACAAACTAGTCATTTATAAGTTATGAGGTGGACTTGGGATTCTTTTCTTCTTTTTTTTGTTGTTGTTGTTACTAGTAATGACCATTAATGCAGATTACATGCAATAACTCAATGGATATTTTGGTATATTCAAAAGATAAAATTTTCTAATTTATTGAGATCCAAATCAACCAAGTGTTCCCTATAATTTTTCGAATTCCACTTATTTTGTTTTCCAGTGGATTAGATCTTTATGAAAATGTCCCATTATCAGCGTGTAGAAAGATTTTGTTTGATCCTCTAGGAATCCCTTTTATTACTCATCATCATTAAGGATCTCTCTGTGCATCAAATTATCATCAACTAGATCCACCCTTACATTTCTGCATGGAATCAGAGAAAAAGGTCAGACTTTTCTTCCCCTGCTGACAATTATGGCATAATTCTCTTCCCTACCACTCTCTCAAGCTACATAACTTGGTAGATTTGGTTTTTTTCTGGAAGAGAATTGTAGGCTGGCTGCAATGATCGTTCTGTTTTTCTTCTATTTGATTATCAACTTGTTTGTGGAAAATTATATCTATATTAGATTTCTGGGGAAAAAAGGGTGGCTGAATGTTTTTTTCTTGGTCCCTTTGATTCTGTCAATTTAATGTTGTCTCCTTTTTTTCATCCGACTCTTCCTTGAGATAAACTTGGTTTTTGTTTGTCAAATGGGTTATTAAATAATATATATTTTTGTATACAAGGTTTTAAAGAATGGGGCTGAAGTGAAGCTGCAAAGGAATGCTTTGAGTGTGCTGCAAGCTCCCACTGGAGATGAAGAAGATGAAGATTATGATTTTGACAACTCTAGTAGTGGCTCTGACATTGGTGAAAAGGACAAGGATTACTGTAAGTTAGAGCATTTACTGCCTGATGAGACCAAAAATATAATTTCTGTCCACACTGTGCACCAACAATTTTGTGAAACTGTGCTCTGATATGATTAGAAATCTTTTCCATTGAGCAGCCACTGGTTTTGAGTTCAGCAAACTGAGCAAGGCTAGAGTTCGGTATACAAAGCTATGGGGTCCGTCTGCATCGGCAAAGTCAATGAACCGCAGCAGTTGCAAAGAACTTCAATCTGGTGTGGACACACCCCAACTGGTAAGCACAATGAATGGAGAAGGGAAGTTTGATTTTATGTTTCTCTATTGTTTTTCGCTTTTGCAGAGATTCCATAATCTCATGCAATGTGAATCTTATGTGATCTAGTTTCATGATCCTTCTGCATAATTTGGGAGTTCAAGATTGTGGGAGTTGTAATTTAACAAGTCCCATGTACATGATATTCGGTTTTTGTAGATATCTCTGTTCAAATACATTTTACCAATGTCAATTTAGAACTGCTATGTACTTGATCGTTTGCTAATTGTTTTGGCTGAACAATCAGAGAGTGAAGTTGGCAAAACTGGGGACTACCTCATTGTTGAGATACTGGAGAAGCTTTCACCTTGTAGGTCTTACTAGCATTTGAACATTATAACTTCACTTATTATATAATTTCTTGGACAAATTTCACTATAGGAATTTCTATTCTCAAATTCAGGGAAGTATTAGTCCTCATCCTACAAAGGAACATATGGTTAATCTGGTTCAGCAGCATTTTGCTTCGCAGGTCTCTCTCTCTCTCATGGCCGCATGTGCATGCCTACACACAAATCTTTGTAAAATACTAATGCTTTGCATCATATTTACTTGATATAACAGCAATTGGACGAGGCACAAGTAATCATGGAATTCATCCGTGCAGCCAAGAGACAAAAATCACTTGACACACATCGAGCCTGATCTGAGAAATTAGATGATGTATGTACTGTACCTAATTTTACATATGAACTCTAACCTTTAGTTTAGCTCTAGTTCTAGACCGGTAATAGAGATTGGTAGCTGGTTTGCCAGCCATATTTCCTCATCTATCTTGGATCGTAACCTTGAAATATGTGACTGTGACCAAGCTCGTATTATTACCCTAGTTTTGTATCTTATATGTTCATCCTCATTCCATACCTTTGGACGGAAAAGATTTTCAGATAACTAGTACAAGTCATGGATTTTGTGGTACGGCGTTCACAGACACTATCAATTCAACACGGCATGAATGATACAATCCGAACATAACAAGAAGGTGTTGAAACACGTACATATTTTTGGTGTTGAATTCAGAATTTCGGGGTGGATTATTCATCTATGTATCTGTGAACTAAGGAATGACATTGTTGATTCTTGAGTAAGCAGCAGATTCTTTGTAAGATCCTTTTGGACAGTGGCTGCTCATTTGTATAAAAGCCAGGTTGTCATTTGGTGTCACGGGATGGTATGAAAGTGATACAATGAAATTATTGGCCCCTGCAAAGATTTTGTGGTGAGTGCTTTGGATTTGGTGAACCAAGTGATTTTCTGTCGGACCCACCTTGTCCTCTCTGAAGAGTAAAAGTCTGTATAACTGGACTCTTAGCTGCTATAATCAATGTAAACTTGGCCCCACCAGCCATATTAAAAGAGTTGGGCTTTAAAGACTCTAAGTAAAAATTTTCAGTATTTTATATTATTTTTAAAAAAATTAAAAATATTATAATATAATCTATCGTTTTATTTTTGGTTGGTTGTTCATTTATTTTGTGTCAAATTAACTAATCAAAAGTCATAAAATAGATAAATGATCAAAAGAAAATAAGAAGGTAGATAACATTGTAATATTTTTATTTCTTTGAAGGGGTAACATAAAAAAATTAATCATTTAAGAGGCAAATTAAAAATTTTGGTATTTTTTGGGGGTGCAAGATAGAATTTACCCTAAAGTAAAAACACCCACCAGACATATATCATGGATCATAGTCTACTTTGAAGGAAGTTATGATACAGCTGGTGAGATGGACAGTCCATCAACCATTCGGGCAAATACTTGACGAGTATTTTAAAGGGTTAATTACAAAAAAAAAAAAAACCCAGCAATAGCATTAGTGTTTAATTTATGCAGTTTGTTTCCTTAAATTAATCAAGAGTTGAATACAAATTTTAAAATGACTTTATTATCCTTAACCCTGAATGATGCTCCTCCCCCCAACCCACCCCAAACCACAAATTTTTATTTTTATTTTGTTTAACGATTAAGTGTATCTGGTCAAATCCAACTGATAGCAATCCCAACACTATGAGCTGCCATCGAAGTCATGCGTTCAATACCCATAGCCTTTAATTACTTTGTTTCCTTTCTCTATAACCATCTATAATGGTATTCACAAAGTGCTCTCTCCATCTCTCCCTGCAACACCTTCGCCACCACCGATTCAAACCTCAATTACCATTGCTCATACTAGTTATTGTTATTTGTACGACATAAACGCGGTGCTTTAATGATTGTGCCAATGCCCATATCGAGCAATAAGAATTTAATTTAGATCCTAATGAGAGATTTAAATTCATATAGCATTCTCGGTCCGATCAAAGGCAAATTATTCACGTCAAAACTATAATATTCATAAAGAATAAATTTATCATAATCTGATTTATTAAATTGCCAAAATTCAAGCTCTAGACTGTTTGCTAGCCCATTGTTCTAATCAACCCAAGACAGAAAGTGGGCTGTTCTAGAATTAGTCCTACGACTTCCTTGAGCTTGGTCCATTCGACATTAAACCAAAATAGGCCCACCTTTCTTTAATCACTTTAACTTGGAATTGGGCCATCCTACTGGTCACCAACCAACAATTTTAGACACAAATCCACGAGTTGTAAATTCGAATATCGTGGTAGAATATATTGATGATATCACATATTTATATCTCATAAATATCTTAATTTCAAATTTAAATCCCTTCCATTATCATTTTCCTTCAAATCCCCCCAATGCAGTGCCAAATTAGTGACATGTGTAAGCCTGGATGATTTACCTTTAATTGAAGCAAAGAGAGAATTAATCGATGTGTATATAAATTGTTTCAAACATCTTTGACCATTAAAAAAATTTATTAATAATAGGTATTCAAATAAGGTAAAAATTTGGGTCGAGTCCTCCTTAAAGGACTTATAATGAATTTAGTCCATTAATGAAACTTATTTAGAGATAAGTCCATTTTTAATATTACTAATAAGTAGTTAAGTCTAATATTTTTTTTAAACTCCAAAATAGGGAAGTAATTTTAAATTAATTACCTAACTTAGAAATTATTATTTATTAATTCATTATCAATAAATATATGCCAAAAAATTTTTATACAAACATTTGAAATTCAAATTCAAAAAACAATTGATACTCTCTCTCTATATTTATATATCTATAATGGTCTAGATCATTTCGTGACAAAAAAAAAACATCATCTAATAGACGACGTTATCTCAAACTGTTTTAAGCTATTAACGTCTAAGATCATTTTGATCGACATACCACATTAACTCTTTTCAAAATTTATAATTTTCAGAATTGATATTCCAAAATTTAATTCTCTTAAATCTTTTCCTTAAATCAAGTAAATCTCTTTCTCTCTCATTCCACAATATTCTCCTCTATATCTAATGAAAATATTGGATAGTGTCTAATTCAGTCAAATATTACATCTCTTTGTAGATAGATAATATATATCACAAAAAAAATAGTATATTACGAAAATATTCATCTGTATCTTTCTCTGAAGGAAAATTATTTAATAAATATTATATAGATAATATATATCACAAAAAAAATTCTCTATATCTCTTTATTGCATTCAAGTGATACTACAAACACGAATTATACAAATTTCAATAGTCAATTTTATTTTTTTTCATAATCAATAAAAAAAATATAACTTGCAAAAAATATAATTTAATAAATAAAATATGTTTAACATGTAAAATATACAAAAAATAAATTCAAGTTATTGGACAACTCAGATATTAAGAGATATTGTTTTAATTTTAATTCTATTAGTTATGAATTTTGTTATTTTTTAGATAAAATTAATTATGAATGTTAAAATCATGTATTTTGAATCAAAAACAAAAAATTTAATATTGTCAATTGATATAATTTTTCAGATGTTTGAATTATTATGTTTCAATAGTTATAACATAATTTTTGTGGCGTAATAATTTAATATGAAAATATATGCCATGCATGTAAATTGATGTTATAAAAAATATTAGCTGACTCATTTTATTCGTCGTTTACTATAATGTTGTATTTTACTTTATATTTATCTATGAACAAATATTTGTAACTAATTTACGAATAATATTGTGTTTTCAGATACGGACAATTGATAATATATAAATATTTTATCATGTTATTATTTTTGTAAACATGTTACTATTTTTGTTGAATATATTACTACTGATTTTTTTTTAAAATTTTTTTATTGTGTTTAAATGTTACTACTTTTTTTATATATTATAAAATATGAGAGAAAAATAAATATTTATATTCTATATATGGATATAGATAGATATGAGAGAGGGAGAAAATTTTAATATTATTCAATCTCTTAAAATTTAGGAGTGGCTAACTTTGAAATTTATTTTAATTAAATATAATTATTATGAATATTTTGAATAATTTTTAAAAATTAAAATAAACTTAATATTAAATAAATTCACAAAAAAAGTCCGACATCCATATTTTTCATAAAAAAAATTCAAGATTGTAGACTTGAGAATAGCAACGAGTCTTTTCATCCGACTTGGTAGAGCATGTCAACTTTTCAACGCCAGACCTCCTTTATTTTTTTCTAATATCTCCGTAACCTCGTTTTTGTTATGTTATCAATGAATTCGAATTCAATCTAGTTATTTTTTTAATTTAAATTTAATATGAATGAGACGAATTTGACTTAATTCTAATAATTCATAAAAAAATTTAAATTTTAATAAATTGTATCCTAGTTAAAACTAAATTTATTCAAGTAATCACTCAATTATAGTATGTACATTATTATAATCATGAAATTAGATATTAGTATAAAATTCAATTTTCAAAGTTATTATTGGTCAAGAATAATAAATTATATTTAATTAAATTGAATTCAAATCGAAATTTGATGCAAATTCCTAATTCTTCTGTAAAAGGAAAGTTCAGTCGGTGGTGGGCCCAAGAAAGTCCAAAAATTCAGCCACCAACTTGCGTTAGCGTAGAATATTCCAATTCCGCGTGTCCTAATATCACAATTAGCGAGTCCACCACTACATTCATACTCCAGCACGTACACAATCATCCGAATACAAGTTTGCCTTTTCTCAGTGAAAGCCTTTCTCCCACGAAATTTGACACTCAGAAGTGCGAAAGTACGCGTTCGGTGGCCCTCTCTCTCTCTCTCTCGACTAAAAACCACGCGCACTGTCTCTCTCTCTCTCTCGAAGTCAATCCAAAGGTAAGTATACATATGTTTTGATGTGTATATATATGTATTGTACGTGTTCGCATTTGTTCTGAATTATCGTTGTTTTATGTGTATGTGTGTTTCGTTGCCTTGAAGTTCATATATCGACCTGGTTTTTGATTGGTTTAGGGCTTGTTATGTGGAGCTTATAGCTGATACAGTTTTGGAATTCAGTTGTATCCTCTATAGGTTTCTTGTTGTGGATGGATTGGTGTTAGGGTTTTTTGAGTTTTTTATGTTGTTGTTGATATTATTGTTTTTTTTGTCTCATGAGCTTTATTTTTTGGAGTGTTATTGAATTTGGTGTGTTGTTCATGGTAACGGGGATTTATTAGAGAATTGTTGCCTTGCTGGAGCTGTTGACAAGTTTATTTAGGTTAATGTCTTGGTTTGATTTCTTTGCTTTGATTTATTGAATTGGGTGGAACTGTAATTTAGGAATTTATTTGTATGTTTTTTTTATATATAATTTTGGAGTTGGTTTGGTTTGTAGTTTCAGTTATAGTTTCATAAGATTGATGTTGTGAGTTTTTTAGGTCAATATTGTTGTTGGGGGATATTGTTACCAGTATTGATGGAAATGGATTTTCAGGTTATGAATGAATATGCTTTGTAGTAGTTGATCCAGGTTGGTTGTTTCAGGGCGTTTTCATGTCAGTGTGTGTGATATATTAGATTGGGCAGTGTTATTACTAACGATGTAATACACAATTACATATGGCAAAAATTGTATAATGGTTTGGTTTTCTGCAAACACTAGAATGCTTGCTTCATGAGATTATTTCTTTGCCATCTGGTTATTGTGGCATTCCAATTGTTTCTGCATTCTTTTGTGGTGTTTGCACTCTTATGGTTGTCTTAGATACCCTTTCTCTCGCTATATGTGGATGCTTTTCTGAGGAAGTCCTATTGCCCTTTCTCATTAGCTTCATTTAGGATTTTAAGTGTGGTACCCTTGCTGTTCTCCTGAGAGATTTTACTTTTCTTATGTGCAGAAAAGGAAATGATGAATCAAGTGCCAATAGCTTCAGGTGGATAAAAAGTATACTCTCATTGATATGGGAGGCTGCTGTTGCTGCTGTGCTTCTAAAGGATTGGAACTGAACAGTTCCCCTCCATTCTATCATGTCAGTAATATCTCCTCACATCAGAGGCTTTTTTGCTTAGTTTGATACGATTCCAAAATTTGTATGACAAACTGGTTTCTGCTGCATTGTTTTTTCTGCATACAGTTCCATTGGTATGCTATGTAAAAACCTTTTTTTTTTTTTTGGGTTTCGTTGTTAATTTAATGTAGGTCAATTCTCTTTGATATTTACGTGGGCATCTCTTTTTTCTAATTTGATATGGAGCTCAGTACCAACCATTGCAGCAATCAGTCAGAGCTGAAGATAAGAAAATACTAGAATGAGATTTTTTCGATGGCGCAAATGATGTGATTGTATCTAGGATTGCCAGAAAATGATTTCTGTTGCAGGAATCTCTGTTCTACAAGATTTTTTTGAAGAAAGAAAGTTTGTGAACATAATTCATGAGGCTATACTAGTAAATTTCCAAACTAAGTAGATTACAATCATCAATATAATTGCTCCATTGGAATTGTGGGTTAACCTCTTCTAATGGGTGATAAATAGTAATTCGTGACTAATCAGTTCTCTTTGACAACTTTATAGGACCGGTTTACTTATGTCATTGGTTTATTACCAGTGAACATATACATGTATGAGTTGCTTACTTAATGGCTAGGCAGGTCAGTGAAAGAACATCATAGCTTCTGTCCTCATATGAGTTTAGTAGGTTCATTTTTCATACATCACTCTTCAAATATTGTGCAACACACTGTTGAAATTGCAAGCTTTAAGCTATGTTGCTAGTCAAAATGAGTGGATATAGTTGCATACCTGCCCCCGCCTACTTATTAGATGCTACTAGCAGCCAAACAAACATCAAGGCTTAGAATGACTGACGTTCTTGCTCAATATTTCTATCACTCCTGTGCTTGTTGTCCTTGAATTGGAAGCATACTTAATTGGATACTTCACACATACATGATGACATGTTAAGGATTTCCCCCACAATCATGTTGGGTTTTTTCCTTTTTTCATTTGTGCCATCGAAATTCTCTCATGAGTTGTGTCTTTGCTTTCTACCTTCCTCTTTTGGGGAACTTCCACTCCCCCCTGCAGTATCCAGTAGCATCAGAGGAGCATGAACATTTGTCATCTCAGCAAGGCACAGTATCTGCACTCTCTACAGGGCTTTTAGTTGATACAAATCTAGAAACTTCAATTCTAGATACTTATAGGCCACCTCCAACACCCATACCATACGAGTCAAATGTTGGATGTCCTAGACCTCCATCAGGTAGTCAAGATAACAGTGGCAACAAGAGCGATGCAGCAGTGCAAACAACAAATACTGAGTCTGTTGAAGAAACACACACTGGCTACACCCTAGAAAGTTCAGGTAAAGACCTTAAGGAAACTGACAGCAAAGTGCAAAGCAATATTGAACTTGCCTTGTCAATAGGACAGGATGATGAACTTCAGAAGTCTGGGGAACTCAAAAAATCCGGTGAACTTATTGTTTCAACACTGGAGGAGGATGTTTGCCCCACCTGTCTTGAAGGTGATGAGATTACATCATCCCTTACTCTGGTCTCAGTGATTGTTGATTTTTAACTCTTGGTAATCTTTTGTAATTTTGGAATTTTTGCTGCAGTTGATATGCTGCTGTGTTTGGATTGGTAAACTTGTAGTAAATGACATTTTGCTCTTACCTGCAGAATATGATGCAGAGAATCCAAAAATAATTACCAAATGTGAGCATCATTTCCACCTCTCGTGCATTCTTGAGTGGATGGAAAGAAGTGACACCTGTCCGGTGTGCGACCAGGTTTGTTTTATATAACATTGTTCTATTGATGTTGTGATTTGATAAGAACATGTTGTTTTTGGTTGTTACTGTATTTCATGATCTTAATGGCAGCATGAAGATTCTGCTTTTCTTTGGTACAGGAAATGATATTCAATACCACCACCAATGGATAATATCTGGACCTGCAATCAGTTTCTTAATGTTTCTGAACCAAGCATCGGTGGTTATTTCAGTTTTGTGTCAAGTATCAGCCTTGTAGTATGATCATTTTGTTTTTGGAGACATCAATTTTAGATGCCAAGTTTGGACCCCTTTTCTTTGAATTTGGAAAGAAGAAGAAAAAGAGAAGTCGATGGGAGACTAAAACAGTACACTGCCCTAGGTCATTTTTCATTTTCTGCATGTCCGTGTTTAGACCAGGAGACATGCCTAAGAATGCAAGTTTTTTTTTGGCTCTTTTTCTTTGAAATTGGAAAAGAAGAAAACCATGAAGGAAATGGATTTTTAGATCAATAACACACTTGCCTAGGTCATTATTCATTTTAGTCCAGACTAGCAGATCATAATGCATAGCACTGGGAGGATATAAGATACCACCACAGAGATGCTTTCTAAACAAGATGTTATCTCAATTCATTTTCTTGGTCTCCCTCTCCTTTTTCAACCTAACCCCCCCCCCCCCCCTCCTCCTCCTCCTCCTCCTCCTCTACAAACTGCTTGTGTTCTGCATCCGTGTGTGGCCCCGCTGTTGATACGCAAAGTTTGGATCATGTAAATATCATTTTCTGCCTTATTGCTTTCAATTGGTTCTGTAAATAGATAGATGATCCCGCTTTTTTAGTGTCTTTAGAAGGGTTCTTTGTTAGTGAAGTGTTTGATCGGTGCTGGAAGGTAAGGAAAGCCAATAGACAGGCATACTTTGTTACAATTGAATCATATATATTATAGTCTCAATTTTTGGCATTAGTACTTCCTAAGGAATTTTCGTATATTTATCTGCCTATGGAGTATTCCCTGTTCTTCTTTGTTTCCTTTTATTTATTCATTGCCAAACAAGCACATGCGAAAACTTGTAAGTGTTGTGTCTTTTGTATCCTACTGCAATTGGCTTGCTAGATGGGGACTTACAATCTGGTTCCGTGTGCTCAACTTGCCTGGCTCACTGGAAGAATTTTTGCAACTTTTCACATTTTTGCTGGTTGGAATTTGGGAATGGGGCAAAGGTAGTCAAGTTCGAAAAGAATTGGTGATCTGTTCCAATTCCGAGCTATGTATAGCCTTTTTTTTTTTTTTAAAACTAAGGATTAGATGAAATGCAAAGGAAGTTTCCGAGCTATGTATAGCATGATGCCAAACATAGAGTTAGATTAAGGCGAATGTTGCTCGGGTTTGGCTTGAGAGTGCTATGCACCAGATTGGTCTCGAAATTATTTCGAGGGAAAATATGCTGGGGTTATGGAAGTGGAAGTGGAATTCGAATTGGAATTGTGCCCAAGGCGTGAGTTGCATACAGTTAAATTTTAGCTTTGAGGCTAAGCTTGATTGTTTCCATGGTTCTAACGAGAATCGAATTGAAGACGTCGTTATTTACTCAGTTGGAAAGGTTTATTGTTGAACAAGATTAATTTTTGAAGTGGGACTGGGTAAAGTAAGTAACTTTTAGGATTATGTAATTGCTGATGTAGTTGGCTTTGTGAACACCTCAAATTGGTGCAAAATACTAGAATGTTAAAAGTCATCGGCTCTAGGAGCCTTTGCGTGTACTTACCTGCAAAGCAAACACATAATGGTCAAGCATTGAGTAATGAAGCATTGAGCAAACACATAACTTGAGATTGAATGTTTGAGTTTTGGAGCATGCATTGGAATTCGGTAGTTGATTGTTATGTTAGTTTAACTTGGTTTGTTTTCAAGAGATGTAATGATCGCACTCAGGAGTTTTATGATCGTACCAGTGAGGGTTCATTATGGTGGTTTTTAGCTATTTTCATTTGCCCTTTTTTTTTTTTCAGAAGAAAAAAGAAACACATACTGGTCATTGAAATTAAGTTTTCTTTATTGGATGGAACTTGTGACTTTCCTTGAACATCCGTGAAGTAATTATCACTCAAACGGATGTTTTGGAACCTTTTTTTTTTTTTTTTTAATATCAAATTTGGTGGTTTTAAATTTTATTTATTTGATGACGTGATTTTTAAAAATGATAACGTCACTTTTCAGAGATAATAATTTAGTGTTCAAAGTAGGGTTTGAGGGGGAAAAAACCCTCTTTTATACCTTATGATATTGGAGAAGGCTACGGTACATCTCATGGATTTTCGGTACCATACCGAAAATTTTAAATTATAATAATAGTGGTATATTTACTAAATTTATGTATATTTATACCGGTTGTTAGACAAGATAAGATATTGAAATGACAAGACAAGACATACCGTTTAGTAGTCATTAACTTAATTGAGGGCAAAATTATAACATTAGTGGGAAGTTTATGACTATAGTGAACAAAATTATAGCATTAGTGAAAATTTTATAACATTTGTGGGAATATTTACTAAATTTGTAGGAATGTTTACAACTTCAGTGATATATTTATCATATTTATGAGAATATTTACAACTTCAGTAGTATGTTTACCAAATTTGTGAAAATCTTTACAACTTCAATGGATTCATTACTAGTCCATGATCGATCAAATATGATTTTGATCAACCAAATCTCTCCAACACATACCACTGAGGTTGTAATTATTCTCATAAAAGTGGTAAATGATCCATTGAAGTTGTATATCTTGGATTAGTTGTAAAATTTTCATATATTAAGCACACATGTGTGTTCTGATCGATCGATCATATATACTGATTAATCATGGACTAGTGATTCACTCTAATTACCAAATTTGTGGGAATATTTATAAATTCAATAGTATGTTTATCAAATTTTTGAAAATCTTTACAATTTCAATGAATTCATTACTAGTCCATGATCGATCAAATATGATTTTGATTAATCAAATCTCCCCAACACATACCATTGAGGTTGTAATTATTCCCATAAAAGTGATAAATGATTAATTAAAGTTGTATATCTTGGATTAGTTGTAAAATTTTCATATATTAAGCACACATGTGTGTTCTGATCGATCGATCATATATATTGATCGATCATGGACTAGTGATTCACTTTAATTACCAAATTTGTGAGAATATTTACAACTTCAATGGTATGTTTACCAAATTTGTGAAAATATTTACAACCTCAGTGGTATATTTACTAAATTTATGAGATTATTTACAACTTCAATGAATTCTGTACTACATTTATGACAATATTTCCGAGAATTGTGAATGTTTTTTACGAGAGTTGTATTTAATTTGTAAATAATTTACAACTAATCCAAGAAGATATACAACTTCAATGGATGAATTACCATTTTTGTGAGAATATCTACAACTTTAATGGATTCTTTATGCGAATATTTACAACTTCAGTAGATTGTTTAACAAATTTGTGGGAATAATTACAACTGCAATGATTTGCTTACCAAATTTATGACAATATTTACAACTTGAATAAATTTTTTACCAATAACATGATTCATTGTTTATTTACTACAGAGCCCCCTTACAACACTTCAATTAATTCCTCATTTAGGGCATTTAAGTAAATACATAATAATTGATCTATCATATTTATTTTCAATCGATCGCAATCCCACTTGCCCTTCAACTTCTACATCAGTAACTCAATGATCGATCATTGAATATATTTGATTGATCAAATATGTTTAATTGATCTATCAAAAATATATTTGATCTATCAAACATGTTAAATTCAATTTTGAAAAATAATTAAAAAAATTGGATTTTTTTCAATTTTAAATAAATTGGATTTATAAAAATTGGATTTAAATTTTTTTTAAAAAATTGAATTTAACATATTTTTGATCTATCAAACATATCAGATGTCCCCAATATTTATGATCTGCAACAATTTGATTGATCAAATATACTCAATGATCGATAATTGAGTTACTGATGTAGAAGTTGAACGACAAGTGGGATTGCGATCGGCCCACTTTTATGGGAATAATTACAACCTCAATGGAATGTATTGGGGAGATTTGATCGATCAAAAATATATTTGGTCAATTATGGACTAGTAATAAATTCATTGAAGTTGTAAAAATTTTCACAAATTTGGTAAATATACCACTGAATTTGTAAATATTCTTACAAATTTGGTAATTAGATTGAATCACTAGTTCATGATCGATCAGTATATATGATCGATCGATCAGAACACACGTGTGCTTAATATATGAAAATTTTACAACTAATCCAAGATATACAACTTCAATGAATCATTTACCACTTGTATGAAAATATTTACAACCTTAGTGGTATGTGTTGGGGAGATTTGATCGATCAAAACCATATTTGATCGATCATGGACTAATAATGAATTTATTGAAGTTGTAAATATTTTCACAAATTTGGTAAACATACCACTAAAGTTGTAAATATTCTCACAAATTTGGTAAATATTTTCACAAATGTTGTAAAATTTTTACTAATATTATAATTTTATTCACTATAGTCGTAAACTTCTCACTAATGTTGGTATCTCTTGTCTTGTCATTTCAACGTCCTGTCTTATCTACCAACAAGTGTAAATATATCATAAATTTAATAAATATACCACTAATATTGTAATTTGAAATTTTCTATAGGATACCGAATTTTTCCTTGGTCGTACCGTAGCCTTCTCCTATGATATTTCCCCTGTAACATTTGTCGTCTTCTAGAGTTGCTTGCTTTTATGAAAGTGTGCTTTTATTGTTTGAAAATACAATTTAAGAGTATTAAGTAAATTTAATACCACTCACTGGTATGGAGGAAAAACAAATAGATTTATCCCTACCTAACTTAATAATGTTATTTGCACCAAAATAAAGTCTCTCCTTTTTTAGCAAACATAATAGAAGAGATAATTAAAGACCTTGCTTAGATCTATCATCATGTTATCGTGAAATCAAACGATGACAATAAAATAAAATTAACAAAAAAAACGAGAAAAATGTAATCCAAACAATTACACAATACAGAATTTATGTGATTCGATAATTTGTTTACGTCCACGAAATTACAGAATTTTTACTATTTTCAAGAAAGAATATAGAAAGGGCGGCGGCTATGCAAAATCCAAAACCCTAATCACCGAATAAAAGTTTATATATGTGCTACGCACAGGGCTACAAAACGGACCAAATTTTTTTTTTAGGTTTTAATGTTTTCATTAATTTTTTTTCCTTAGCCACTCTACAGTTCCCCGAATATGAATTGACAATTACACACAGTATATAGAAAAATCTATATAATATTATACATACGTTTATATTTTATTTTAACCATTTTTTTTTATACAAAACACAACAACGTTTTAGGTCAGTTAGATCTAACTCCACCCATGTATTAAAAAAAAACATATTTTATACGGGACATTTTAGAAGCTAATAATTTTTTTCAAAAATGTGTTAAAGTGAACTAAAAAAATAAATTAATAATAAGGTTGTAATATTAAAATTTATTTTTTAATTATTGTTATTGGTCAGCAATATTTTAAAGCTGGGAACGACAAGGGTGGAATCCGTGACAACACAAATTTGGACAACAACACAAAGGATCAAGTACGTCGTCGTTTCTTCTGAAGGGACAAGACACATGTGAAACGACTTCGTCTCATCGTCCTTTCATTGCCGTGCGTAAAACTCACCTTGCCAAAATCGTATCTACAGATGAGGGCAAATTATATTTTATATCCACAAAAAATTAAGAATTTTCATTTTATATCTTTAAACATTATTTTTTTTATATTATATGCTAAATATATTAAAATTATTATAATATAGCCCATATATTACTCATTTCATCAGCCTCAATAGCGCGAATTTTGACAAAATAAGCAATTAAAAGGTCACATTAGAATATTTTTAATAAATTGAGGGTAAAATATAAGAAATTTTATTTTTGAAGGTATAAAATAAAAATATTTAAATTTTTCGGAGTGCAACGTGAGATTCCCCCGCAAATGACTATATAATTGGCTGAGTCCTCTTTTCTCTCAATCATGTCTGAACCGCCTTCCTCAGTGAGGAAACCCCAACTCTCTTTCTTTCTCTCAGCATATTTACAGAGATACTTATGTATATTCCTCTACCTCACTCGAAAAAATAGCCAAAAGAAGAATAGTAATCATGTCTTCCCCAAGCAAACGCAGAGAGATGGATTTGATGAAACTGTAATTTATAAACCAACATATGATTTGTTTCACCATAATTTACAAAGTTTCTTGTTAATTTCAATTTTTTTTTATTTTTGGGTGTGGTTATTTTTGGGTGTTGATTTTTGTGAACTAGGATGATGAGTGATTATAAGGTGGAGATGATCAATGATGGCATGCAAGAGTTCTATGTGGAGTTTCATGGACCCAAAGACTGTATATTTCCTATAACCGTCTCTTCTTTTACCTCGTTTTTCTGTTTGATCTATCTGAATATGCGTTTGAGATGGCTTTGATGTTATCTTTGTCGGATGGTTGATCTCTCATCTTGATTGTTGTTATTTAGCTGTGTTGACTTATATGCATATGCCCCTAATTTAGCTGAAAATATGATAGCTGAGAACCACATATGTATTTCTCAGTTGTTGCTCTTCAGTTTATTTCGAATCGGACCCTTCGTCTAGATATATCTGGATAATCTGGTTTGGTGGTTTAGTTAAAGCATTGGTTAAATAATTCTGACCTTAGATTAATGCCCAGAATTCTTTGTTTCAGTTTTAAGCTGATTATGTAATGCTGAACTTGTGTTTTTGTAAACTTTTGAGTCCGTAAATTAGATTTAGCATTATAAGTTGAACTTAGCATCACTTGTGGCACCTGATTTTGATTTGTTTCTATTTCAGTATTTGACTTTCTGAATGAGCTGCAAGATTGTTGTTCACTGATATTCCTCACCGAGGGAAAGATTATATAGTGGATTGTATATCTATTTTCTCATTTCTTACTCTTCAGTTTATTTCAATTTGGACCCTTTTGTAAATCTCTGGTTGAATAATTCTTACTGTAGATTAATGCGACCCTTTTCTGTTTTAAGCTGATTATGTAATGCTGAACTTGTATTTTTGTGAACTTTGATTCCTTTAAATGAGTTTTAGCATTATAAGTTGAACTTAGCTTCACTTTTAGCGCCTGATTTTGATTTGTTTCTCTTTCAGTATATGACTTTCTGAATGAGCTGCAAGATTGTTGTTCACTGATTTTCCTCACCTTGGACAAAATTTTGTATAGTGTATTGCATTTGGGTGGTTTGGACTTTGGACAAAAAGGGGACTTTTTGCAATTTGCTGGTTTATGGCAGGTCCTTATCATGGAGGTGTGTGGAGGATAAGGGTGGAGCTACCAGATGCTTATCCATATAAATCTCCTTCCATTGGGTTTATCAACAAAATTTACCATCCAAATGTTGATGAGATGTGAGTTACTGGAAGAAAATAATTAACTTGTTTAAATGGTGGTGCTTTCTTAATTTAACTAGGATTATCATTCATAGCCTTCGTAAGGATGTGTTTATCAACTGTTACGTTTTCTTCATTTTGAGTTTCAGGTCTGGCTCAGTGTGCTTAGATGTTATCAACCAGACATGGAGCCCCATGTTTGGTAAGTCCTACTATTCATCATTTTCTTAGATATAGTTTTTTTTTTTCTCATTTGGCAGTATTTATTATTTACACAATGCTGTCTGGATTCTGCTATTAAACTCTTTTATTATGTATTTTTCCAGACCTGGTCAATGTGTTTGAAGTGTTTCTTCCTCAGCTTCTTTTGTATCCCAACCCATCAGATCCGTTGAATGGAGAGGCAGCAGCACTCATGATGCGTGACCGAACTACATATGACCAAAGGGTGAAAGGTAGCAATACTTTTGCAACTTATAGCTCCCTCAATGCATTCCTCTTGCTGTTTAAAATGGTCAACTTATGCTATCTCCAACTTCATATCCTTCCTTTTCCTAGGTTTAATATTTCCTTGAACCAATATCAATTCAGGTATCTATAAAGGAATAAAGGACTTTATTATAATCCATAATATTGTGTTTAGGTTTTGTTTCCTGTTTTTTATTCATGCTTTTTTGACCACTTCTTTATATTTTTCTAGCCTCTGAATTTGTGATGTAGTAATCTAAGTACTTTATAATGTGGTGCATGTTTGGGTCACCATGTTTTGTTGGATTGGTGAACTCTCTACTCAATTGATTCCAATATCTCATACATATCGACTTTTAGATTGAAGCTGAGTTTTGGAAGAGATCATTATTACGATCGACTGTTGAGGGATCTGATCTGTTGTGCATAGTGAAATTTCACTATTTCGTAGTCGTCATCATGCGCCAATAGTTGAAGCCTATTGCAAAGTGTTAAATTATTCCAATAAATCAATATGTTAGGACGTATTTCCTACCCTATTTTAGGTTGTGGATTTGCATAGGTGAGGTTTTCTCTTGAGGTGGTAGGTTCTTCCTATTTGTGTACTAGTGGAAGAGAACCATCTAAGATTAGAATTTTGTGAATTTACCGGGTTAGAAATTATCTGTGAATTAGCGACTCTGAAATTTGGGTAAAGTGGCCTCTCACTTATCTCTCCAGACCTTGCCTCGATATACGTCGTAAAGGAGAATATATAATAACAAAAATATATCTGTTGTTAAGTTTTACCCGTCAGACTTGGTTCTTGAGAAGTGGACTTTTCCAGTTGAAGTTGCAAGGTCTTTGGAGTCTTTCCTTATTATAAACTGATGCATGCCACTATGAAAGTATGATTGAAGTTAAATGATATGGTCATGTATGATTGAGAACTTCAATTGCATATGTGGATTAGCCAATCAAGAATCCATGTTTATCACCTATGATTTATGATAACGGACCATCTACTTATTTTGTAACATAATGAATCTAAACTGTTGTTCAGCATGTTTTAAAGTCTAATTATCAATTCCACTATCTGCATATTCAGAGGAATGTGATCAATTCCCTCTTCCACTTGACTCGTGGGTTTTGTTATGCTTCATGGCACAAGTGTGAGATGCCCCAGTTTCTTTTATTCTCACAAACTTGGAGGCAGAAAAAACTAATTCCACCTTTTTCTTGATGTATTTGCTGAATCTAGACTCGTAGAATAGATCTTTACGTTGGTCCAACAGTAACCTGAATTCCTATGATTTGGGGGGCTATGAGTGGATGGCTTGGGTGCGATTTTAGAGTTTCAGGTTGCATTGTTTGAAATTTGAAACTTGTTTACTTCACATTGTGATATCAGATTGTTACTTGAGTGGTGTTGCTTTGAAAATAGTACTTTATGTTTTGGTTTCAACTTTTGTTGATTGAGTCGTAAGCTTTGTTTGCTCTTTGAGCTCTTTGTAAGGGGTTTTTCTTTTTCCCATTCTTTTTGTAAAGCCATATCTTGATATTCAATAAAATTCAGCTTATTTGCCAAATAAAAAAACCTGATTCTACCTGAATCTGTTGTCTGTTCATTAGTTTTCCCTTGTTGGCTCTCTTATTTGAGTCTTGGGCACTTGCTAGACCAGCCAAGCTGCATCATCTCTTATCCGTATGTAGTCCATGGTCTAATCTATCCACAGCACTAATCATCCAAATAGTTGGGTTTATGAGGCCTGGTTAGAGAGCTCTGATGAAGATTATGTGAGCTGGTCGAATATTTATTTTGGTTGCAATATGCCATTTGACTTCCTGAGGTTGTCTATACTAGTCTGCAAAGTTCATACAATATTTGCTCATACATGTTTCATTTTTTCTCTCAGAATACTGTGAGAAATATGCTAAACCAGAAGATGCTGATGCTGCACCAGAGGCGAAATCTTGTGATGAAGAGCTGAGCGAAGATGAATACGCCTGCAGCGATGAGGAAGTCGCTGGTAAAGCTGATCCTTAGGGGAGTGAATTTATGGACCTTCACTTACCTATCTGTACATGATATTTACCTCCTAATGACAAACATCCCCACTGTTTTTTTTTTTTTAAAAAGGTTTAATCCTACTGCATGTTAATCAATAGACATGCCTAAACCAAGAAATGAGTAGGAACTTGAATTTTCCAGTTGATGAGCAACAAAACAACATCAGTGTGCGATCATCACTTTACGAGTTTCTACTTTCTCTTCTTTTTTCTTTAAGGCCTCTCTTAAGGCTTTGAACACTACTTTCCCTATCCTCTTAGGATAGAACTTTGTTTATAGTGTGAAAGTATGCATTTTTCCTCCTCAATAGCTAATTGTGAGTTCTTCTTGCTCATGTATTTGCTTTTGTTTCGTTTACTAGTCCTGCTTATCACTTTGTTGAGTATCTTTGAAATGTTGTTGCCTAACTCATCATTCTCTCAACTAACACTCCTAGTATAAGTTTTAGGAAAAGAGAGTCCATTTACACCTTAATCCCTTCTCTAAGACGTGGAAGCTTCCTCTGAGAGTAAAGCCTTAGACACTACGCTCTCTTGTCTGATTATCCTTTTCCTCTTAAAAAAATCCACCTATAGATACGTTTATATCAATATCAAATGCCTTACAGCGAGTTATATTTTGAGTGGTTAGTCCTTACTATCTCTTCTAGTGATACAAGAATGAGTTTGACAGAGAGAGCTGGATGTATCAACTTTTAGTTTCTATCAAGCTAGGCCAGCTAAGAATGTCTTTGATAGTTGCTTTCTTTTTACATGTAGTTTTATGCAATTTGAGCAGTGTGAAGACTGGAATTTAGTTTTACAAAAGCATGGAGAGAGAGAGAGAGAGGCACTATATTACCCAAAAAAAGGCACTAAATGAGATGTGCTTATTCTTCGCAAATTCTACAACTTTCAATTTAATATCAACAAAACTCCATTAGTATCTCATACAGAAAGAAGGATCATGTCCATTGTATCCAGCATATTTGGAAGTGTATAAATGTCATTGCATCAAGATATTGCTTTACTTGGAAGCTTAATAAAGTCTTGCCTGCATTGAATGATTTTGAACTTTCAGAAAGTTTCAGACAATAAGTACGATGACAATCTAATATTTTTAACCTAAGGCAAGCCGGAGACAAAGACGTACTTAGTGCACAAGACTCCTGCCATTGCGGGATCTAGGAAGGGTTTGATGAATGATCAGTACATGCAAATATGAAAATAACTGTATATGGCAAAAGAGAAAGTTCTTCCAAATAAGCAACAACAGATAATCAATAAGAATTGTAAAGAACATTTGGAGTGCAATATTAAAAGCCTAACCTCGTTGGAAAATATCCTTACAAATTCCTATATTCATTCCTGCATTCAGAAATCTACATAGCCTTAAAACTTGTCAGAATATACGAGCAACTAAACCCTTGAGAATGATATGGGTCAGAGCAAACAAATTTCCCTGCAATGAGAAAAAGGAGTACAAGTTTTATGCATAAAAGTCTCACATACTTATATAAGCAATATAGAAATTTCATCAGTTTGCAATTGTTCTACCTAGTTTTTCTCTCCTTGTCCATTTGTCTTAATTTCTGTCAAATTACTAAAGTTTCCAAAGGAATGAAAGGATAGTTAGATACCAATTGGCATTTGGTCCAATGGTACTCCTTGGCTTGTGAAGGCTACTAAATATACAATCTTTGAATAATCATAACAAATAGAAATACCAAGAATGGAAGATCATCACATTGGAGTAAAAGTGCAATGAAAAGCTTCTTTGGATTGGTAAAGCAGTTATATTCAAATTTTTTGTATGAACTTAATGTAAACTCTGATTACAAGGAACTGAAAATCTACGGTGATGTATGAACTTGAACATTAGCAAGGAGCCTTGTGAGTCTGCTGAGAGTTTCACGAGCAGCTATGGTGTCTGGATGATCCTCACCACATATCGACGTTCTAATGAAAACAGCCTTCCTAATTAGATCATCCCCTATATCAAACTGACCCCCTCTTAGCATTAGCTTAGCTCTGATTTCTAGCACAGTGGCTCGCGATAGGGCTAGTTCCTGCCAAAGGCAAGGATTCAACTGGGCATTTGTCTGTTTGGGTTTCCAACAAAGTGATTTATTCAACCACTTTTCAACAGGGGTGACAAATGCCTGATCTGCGGCTTCTAACGCATTCGTGCATAAGCGAAGCAGTTCTAGAGCAACACTGCAACGTGAGAATGTAATAAATGTTCGAATAGCAAGGGGTAAAATTACTTCTTTTACAAGAAATAGCAAATCTGAAACCTTCAGCTCAAAAACTATAGAGTCATTCCCAAATCCGAAGAGCAAGAAACAAGCTGCCCAAATATGTTCAGAGTGCTCTGAAATAGACCCGCGACAAATAACAGCTTGTAACATGGCTTGTGCAACCACAGCCACGTTTCTCTTCTGGGCATAAAGCCTAATGAGCTGGTTGAAGTGAAGATAACCTTCTTTTGTACAACTTCTAGCAATATTAAATCTGACCAACAACGAAGATGCTTCTGCTTCTGATTTCCTAGTGTACGACGATGTAAAGCCACAAGTCAACGAACACCAAATCCTTTTCCATAATCGAGTACGATGGAGCTTTTCAGGTATCTTCTGAGCGGCCAGAGCTAACAGAGACACCGGAATGGCTGCTGGTGCAAACCAACCACTTGCCAGAACCATCCTAGTCGCCAAACTTCTTGGCCCATCTGCATGATCAAATATTGAGAAACAAACCTCAAAGAGTTGCAAAAGGAAGGTATTTTGTCCCAATGGATGACTTTCCCTACCGCTCCATGTTATGTTCCTCAATTGCATTCGGTTAATGGTATCCAATAGCCTACTTGGATTTATGGGAAGCTCAGATAGAATTGCTCTTACAATGGCAAGGCCTAGAGTTAGCCTTCCAAGTTTGTCCTCAATAACATGGAGAGCATCAATTTCCGAAATAGGATAGTCTTTGGCACTTCCTTGCATTAAAGACATTGCCTCGACCCCTGATAGGTAAGAAAGCTTCAAAGGATCCAAATTCATCACACGAGAGAGGTGCGTTGATATTATAACATGGGTTTCTCCCCCAAAACGGGGAAGAAGATCCATTACAAGCTTGTGATCCCACCAGTCCATTTCGCTCTCTAAATTATCAATCACCACCAAAAAAGGAATGTTCTGCATAAGCTCCTTACGGACTCTAGCTATGGCTGCCTCTTCCTGCTCTTCAAAGCTCTTTATCCTGCTTTTCTCCTGGCAACTCGCAATACCAACATCAACTTCTAAGAATGACCACAAGTTCAAATAATTTTGGCGGATGTATCTATGTTCGCCTCCTATCCATAAGACCATCTTATACCTCTGATAGAACCTGTATGCAAATTCCAGAAGCAGCTCTGTCTTGCCAATTCCTGAATCTCCTGACACGCAAGCAATCCCCTTTCCATACATACTTTTCATGGATCTCTTCCTTGTTCCATGCTTTCCACCACTCTTTAACTTTGGTGCTCGGTGATGCATCCGAGGAAGTTCAGTGCTTTGCATCTCAATCTCCTTTTCAGACTCCTTCCACACAACAGGTTCTTTTCCCTTCATCCTGCTACTCTGAGTGCGTCGCTCCCTTCGTTTTTCATCTATTGAACTACTTCTACCCCAACCAATTGTCAAATTTTTTCTCCTAGGTCTGGCCTTGAGTTCAAAATAATCTCTTTCGGCATCTCCACTAACATCCCCAAAAAGCATAAACTCCAGCTCAGACATTTCTTTCTTCCTGCCAACAAAATTCTCATTCTGAGGAAAAGGGAACTCTGATTTGTCTACCTTCTCCCTCCATTTGGTTAATCTGTCAACTACACTTCTCCTTCCCAACCTCAGTGCCAAAAGGGTAACAGTCCTCAGTATGCATTCTCTCCACTTACCATCATGAGCCTCCAGTTTCCACTCATCAGCACGGGATAGGGCACTCACAGCGTCTCTCCATTCCTTCTCCAACCCTCCATAAAGAATCCAAAGTTCTCCTCCATATTTTTCCCATAGCTCCCCCCTTTTCTCAACTATGTCCCTAACAAGGCAATCATCTGGTCCCAAATCAAAGTATACTGGAACCAAATTCTTCTTGCTTGAAAAGAACCGTAGCTCTTCAATAGTATATGGATTCCGAAAGGACTTCCTGGTTAAGACTACAACCCCAAAAGTACAAGCATCCATTGCCCTCTCAACAATGCCATGCTTCCGAAAATTCTGACATCGAGTTCTATCTGTTACAAAGCAGGTCAATCCTTGAACTTCTAACTCTGCTCGGAGCCAATTAGTAAATCTTAGCAATAAAGGTTCGTGACCATGAAAACCTATGTACACATCGCAACTCCTCACTCTGTTGGAGGAAAAAGAAGTTGAAGACGGAGTAAATGAGGTTTCATGGTTTCTCCCAATCTTTTTCTGTTTTCCTCTTTGCCTAAAATAATCATTGCTGTGGCCAACACCGTAACTAGATTGATTGCAATTAGAAACGCAAGTTGAAGAAGAAACACGATCAAACTTCTGAAAGTCACTTGAAGTACAGGCTGCCGCAGCTGGATAAATATCCGACAAGCTGAATCTGACATTTGATAGAGATTTGGGGTCTGGAATCCCCAAACCGGATTTCAGCAGATCAACATTAGTTTTAGCACCATTACATAGATTGTCGGAACATGTAGATAATTGACACGTTGGTGATCTTGGAGAGAAGAAGGGTGACTGATTCGCAGAAAAGAATGCTGAAGATGAAGACGACAGGTTCCTTAAAGTAGTGCTTGGTAGTGAACCAAATCTGGAGCTTTCTTCCCGGAGATCCATGGTTATACCACTCACTCCCATGACTAGTGCAATCCCATGCAAGCTAGATATGGCAAGCTACTCTGAAAATGCGACAACTGTTTTAAGACTTTGAAGTCAGAGACTTCAATAGCCAAAGTGGAAAGAATTGATCTGAAAAAAATCAGCAAATTAAATGTTCTACATTGCATAATCATCTCTAAATTTTTACAATAAACATCATCATCATGCTAGTAAAGTAGCAATTAAACTTTCCACGAGAGAAAGAAGAAAGAAGAAAGAAATTTGCTCACTTTTGGAATTAGGAACATAACCAAAAGAATAAAAAGGGCATAAATATGCTAATTAAATAAAAATTGTTGTAAACTTGAGTTTCTATAACCATCAAAATCCATTCATAACAGACCATACAATCTAATAACAAACATAGCAACTCCTACAATTTGACAAACAATCTAGAGAAGCAACCAATAAAGTTTGAAACTGGGGCATCTTGGATATGAAGAAGCACATTGTAAGAACAAATAAGCTCCTTAATCAAGTGGCCCACTTCGTAATTCCTTACTATAAACAACAGGTTCCATAAGAATTTAGATCTGACAACTTACTTGAAACAAATCCACGAATGTCAGTATCAAAGATTCGACGTTTAGTCTTCATATCAAGCAAAACCGATTCTGTAAACGAATGATAAGCCAATAAAATAAGGAATTAAGAGCAACCCAAATAAAAAATCAACCAAAACAACTTTATAAACCTGTCAGAATAGAAATGAAGTTTCACCATTAGTCAGTAGTACATCCATGATACCTTAGAAAGAAAGAAAAAAATACACTCGGCTCCTTGGTAACTAGTAAGGAAATTTACAGGGAGAGTTTGAGGCTGAAAAACACTACTCCCGTGGAGGCAATGGAGTATCCAAGTTTTAACAGTTTTTGAGCCCATATTTTAGAACTGAGACAAAAGAGCAAAATTTGATTGAAGATGGCAAAAAGAAACGAAAATGGTTCACCTTTCAAAACAATCAAAAAGGGTTTAGACCATCAAGCTGTTTTCCTGAGTCCACTACACGCACACGCACACGCACACACACACTCTCTCTCTCTCTCTCTCTCTCTCTCAATCCCAAAGTATCAACTCTCTGCTTGTTTCTCTCCCTCTTTCTCCCTCTATGTCTTATGTTGTGCTTGAGAAATTGAGAATCTGGGCTGAAAATCCAAACGGGCACCGTTGGAGCAGAGGATGTATGGGACCCAACACAAAGGACGGATCTGACGAGGATATGGTGTTTTTGTTAGGACACTGATTTTACCGAGAAGTAAACTGGCTGCCGCTTTTTTCAGCTTTTGGGGTTCTACAGTTCACACCTAACAACTTATTGGAGCTTCTTCTTTACTGGGTCTTTGAATCTGTACTGCAATGAGTTGATAAATTATCTGATTTTTTTCTTGTTCAATGGCGTTGGGTGTCGCATGTTTTATTAATCTCCTTCTAAATTTGATTAAATATAAGTTATTCATATCAAAATTAGCTAAAGAGATAAACTTTTTGTTCATCATTGCCGAAAAATTGTTGCATCACTTTGAACAACGATAACCCCTGGGATGCATGGGCCATCATCATTGCACCCATTATTTTCTGTTGATGCATGTTATGATGTTTTTGTATCTCTTTTTAAAAAATTCTTCAATCTTAATAGGAAAAAAGCGATAACAAAGTGTAATTACATGATATTGGGATTGACGGTATGTTCATTTATAATTGTAACGATCCATTTCTTAATTTACTTAAGATAGTTTATGGCATAAATAAGTTAAGATTGATCATTTATAGAAAATGATCAATTACTTGAGTTCTTCTTGATCTCATAAGGGTCAAGTCGATGTCACTACAATGCTAATAAGCAATCATTGCAATTGTTTGGCATATGAAAAGAAAGTTTATTTTTTATCAGATCGAAGAGAGTATTAATCGAGATAAAAATTATTTCTAATAAACTTAAAAAAATATTCGAACAATCATTTTCTCGATCCCCAGACAGCATTGAAGTAAAAAAGATAGCATCCCTCTCTCTCAAAGGACTGTTCAGTTGACTTGAATGAGACTGAATCCAGCTCTTTTCATATCTGTCCAAAACACTCTTTTGGTACCTACCCATATTCACATGTCTGCATGTGAGACCGTACATGAGTTATAAAACAATCCCATCTATACAAAATGCCCTATAAAATAGGCCTGCAAACATGTGGACAACTAAGGAGTACAAAACAAGTATGTTATACACAAATATTTTGTTTTTGGTGGCTGTTTAAAAGACAAAATAAGTTTATGTCTGTTTATTTATCTCTGGACCCACAACAATTAGACATGTTTTTTTTTTTCCTTTCATGCATCTCAAATCCAAAGGGAGCCCCAGCAAACACTATTCATCATCCCAAGTTTGATGAATGACGGGCACTTATCCACTTAACTTTAAAGCAACTTGCCTATCTATTTTATTCACTTTCCCATTACAAGAATTAAGCTATTTCAAGGTGGTGTTTGGATTTAATGTCGGACCTAATGGTTTCAACGGTTTAATTTGATTAATTTCACATTCTCCCCAGTGCTCTAAGCAAAAAATAAAAAATAAAATTCTAGTTTTTACAAAAATTTAAAATTCTTTATTTGACCCTCAAGCTATGTTTATAGTATTTGTGTTAATTAAGTCCCTAAATTATGTTTTATGTCAATTTAGCCCTTGAACTATGCAATCTAACTCATTGTGACATTTCCATCGGAATTCGCCAATAACTTTGACAGAAATGTTGACGTGTACATCATGTGAGAGAGAGATTAGATTATAATTTAGGAGCAACATGATGTGTAAATGAGAGTTTTTGTCACAATTAACGATGAATTTGGACAGAAGGATTACATTGAGTCAAATTACATAATTTTGGGGCTAAATTAATATAAAAATATAATTTAGAGACTTGATTGATAAAAATAATATAATTCAGAAACTAAAATCTTCAATTAAATTAGATATATTTTGGGTTACCCATGAAGCTTTTCAATGCACAGTTCTCATTAATCATAATGAGGCCCATAACCAGGAAGTTGCCTACCTTCTCCTTTTGGTTATTTTACAACATCAAGGTGTCAAACTCAATAAACAAGTCATAAAATTGTACAAGTGTGCTGGCTTTAGCATAGGTTTAAGACTAGACTTTAGGCCTTTCATTACAATAGACAAGGCTCACATAACAAGCCAATGACCACCCCTTAAAAATGGTGTCAAGTAATAAAATTAAACCACATCACATATAAAAAATAAGAAGCTAAACATATTTTATGGGAAGACTTTTACTCCTCATCCTCCATGCATTGTTTATTTAAATAAGGTGATTTTTTTTTGGTTTTGGAAAAATCATAAAAGGCAAACGTTTAGTAAACGTGTAGGTTTGATATAACATGATACGATTAATAAATGAATTAAGTATGAATAAAATTAATTAAAAAAAATATACGACATAATTTATTTATATACCGAACATATATGATTCATATGCAATATAAACCCGATATATACGTTAAATTATTTTCAAGCATCTTTCATCATTTGGATTGAAAAGGGTCCCACATTTGGATGTGGGGTTCTATGCACATATATTGTAGTAACCAATATACATTCCTTAATGCTTATTCATACATGTGAAGTATTTGATAAGCCTAAAATTTGAATCTTTACCGTGTAAAGACAAAATATAAAATATTATACATTTGTGAGTGAAAAAAATATTAGGAAGGGAGGAAATGAAGGATAAGAGAGACCCATCATGTCAAGTATAATGGACTCCAATGGGCCATCCCATCCCATCCCATCCCTTTGCTTGCACTTGTACCTGGGGGTAATAGATAAGTCGAACCACTCTTTTTTAAGATGAATGAATTCGAATATTTTGGTTATTTTATATATAAATAAGTTAAATTTATAAGACTCGTTTTTTAAACGAATGTAAAAATTATTTGAATTCAACTCATATTTTAAACGAATAAACTCGAGTCAAACTCAAAACAAGCGAAATTTAAATGGATTTTTTAGGTGTAAGTACAATTTTTAATACTTATTTGAGCAAAAGTGTACGGGTAAATGATTTATTCTATTAAATACAATTTTTATAAAAAATTTTATGTTTAGGTACAAAATTCAAATGAATTCAAATCTTTTTTATTTAAACACTCTTCCTTATTTTATGCAGTCATGATTGACAATTATTTTAGGAAACAAATATTTAAAAATTACATATTTGTTATCTTCTTAATTTTTGAATTTTGAATGAGCAGTTTTGCCAGAGTTTTGTGCATCTATTGACAATTATTTTAGGAAACAAATATGTAATTTTTACATATTTGTTATCTTTATTTTTTTGAATCAAACGTATGTGTTCAACTGATAAGTCTTCTTCATCAAAAAAAATTTTCAACGGTGATTTACTTCTCCGGTGATGGATTTATTCGAAAAAAAGAACTGCAAATACCAATCACCGTTATCAGTTTAAAGATTAGTTGTTAATAATTATATTTCTTTTTTTATTTTGTCATTTTTTTTTGGAAAATTTCTATGTTCGATTTTGTTTTATGTTTGTTCGTTGTTGGAATGAAGGTGAAAAAAAAACTGCATTTGGTTTTAATGGGTGTAACTATTTTTTCTTATAGACATAATAAGTATATTTCTTCTTTTATTCGGTCATTTTTTTTTTGAAATGAATATGTTCGATTTTATTTTATGTTTGTTCGTTGTTGGAATGAAGGGGAAAAAAAAATTACTTTTTATTTTAATGAGTGTAACTATTTTTTCGTATAGATATAATAAGTATATTTCTTCTTTTATTCAATCATTTTTTTGGGGAAATTCCTATGTTTGATTTTGTTTTATGTTTGTTCGATGTTGGAATCAAGGGAGAAAAAATTGATTTTGTTTTAATAGGTGTAATTGTGTTTTAATGAGTGTAACTATTTTTTAATAGGTGTAACTGTGTTTTTAATTGGTGTAACTGTGTTTTAATGAATGTAACTGTATTTTAATGGGTGTATCTGTGTCAATACAGTTTTAACCATTAATTTTTGAATATTAATAGTTTGCGATTTGTGATCACAAATAATTACTTAAAACAATTACGTAACTATTTTTAATCAAAAAATCAAACAGCACAGATTGTGGGAAAAAAAATTAATGAACGACAAAAAAACAAAAATTAATGTCACCTATAATTTCTGGTGAAGAAGTTGCCAAAGATGATTCACAGTTACTTGACTGTAGGACACGATGAACAGTCCCAAACTAATTTAAAACCAATTATAAAGTATCATACTTGATTATTCTAATATAAACTAATTATCATTTCATGCTTTTTTTAAAGGGAAATAGCCATGACAATTTAAAAAAAAAAAAGATTAAAAAATAGAGGAGAAGGAAGAAGATAAGTAGATACGAGCAAAGACGAGACGTGAGGCGTGGGAATAGCCAAAAAAACGGATGGAAGATAAATTGGTTTCATATATCTACTGTTTAATAATGGTATTTTAAAAAATTATGCACTTTACCTAAAATAAGTTTTTGAGTTGTACTTTTGCCTAAATAAATCTAAAAAATTGTACCGACTTCTAAATTGCCCAATTTAAATTAAGCCGAGTAGCTCTTATCGTTACCACCCCTACTTGTACCTAAAAACTATTATTCACTCAATGTTATATTATAGAATCACTAGTCATAATCCGTGCCTGAAGGCACGATAAAATATAAAATTTGAGAATTCAAAAAATCGAACCTACTATATTAAATTTTTTCAAAATATATTAACTAAAAATTAATTAACTATTAAATGATTAGATATATAATAGAAATGAGTAGTATGATATTTTTAGGGAGGAAATATATAAATGATTAAATATGTGATAAAAATGAGTGATGTGATTTGACGTTTGTGTCTGACAAAGGGATGATAGGTGAGGTAAGTGATTGGTGATGATTTTGAGAAGAAAAATATAACTAAGATAAAATTTAAACACACTTCTGTTTTATTATATACATAAGGCCAGACCCATATTCAACGCTGAGGTTTATAGTATGGGATCATAAGGCCAGGCCCAGTTTGAGAGTTCAGGACCCTTACTTAACCCGGTTGGGCCATTAAAAAGTCGTTCCTTCAGAAAAAAAAGATTGAATCAGCCACTGCTGATGTTGATTAACTGAAAATTACCCCACCATTGGGCCCACTGATCCAAATTATCATAATACTTTGCCTATCTAAAACGTAAATTCCTCCGAATTATCATTATCTGTGTCTATCATCACTTCCTTTAAATTATCTTTTTTGTCGAAGGAATCTTTTCTCATTGTTCCATCTTAGGTTTCTAAGAAATCTCCTCTGTTTTCTCTTCACTGACCATCAGACTAAGGTAACACACAAAGATCAGTGTTTTTGTATCAGTTTTCCATATACTTCATGTTTTTTTTTTTTTCATATTTAATATTTATTTTGTCTGATTTTTCTTGTCCATAATCTAAAAATTATCCATATCCTTCTAAACCCTATAACTCAAAAGACCTCATCTGACTCTGTTTTCTCATATGGGTAGTCATTGTCTTCTTCTTTGATCTAGGTTTTTGGGTGTCTTTTTGTGAATTTTTCTGGGGTTTTGACCATCTGGGTAGCTTTCGTGTTGATAAAAGATTGAATCTTTTTGAGGGCTTCTTTCAATTTTTGTTATTGAACTGATTGTACTAGAAGTAGCTTATTGTAGGAGTATTCTAATTGGATAATGTCTCGGTTGATTCTACCATGCAAAGGTTCGGGCTTGTCGAAGACATGTCTCTTGGGTTTGATATCCTTTGCTCCTGTGATTATCCAATCCCGCTCTCTCTCTCTCTTTCTCACTTGAACTTGTTTATTTAATAGTTTTCTGGTTGTTTAAGAGACTATAGGGAAAAGAATTGAAACTTCGAAGTTTTTATTGTTGAAATGGCAGTTGTAATATTTCGAAGATGCTTTTGTATTTCCAAGATATAAATGTTTTTTATTTTTTGGGGGATAAGTTACTGATAGTTTCAAGTTTCAATTTTTTTCCTTTTACTTATGGGATGGTGTATTGTTTTTTTAGGAATTTACTTGGTCCCTTGATTAGCCTGCTAGAAGTACTGTACTTGCTATGCAGTGCTGTTTTTGCTTTCACAAGCATGAGAAATGCTTACATTGTGCCAATCAAGTGGCGTCTTAATATCGGCTGGGTGTTTTGGAGACTAAATTATCCCTTATGAGGCCCTAGATTTTGGTTGTGGCATATGACTTTATTCAGCAATTTACTTTATAAACTAGTTGTACATGACATCCTTCTTCCTGGTGATGTAGATTTGAGAAAACAATATATTTATGATTATCTACCACTTGACGAGGAAAGCATAGTGAAAAATACTCTCTCACCAGCTCCATTTCCATTTCTATGCCTTTTAGGTTTAAATGCGGTGTTGCCTCTGGTAATTTTGTTGGTGGGCCATATGAGTTACAGAGTTAACAAGTAGCTTACATTTCTGCTTTCTGTGTTATTATTGCAGTTTCAGGCAACTTGTCGTGTTAGTTCTGTTGGGCATCCAGCGAAGAATATTTCCAGATACAGACAGTATTGTAGTCTTGAGGTTTGTACATTTTCGTGTAGTTGCATCTAGTGGCCTGGTTCTCATGCGTCATTTTGCTTTCACATTTGTTGTTGTCATTTCAAGCTTTGGAATTTTAAACACAATCTTCTGAATATTCAAAATCTGATTTGATTCTAGGCAACGCATTGGAGGAATTATCGATTCCCGTGTTATTCGTTACAAGTAAGTTGTCAGTTTAATTATTCATGCCTCCCAAGAGACTCACATAATGCTGCATTTTTATGGCCACCTATTATTTTACATGCTAACTTTTCACCCTTTTTTAGAGTGTTAAGCAAGCAAGCAGGAGGTTAATTTGTTCGGTCGCAACAGGAACATTACCAAAACAAGTGGAAGAATCCAAGATGGACGCACCAAAAGAAATTTTTCTGAAAGATTATAAGTTAGCTGATTACTACTTTGATACGGTATATAAGTACTTCTGTACGCGTGAATATATATTTTTGTAGATTTGTGATTTGGATATATGACATCAGTCTATGTTCGTATGTGCTCTTCAAATTAATAAATAGGTGGATTTGAGATTTTCACTCGGTGAGGAGAAAACAATTGTGTCCTCCAAAATAAGTGTCTATCCCAGAGCTGAAGGTAGTATTCAGACCTTTCTTGGTCTTTTTCTTTCATTATATACACAATCATTTGATGCCATTCCCTTTATGAATATTTCCAGACAATTTTCTTTTTAACTGCATATAATTGTTGTAGCTAACATTGTATACTCATTCGGCGGCAATAACATTCTTGTATACAATTTTAACCTTGAATTTGACATCAAAATTATATTTCAGAAATGGTTAAAAAACTAATTTATCTCAACAAACAGGTTGCTCTTCCTCGTTAGTTTTAGATGGGAAAGATCTGAAGTTGGTTTCAGTTAATGTCAACAACAAGGAGCTGAAGGTATGTGATATGTGCAAAGCCCTCGCATAATTTTCCGTTACTTAATGCTTCACAAACTCTGCAATGCAACTTTTATTGAAGTTCTTATTGCTGGCCTATACTTGTTACCAACCTGGTAGAGCAAGTTTGGGAAGTTCCAATTCATTGGTCAAAGTAAACGGAACTTTTGTGAAGTCAAATTTTCAGGTCTGTTCTTTGTATGTCTTTGTACTTCATCATTCTTTACTTGCCTTTCATTTAAGGAGGGCGATTTCCTCTTGGACTCACGCCATCTGACTCTCCTCTCACCTCCAAGTGGTAAATTTACATTGGAAATCATTACTGAGATATACCCACAGAAGAACACTTCATTAGAGGTAGAAAACCACCTTTGTTAAAAAAATTTGTGTTTGTTTCTTTTCCTTGTGTCCCTCCTTACAACTGCATTGTTTTACAACAATAATACTACATTCTGCAGGGACTTTTCAAGTCATCTGGGAATTTCTGTACACAATGTGAAGCCGAGGGTTTCCGAAGAATTACATTCTATCAGGTTCATTATTTGGAGTGGACGAGTGGTAATTGATTTGATATGTTAATCGTTTTTGCAAATTACTGATGTTTCCATTTGCACTATCAGGATCGTCCTGATATTATGGCAAAATACACTTGTCGCGTTGAAGCTGACAAATCTCTGTACCCTGTACTATTGTCTAATGGAAATCTCACAGAGCAAGGAGACCTAGAGGTGAACTTCTCTGATTATTGTTAACAGAAAAGTTTGTAATACTTGGTTGCAGTAACTGTTTAAAGTTTAAAATTTGTTCCATTACAGGGAGGCAGACATTATGCTCTCTGGGAGGATCCGTTCAAGAAACCTTGCTATCTGTTTGCTTTAGTTGCTGGACAGTTAGAGAGCAGAGATGACACATTTACATCCCGTTCGGGGCGGAAGGTGTCCCTTAGAATTTGGACCCCTGCAGAAGATCTTCCTAAGACGGTGCATGCCATGTATTCCCTGAAGGCAGCAATGAAGTGGGATGAAGATGTCTGTCCTTTGTACTTTGAGCAGTCCTTTTGGTGCAGTTTTCAATTTACATTCATGATTTTGACACCATGCTTTCTTTTCTTCTTTTCTTGCGCAAACAGGTTTTTGGTCTTGAGTATGACTTGGATCTCTTCAATATTGTGGCAGTTCCAGACTTTAACATGTTAGTTCTTGATTATTATTATTATTATTTATTTTTTTTCGTTTTCTATTTTTTACGATGGCTTATTTTCTGGTTTTGGTGATTTCTTTAAACGTCTGAGTCTGTTTTTTCACTTAACAATTCTCAGGGGAGCTATGGAGAACAAGAGTTTGAATGTATGCTTCCGCAAAATCACATAAGCTCTTGTTTCCCTCTTTGCATCTTGCATTCGCAGCTTCTTAAGGTTTCTGACATGGTTGTCAACAGATTTTCAATTCCAAGCTTGTTTTGGCATCTCCAGAAACTGCTACAGATGCCGATTATGCTGCAATTTTGGGTGTCATAGGCCATGAGGTATGTCATCTATTTCGTTAAGGGTACCTGGGTATGAAGGATATTTTTAACTTTTAGTTGAATGTTTAATGATTTGTGCTTTATTCCTTGTCTGGATTGCAGTATTTCCACAACTGGACAGGCAATAGGTTGGCTTACTTCCCCTAGTTTTCTTTGTAGTATTTAGGCTTCCTTTTGTATAATTACATCCTTGTTCCCTAGTTTCCAATTGGGCTTCCACCTGCCTGATTTTTAAGATTTGAAAACTTTGTGCATGCAAAACAATTTGATGATTGTTGCAGTCATTTTATGCAGGTATCCTGGTATTTCTTATAATGTCAAGGTCAGAACTGAGATTCACATAGCTTAATTTTTGCAGGGTGACATGTCGTGACTGGTTCCAGCTTAGCCTAAAGGAAGGTCTCACTGTCTTCCGTGATCAGGTATTGATGTGTTTTCAGAGGCCTAGAGAGTTGCTAAGTACAAATATTTTCAGATGCCAATGGAGTTGTAACTACAAATATGTTTCGTGTTTGCCTTGGCCTATGAATCTCTAATTCCTCATTCAATTGGCAGGAATTTTCATCTGACATGGGGAGTCGTACGGTGAAACGAATCGGCGATGTTTCAAAGCTTCGTATTTATCAATTTCCTCAGGTTTATTTGTATAAAACTTTTGGAGTGATAAATTTGTCTTGTTATATCATTCTTTTTCCTGCTAAGGCACCCTGTAATGTTGTTGCCACCATTTGGATGGTTAATTATCCAATAGTCGTAGTATATGATCAGGACATGCAGATGTCACTTTAATTTTGGAATGTGGCTTACCATGTTGCAATTACTAAACAACTTTCTGGATCTTCTAGGATGCTGGTCCCATGGCTCATCCTGTACGGCCTCACTCTTACATTAAGGTCTGTGTTCACTGCTTTCATTTGATGGCTCCTCTCAAAGGCTGTAGCTTACTCTTAAGCTTTTTAACTGTCTGGTTATTCTTATATTGTTTCCATTTGTTTCCTTGACAGATGGACAACTTCTACACCGGCAAGTTTCTGTCTTATAATAGAAGGGGTTTCTATTTATTATAACTTTGAGCTAGAAATTTATACTTGGATGTTATCTTGGTGACTTTGAAATTGAATTTGCTATTGACTTTGGATTTTGACTATTTCGGCTGTCGACTATACTGATATGTTGGTATGCTGGCTAATCTGGTGTATTCATCGGCTTCTACTTGGCAGTAACGGTAGGGATTTACAGTTTTTTTTTTCCTCTATTTCTTTGTGCACCCATTTCTGATCTCGATTGGATTGTAACTAATTGTTGGCTGTTCTGTTCTTGCTTTCTTCACTTTCTTGTTTACAGGTGTATGAGAAGGTCTCTCTCTCTCTCTCTCTCTCCCCGCGCGTGTGTGTGGGCACGCGCAAGCGCATGCGTGCATTTGTATGAGGACATTTCCTTGCTCATCATGTTCATTTTTACCCTTCTTGTTTTTAGGGAGCTGAAGTTGTCAGGATGTACAAAACCTTGCTGGGGGGTCAAGGTTTCAGAAAGGTAAGAAAGGGGTAATGCCCGAACCTGAAACTGAGGCACAGATGATGATTATTTGATTTCCACACCAGGTTTCTTCGTTTGCGTAAGTTGTCTTCTTCACATTTCAGGGCATGGATCTATATTTCAAGAGGCATGATGGGGAAGCTGTAACATGTGAAGATTTCTTTGCTGCCATGCGAGATGCAAATGATGCAGAATTTTCTAATTTCTTGTTATGGTATATCATTGACCTATGTTCTTTTCTTGTAATTTTGAATCTGTTTGTATGCTTATGCTTTTGAATGAATTTACGTGTAGGTACTCCCAAGCTGGGACCCCTCGCGTGAAGGTTGTTTCTAATTACAATGCTGAAGCTAAGTCATACTCTCTTAAGTTTAGGTGAGAATTCTAAGGATGTTGTCTCAAGGACAAGGTTTCTGCCTATCTTCTCATTTGGCTGATGATTTCATAAATAACAAGTATTTGATTGGCATTTTCACAGTCAAGAGGTTCCACCAACCCCAGGGCAGCCAGTGAAAGAGCCTATGTTCATTCCTGTTGCAGTAGGTCTGCTGGACTCGAGTGGCAAGGACATGCCTCTCTCCTTTGTGTATCATGATGGAAAGTCGGAGTCTATCACAAGCAATGATCTTCCTGTCTATACTACGGTTCTTAGAGTAACAAAGGTCAGTTCGGCACTTCTACGTGGCATTACTTGAAGTCCCTTTTCACAGTTTTGAGCAGCTGATGTTCATGGTGTGTAACTTGGTTATTAATACCTAAAACTATGCAACACAGTACTTACCCAAAGAAAACTATGCAACTCAGTTTGTGTGGTATCATTTATGGCAAACTCAAGAACAAAATCAGCCAAGGTTGGTTTTCCATGTAAAAATTCAGAACTATCCAGCTTCTGCAGTCTGCTGAACAGAAGTCAAACAAAAAAAATCCTAGGTCTGTTTTGGGTGATCCGTTCCAGTATGCTCTAATGACCAACAAGTAGAATGGAAAGAGTAAAGATGGGGCAGTTTTATACTAGTGTGGATATAGAAGTTTCTTGTGAAACTGATGTGGATGTAGACACACACCTGTCCTTCGTTGAACTCTGCACTTGTCGCCTTGTCAATTCTAGATAGATATTCCCTCACCAATGCTGTTGGTGAATTCCCTGGGGTGTAGGGTTATACAATTAGATATCTGCTGTGGATGAAATGATATCTCGAGTTGATGTTTTCTATTGTGATGTCATACATAGATTGGCCTCTTGAGGTATTATGGCTGCCTTATAGGTTGAACATGATATTTGTATGAATGGGCCTCGATACTGCCACATAATTTCAAGATAATATTTATATGAGTGAGCCTTGATGAAGAAAAAAATATTTTTGGTTGAGCTTTGCTTTAATCCTAGTTTTTGCTCTATTTTGTCTTTGGTGGTAATCTAATCTTGTTTGTAATGAGCAGAAAGAAGAAGAATTTGTGTTTCCTGATGTACCCGAGCAGCCAATTCCGTCTCTGTTACGAGGCTACAGCTCTCCTATCCGTCTTGACTCTGATCTCTCTGACAGTGATTTATTTTTCCTCCTTGCTCATGATTCAGATGAGTTCAATCGGTATGTAATTAGCAAACAATAGGTCTGATTCATACCCTATTGAGCAAAGAATTGAGATTGTTGACAGATTGTTTTTAATGCTTTAGTTGGGAAGCTGGACAGATATTGGCAAGGAAGCTGATGCTTGGCCTAGTGGCTGATTTCCAGCAAAGGAAGCCACTTATTCTCCATCCACAGTTCATGGACGGAGTTAAAAGCATACTCTGTGACCCAATATTGGATAAGGTACTAATCACACATGCTTGCATGTGTTATTTAATAATTTTTCAAAAAACAAAGTTATTTTTCTTACCAACTTTCATTTTTTGTATTATACAGGAATTCATTGCCAAGGCAATAACCTTACCTGGTGAAGGGGAGATCATGGACATGATGGAAGTTGCAGACCCTGATGCTGTTCATGCAGTTCGCACTTACATCAAAAAGCAGCTAGCTTCCAAATTAAAAGAAGAGTTTATCAGCACGGTATAATATCTATGAAGAATTGGACAAACGCTACTTTTTTCTCGTCTTTTTAAATTTTGTTTGGCAATTAACTCTACTGCTGGTATACTTCACAGGTAAAAAACAACAAGAGCTCAGAGCAGTATGAGTTTAACCATCCCGAGATGGCAAGGCGTGCTCTTAAAAATGTGGCACTTGGTATGTGCTATTCAGAAGCATTTATTTGCTAGATTAAAGTATAAAACATTGTTTTACTGATTTACCCCAAAAAAAGGAAAGAATTTTTGTTTTACTAATTATAACCGTGTTTTCCACATCTTCAGTATATCTTGCGTCACTTGAAGATCCAGAACTCACAGAGCTTGCATTGCAAGAATACAAAACTGCCACAAATATGACTGAACAATTTGCAGCTCTGACAGCTATTGCTCAGAACCCTGGGAAAACTCGGGATGATGTTCTGGCTGACTTCTATAGCAATTGGCAACATGACTTCTTGGTAGTCCGCTGCCCTCATAGTTTTTCCATGCTTTCGATGAAGTTTTCATGCATTTTGTGGGGCATATCCTTTCAACTTTCAAGTTATCAATATTGCAGAAAAATTGAGTGTGTGGATGTTTATGTTCGTTTAGTAGTTTTGCTTTGGAAGCAAACTTTTAGGAAGGGAGACATTGAAATATACGTTGCAATAAACTGATGGATTTCACAATCATCAAAAGGTGTGTTAAATATGTGTTCCATACATTACCATGGCGAGTCAGACAAATGAATTTGTTCATTCTCTTGAGGCGTGAGAGTTACTTTGTAGTATTTGACCATTCTTTTACATTCAAAATTCTTTTTCTGGATTTTGGTTAGGAGGTTGCATGGTTCTCACCTGCAGCTTCTTGGGCCCAGCGGCGCAGTCCCACTGCCAAGTGATTCCAGTATTGTCTTTTAATACAGCTTACTCTCCTAGTTTTGAGACTTTGAGGAAATCCTTTCGTAGGTTGCCTTTTCTTGTAGCTAAATGTTACATAGAATATTTGGATAATAGAACAAGGTTTAGATTAGAAGAAAGTTGTCATTAAATGAAGTCTTTTCATATAGTTAAAAAGTAAAAGAATACCATTCTCTAATATCCCATAGAACTAGCTTTTCGGACTCATTGCCCTGTCACCCTATTGAGTTGTTCTAATTGCTAATCATGAGGGAGGTCAAGTATCCATTGTGGTTCCGTTGTTGTATCAGTTCTCATCAGGGCTAGACTCCTATGATCCAGAATTTCTATCAGTTGCTTTGTGAACTTTGCTTCTTGTTTATCAATCATCTACTACTGATTTTAACATGACACATGATCTGTGCACCTGGGGTGCTGCTCTGGCGGCAGACCACGAACCCCAATCTATAGATTCATTTTGCGGAATCTGTGGATTGAAAATCAAGATGCCTAAATTCAATTATTTCCCACTTTCGCATCTTGAATTCTTGACTGTTTGGATCCTGACGATTCAGATTCGTGGGGTCTTCTTGTTGGGGAAGAAGAGTACTTTGCTGGAGTGGAAAGAGATTAGGTTCCAAATTCCATTTATGTGACTGATTCAGTGTTTTTATACATGATTTGTGGATGAAGTGAAATTCTACCTATTTATCTTCTTTTTCCATCCACTTTTTATTTCCACTGTGTATTGTCATTGTCTTTTTTGTTTTCTGTGGTCTCTGTGAGGTGACATTAGACCAGTGTATAATGATGTATTTAATCATTTTAAAATTGCAATATAAGGCCCACATGCTAGTTATATTTAAAAATTACCTTGACTTTATTTCCTTTCTAATCAAACCCACCCTTATAATTTCCATCTCCTCTGTACTCAAGCTTAACATGTGTCTTTGTTTCTATCAAGACCTTGGCAAAAGAATATTTTTTAATGTTCATTATAATTTTTTGGCTTAGAAGTTGTATTATTTACACGAGTGGATGCTCTGAAAGTGCTCCCACTCACAGGAAAATTTTCCTTTTGCCACTTTCGATTGAGACTTATTTTAACATCTATTGGTTAAACATATAGCGAACATTTTATCATTTATGTATCTGAAGAAAGGTTAATTAAGCACACAATGATATCCCGTCCCATCAAAGTTGTTTTTTCTGGGATTGAAATCTTGGTATTTTCATCAATATTATTTAATATTTTTTTTCTCCAGGTTGTGAATAAATGGTTTGCCCTTCAAGCAATGTCAGACATTTCTGGTAATGTTGAGCATGTCCGGAACCTCCTAAATCACCCAGCATTTGACATGCGCAACCCTAATAAGGTATATAATTTATCTCTCGCCCACAGATTGATTGTTGGTCTATTAGAAATATTTCACTTTAGACGGGAAACATGATGTTCATGTTGAATTGTCCCCGCGATACAGGTATATTCGCTGATTGGAGGATTTTGTGGGTCTCCTGTTAATTTCCATGCAAAAGATGGGTCAGGCTACATATTCTTAGGAGAAATGGTTGTGCAGCTTGACAAGCTGAACCCACAGGTCTGTTCAGAAAGAAATATCTTCTCTTACTCGGTTTTCATCTGTTTCATTTGTTATATAATTCCTTTTGACTTTAAAATGGATTGCAGGTGGCCTCTCGCATGGTGTCAGCCTTCTCCAGATGGAAGCGTTATGATGAAACCCGACAAGGCCTTGCCAAGGTAATTAAGCTGTTTCATCAAATGTCTCATCATTGTATAATTCGACATACAACATGAAGCTTCGCGACTAGATTTTACTTGAGAACCATACAGTTTGTATCTTGAAATTCTAAGTTTTCACTCAAAAAAAAAACTCGTTTTCAGCATTTTAAAAATAACTGGATGACATTTTACAGGCCCAGCTGCAGATGATCATGTCTACCAATGGACTTTCAGAGAATGTGTTCGAGATTGCCTCAAAAAGCTTGGCTACTTAAGTAATTTTCCTTGTTTTGAAGGATAAACTGCCACTTATTTTTGATCGAATTAGTTTCCGAAAAAATCTCCAGTTCAAGTATAGATTTTGTGATCGCATAAACTGCCTAGCTCTCAACCAACTGTTAGAATGACTAGGATGTTTGAGTTCCATTTTCAATAATGCAGTGGAAGTGCTTTGGCAACCCCTAAACCTGCTTGTTTTTGCTGAGACAGGACCAGCTTGTCCCACATGTTGGATTCCATGTTTGCATCGTCTGTTCTCTTAAAGCATATTTGGTAGTGGAAATGCTGGTGTGATATCAGAGAATCAGAGGGTTTATTTGTGCAATGCACGACAAGTGTGTAAGGTTAAAATATAAGTGGACAGATGTATTGTGGTTAAAATGTTAAATATGTAAATTAATTGTGGTTAAAAAGTTAAATTGTAAGTATGGAATTTATTTTACTTAAAAGATCAAATGTAAGTTCGTAAGATAAACTGTAGAATGCAAATGATTAGATGGTTGTGCTTAATGTTCAACCTTTGGACACCTTGCTGGTTTTAGTAGTTGTAAAGTCCTAATATGTGCATCTGATATTAAAAAATGACAACTAAACCATTGGTTTAGTGGTTGTGCCTGATTTTAGGTGATTTAGAGGTTTCATGTTCAATTTTTTCTCACACGCTTCAAGGAGTTTGAGCCACGGTGGTCAGTCATTGAGTTCGAGGGAGTAGTCTGCACAAATCTAGACACCCATAGCTAAAAAAAAAAAAAAAGAAAGTAAAGCAAAACCTTCTACCATTCCTTGTGGTTTGGTGAACAAGTATGCTGTCTTGTGGCTTTTTGAAATCAAAATGCAAGCCCCAATATTAATAATTTTATAATCTTATCCTTTGAATTTTTCATAAATATCTTAGTATAGTCTGTCTTTAATTAGACTGAGGAGGAGATTAGTTGAAATTTGTGTAAACGGGTTAGGATATCTTTGACTATTGAATAAAAAAAAAATTTCCCTACAATACTGTTTTGTTTCAAGTTATTTTTTAAACTGTCATCATTTTTACAGAAGTCGTTAGTAAAACATGTTCAAAGTTTTTCTTTAAACTTGTATTCTGTAAATACGTGTTTACATTGAAAAACGTGAGTTAACTATTCTTTCCCAAGTTGTTTATGACGTCGGCCTTAGACCACAGGGAGGTTTGCTTCTTTGTTTGGATCAAGCATGGAAGATGAATTTCGTGTTGGAGTTGTATTCCAAAGGTTTTTATTATCATTTAAAAGCTTGTATGGGGGCTGAAGTCAATAAGATGTCGCCTAAAATTAGGTTCAAGTGCTTATCTTCTTCACCAACATTCGAAACAACATCGTCGAAGTTTCCCTCAACAACTTGCATTCTTTTAAAAACTTAGCATAGCTCTCAAAGTCATGGTACATCAAAACACAAAGATTTTTTTTTTTTTTTTTTTATGATAACGGCATGAATTAGAATCCTTTATACTACTATCATATGAGGGTGAGTATTGACGCAACGATAAAGTTGTTTTATTATGATTTGAAGGTCATGAGTTTAAGTCGCAAAAATATGCTCTTTGGTTGTTACAAGTGTAAGATTGCGTACATCTAACCCTCCTCAAACTCCGCAATGATGGGAGTCTTGTGCACTGGTTACGCCCTATATTATTGTCATATCTTACTTGTTTCAATGCTAAGATCACTTATCCTCTATTTACGGGAAAAAAAATCTACCAAAAATAGGAATTATATTTCACGACAGTCCAATGTTTTTTAGGCTTTTCGAGGCCGATTAGCATTGAAAATGGTGATAATCATGATTAAAGCCTTTGAAGTATTAATCATTTCGGATTATGCTTAGGAAATTGTTAACTTTCAATTAATTTCCTAAGAAATTCAAATGACAAAGCACATCAAATAATGTTCCACACAACCTTTTGAAGGATTTTTCCCCTTTCAACTATCCAATCAACCCCCAAACGTCCCCTACCCCCCATCATCACAAGGACAGGTGGTGTGCTGGGTAGGACCATGACCCTATTAAAACCACCCAAGAAGTGTAGAACTATAGTGTGTGAAATACCCAATTGTGTCATGTTCTGGTGGACCCAAAAGCTGAATTTCTCAAGACCATAGCCTTTTGAATCATGTAAAAGTTGAAGTATAAAAGTAAATCTTTTGCGAGCCCTAGTGTGAATCATAGTGCAACATGCTTTGGGAGTTAAAAGATAAAAAAGTTTGTAGCTACAAAGATTCTTTTTCCTAGTTATCATACAGATGTAGATTTGGAGAGAGAGAAGTCACCTTATTCACATAAAGTTCAAGGATAAAGTATGTTTTGATCTTGTTAATTTTGTTTTTAGTTGATACTAATATCTCTAACATTATATATTTAGAGTCATTGATTTTTCAAATTGTTACTAATAAGAGTAAAATTCTGGGCGTGGGCCACCAACAAGCCAAAAGCCCAAAAAATCATGAGGAACTGGAGAAAAGTCCATTAGCTCAACCTAGAGCACCTCCTATTAACCCAAGACAGAGAGTTGAAAGGACAAGCCCCAACGAGCACCCGAGGGGCAGTGGTCCAAACCCAACCCAATCAGGTGCCTGCTAAAAGGCAATTCGAAGAGAAGGAATTGGATCTTTGCCTTGAAGCCACCCCGCCATGCCACGTGTTTAGAGGACAAGGGGACCATCTTTGAAACCAACGATAGCTGCATCCTCCAACATGCAGAAGATAGTGGAGTATAACGCCCCAGAGATTGTGGGCGCAGTGGCTCCGGCTGAAAAAGGCTTTTGCAGGACAAGGACAGGAGGTCCCCACAAGATCGGTAAAAGGTAGAAGGAACCACTAGAAATCACAAAGAGAAGCGACCTATATATATATAGAACAATACCCTACAGAAGAGGGAGATCTCAGAGAACCAAAACATAACTGTGAACACAATCCAATAAGCTTAGGGCCATCTGTAAGGGCCAGCGCCTGAATCCCTGCTGTATTCATTAATGTTTCAATATACAAAGTCAAGAAATAAGAGATTCTATTACAGTGGATATAACATTGGTTTATCGGCTAAGGCGAATCACTTATCTTTCTTGTTTTCTCTTTTTAAGAGAACTCAATCTGCCAAACCTACTCTAACATCGAACCTAATAACCTCTCACGTGCGTTGGGCTTGAGCTGTGATTTTCAAGACTCCATCAGTTACGTTTTTCACATTGTATATATTTCAGACATCTATTATAAATTAAATAAATTTTTTATTATTTTATCTACTGAATTGCGTGATTCTGTCCATTTTATTATGAATTCTAATAACTTGTAACATATTTTTTCAAAATATGGTGGCCGTGTTTTTTGATTTATGTGTGAGTAATTAAAATATTGAAGGGATAAGAAAAAGATAAATATTATAGTTAGTCCGAAAAAAATTCTTTTATTTTATAATGGTCATTAAATTTTTAATTATGTCAAGTTAGTCCATTAATTATTAAATTTGTGGTTATTCGATCTTTTCATCAATTTTAACTAGTAGAATAAACGAAAACAAATCAGGTACTTATCATGTGTTCGTTCACGTCAAGTGTCGTCATTTATTATAATTGTTAAAATTGATGGAAGAATTTAATTGAAACAAAATTTATAATTAAGAGATTAAATTAAAATAATTAAAAAATTTATAATTTTAATCTCTACCGTAAAAAAATTAACATCACAGTCAGAAGTCAATGATGAAAATAATAATTTCCCAAAAAGTTTAATGAAAAGGTTGGTTGGGTCTTCCACTATTGAGCGTCGAAAAGAAGTGATTGTTGAAAGATGAACCAACCGTGCAAGTTAGTTTAAGTGGCGGGTAAAGGGGAAGAATTTTCAGGGTGGGCCCAATCTTACGCAGGGGGTGAGCACGAAAATCCATCGAGAAGTGGATGGGCGCACGTGCACTCACAAAATAATAATAGTAATTAAAGCGTTACTAAACGTCGCTAAAAGCTAATTTTTTTATTGTAAATAAATAAATAGCTATGTTCCATTAAAGGACCAAACTGCCCCCAAGGGTGCTACTTATTAATTTATGGTAAATGAATATTTTTTTATTTTTAAATAAAAAAAAGATAAATTTCTCGGCTCAACTTTAAAATTAAATGTAATTAAAAATTTCATAATATTTGATTAATATTATACTATAAACAAGATTAAACTAGTCAAAATCAAATGTCAACGCATTAACAATTTTAAATAACTGTATTCCAAATCGCACAGTAAAAACAACATTACGGTATACACAATTCAAGAATAAATCGATATATGTTGAATTGTCATTTTGATCAATGATACATATTGAAGGTCTTCAATCTTGCAAGATATTTGGCTCCTCAAATTAAATTTAATTATCCTTTTTTGTTTCAATTATTTCTCAAATTAGGTTTATTGGATCACTAACTATTTGCCCAAGTAGAAACCATCATTTTTTTCCCATAACAAAATAGGAATTCATGTTTTATTTAGAATCGTGAGATCCTCAATTATGATCGAATAAACAAAAGTACATATTTACCGTAACAATTGTCTAAATACGTAAAATATAACATGTCCATGTGGTATGTTATTATTAAGTTTCAAAATTATCGATGACATTATGACGGTTATATAAACTATTTATTTGTAAAAAAAAAAATCTCCAAAAATAGTTATAAATTGAGCAATATTGTACTATAAATGACCCTAATAAAAGTGTATAATAGGTGTTTAAAAAATCAGAAGGTCATTCTAGTAATTTCAGTCCATGCAAAAACATATTCTATTAATCCCGATATAAAGCGGTAGCCAATAGCCCCTGTTTCCGATGATCACCCAATGGAGAAACCAAAGCAAGTCACTGCCGTGTTTGACATCAAAAGCCACGAAAGCTCGTAGCATATACACTATAGAGAGAGAAAATTCTAGAGGGAGAGAGAGAGAGTTTATTTGTGTAATCCGGCGTTTATACTTTCGTGCTTTGCAATCTTGTTTGGTTTCTCTGATACTTTGAGTGAATTTCTAGGAAAAAGTTGAAATTTTCTTGGCTAGATTTGATCGCAGAAAAGCGAGATTGGTCGATGAACAACAAAATTTCCCGTGAAGTTTGTGTTGATTGATTGATTGAGCCAGGAAGATGAGGGGAGTGAATGGAGAGATGAGAGGAGTGAACAATACTTTTGAGACCATAAACGCTGCTGCGAATGCGATCGCTATGGCTGAGAATCGTGTGCGTCAAGCTTCAGTTCAGGTAATTCATTTCATTTCATTTGATTCCGACCTATTTTTATATCATTCAATATTTTATAGTTTTATTGCACGAATTCAAGCAATTCATTTCATTTCATTCCGACTTTTTTTTAATTACTTCACGAATTCAATCATTTGATTTCTTCCATAGGCTGCTTTTTAGGTTTTTAGATCTGTTAATTTTTCATATCAGTAATTCGATGATTGACTCAACTTTTCTGTAACCCGGCTTGTTTATAATTTGTTATCATTTTGTGTTGAAGGTTGACTTTGAGTTTTTGAGAAAGTCTATGGCTTTAGCTTGAAGGAGATTTGAAGTTCCAGTGCTTTGCTTTAGTAAGATGCGGTTTACATGTTGGCATGTTCTTTGAAGGAATGAAGCTTTTTGGGAATTTAATGGCTATTTGTTTTTGTTGATGGAACAAGGTTTTCTAACTACTTATCCTAGGAATTAGATGCGAAATAAATTCATGTGACAAGCTCTGCTGCTTGTGACATTGCTAGCTGTCTAGCTGCATGGCATGTTGCAGTTTGTTTTCAGCAAAGATCTTTTATTCCATTTGAAATTTAGCCGTTTTTTTTTCCTGATGAATATGATCAGAATCATTATTGGCAGGGTGAATTTCATTTGGATGAGAGAACCTAGTGCTTTGCTGATACCAATACTTTTGAAGTGTGTAAGGATCTTACATTGTGCTGAAGTGACTAGAAATTTGCAATTAACCCCTGCTTTTGGAGTTCTATTTCTCTGGCTTCGACTTGGTCTATAATTTCACAGAAAAAATATTTGATTGTTTCATAAACATTTTGAATAATGTGGTCAGATGGATTCAAAATTCTATTATGGTAGTTGAGCTGCTCATGCCTCTCTCAAATATGATGATTTGATTTTATATTTGTCTTTCTGATTTTAATGTACTGTCCCTCGGGAGGTAATTTGTGAATCTAGCTGATGTTTTCTAGTAGGACTTCAGATATTATTGTAGATCAGAGTTATAGAATGAACAGTTGTAGTCCTATTTTATTTATTTAACTTTTTTTTTATGGGTATTCCTCTTTTATGGAAAAGAAGAAATTTCACTTTTCCTTAACGAATCATGGGTAAGTTTCTGTTAAACTGCATAAAGACATGAGAATTGGTGACATAGTTACGATTTAAAATTTTGTTTCATGTGATTACAATGTAAGCATTTCATCGGGATGCAATAAAGATGTGGATGGACTTTTGTAATAACTTTGAAAGCTAATAGTTTTAGTACTGTATCCATGAGGTGCCACGTATTGCAGTGGAACAAATTTTCTCTGCAGCCTTCTGTCTTTATTAAATGCAGTTGGGCACTTTGTGCCTTATCAAAAAGAATGGCAAGGTTTATTGTTTGCAATGTTATATCAGTTATAACTTGGTCTATGTGATTTCTTTCTTATTAGACTCATTTTATTTGTCCAATGTATAATGTGATGTTATGTCAGTTATAACTTGGTCGATGTATGATTGCCAGCTATCCACGGCATCTTTTTTGTTTCTTCCATTTTTCTCCACTCTGCGTAGTTTTTCCTTTTTTTCTGGTGAGTACATTCTCACAATTGAAGAGCTAAATATAGATGTTCCATGATGCATGATCCAAAAACAATCAGTCCTAAACAAAGTCATGTCAAAATTTTTGAAATTGTCATGCCCTCCTTGTAGCCATGACAAAATGCAACACTTTTTTTGTCGCTATCCACAAATCAAATGATGAGAACGTGATTCAATGTGGATATTGAATTCTTGTTTTGCTTTTAAATGTAATGTTAGCTCATTTGAACCAATGTGCATGTCTAGTTCAAGTAAAAATATAGTGTCTGCACCAGAAGTTTCTATGCACTTCTCATATGGAGTTAAGAGTGGCAAATATATGCGTATCCTTTGGTTTCTGCAACTTTTTTCATCACTCAGTTACAAGTAGTAAAGCATTTAATGTCACTCCAGACAACAAAGAATGTCAGATCTGTGTATGTACATATCATATGGAAGCATATGGCTTGTGATTGTGTTTTTTTTATGGTGTTTTAGACTATTAGAGAACACATTAATCAGATTTATTGTGTTTTCTTTAGTTTTTTTAGTTTATTGTGTTGGTTTTTTAACTTAAAATTTGAAAATTTGTGAGGCATTCCGCATTCCTACCCTACGTTCTGAGCCGATTTTTTGGATGGAATTCGGCTCGAAATATTACCCTCAATCTGGTAGAGTCGACCAAAGAAATAATCTTCCTCAACTTATTGGCTCGGGACATGAAATCCAAAAATTTCTATCCATTGGCTTGGGTGAACAGCCCTATATATATGGTCGAGTGTTTTTATACAGTTGCCTTTGCCTGGACATGTTTCTGTTTCGTTGTCAAGCTTAGAAGAAGACATGCAGTTGTTTTTCTACCATTGTGCCAATCTCGTTGGACGTTTGCGAAGATTGTAACTGATTTTATCTGTCGAGTTAAACATCTTTCACAGTTTTTGCTTGAATTGCCTGCCATGGGGCAATTTTCCTTTGCATCTTAACAAATAATGGGTAATGTCTGATTCACATCATATGTGAACTTTGTTGCTGCTATTTTCAGTTCTTAACTGTCAAATTTTCTGGCTATTAAGTACTTAACCGTGAACTTCATTGCTGGTCTTTTTAGTTCTTAATTGTCGTGGTTGTTTAAGTTCTTAATAGCTGCTACTTTTGTAGCTACATTTTTAATTTAGTTGCCATGAAAATATTAAAAAATGCTCCAAAAGTGGACATCGGGTACTTACCAAATTTTAAAGTATAGATGTGGGACTTCTAGCTGTGTTACTTGTCTTATTTGGTTCAATGTGCATAAATGCTCTTGTGCTTTTCTTTTGCTTCTAAATATGCAGGTGCATTTCTTAAATGGTGTTGGTATTTCCGTATCTTTGATGGCAAAGCAATTAAAATCTCTGATTGCATTTGTTCGCCCTAACTTAATTCTCTTTTAAGATACTTCTTGTTGTTTAGGCAGTTAACATGGTGGAAGACATTGCATTTCCCAAATGAAGGATTGAAATTGCACAACATCGTATTATCATGTGATTGCCTTTGCCTTTTACTTCTGTTTCAGGCACCTATTATATGTGAGAACTGATTTGAAAGTTTTTTAATGGGATTGTTATGAATACTTTTAAGGACTTATATTTAATTGGAGCTACCATATATATCTTTCTAATGAATTCCCGTTGGGTATGAAATAAATCTTGATGTGTTTCCAGTCAAAATCTGACGTTATTGTTATGATCTTTTTGTCACCTGCAGAAAAGGAGATGGGGAAGTTGGTTGAACGTATATTGGTGTTTTGGATCTCACAAACACAACAAACGAATTGGGCATGCTGTCCTTGTTCCTGAAACAACAGCCGCAGGAGGAGAGGTCCCTGCACCTCAAAATCAGGCCCAAGCACCTTCCATAGTGCTTCCCTTCATCGCACCTCCATCCTCTCCTGCATCTTTTCTTCAGTCAGAGCCGCCTTCTGCTGCCCAATCACCATCTGGTTTACTGTCCCTCACCTCTATATCTGCCAGCATGTACTCCCCCAGTGGGCCTGCCAACATTTTTGCTATTGGCCCTTACGCCCACGAGACACAGTTAGTGTCACCGCCAGTGTTCTCAACTTTCACCACCGAACCATCAACTGCTCCCTTCACTCCTCCTCCGGAGTCTGTACACTTGACTACACCCTCCTCGCCTGAGGTGCCCTTTGCTCGGCTTCTTGACCCCAGTAACCAAAATGGTGAAGTTGGTCTGAGTTTCCCATTCCCTTTAACACACCAAGAATTTCAATCCTATCAATTATACCCTGGAAGCCCAGTCAGTCATTTAATTTCACCTGGCTCAGGCATCTCTGCTTCAGGCACCTCATCTCCTTTTCCTGACAGTGAGTTTGCTCCTGGTCATCCCCACTTCCTTGAGTTTCGTACTGGTGAGCTTCCCAAGCTTTTGAATCTTGACAAGCTGTCTCCCCATCAATGGGGATCACGGCAAGGATCTGGTACTTTGACCCCAGATGCCGTGGGGCCTAGATCTCGTGACAATTTTCTCTTGGATCGTCCGAATTCTGATGTTGCTCCTCTCACAAATCTATTCAATGAATTGCGGAATTATGAAACTGTAGTTGATCATAGAGTTTCATTTGAGATAACTTCAGAAGCAATCAGATGCGTGGAAAACAAACCGGCAACATTGCTCAAGGCTGCATCAGTATCTCTGGAGAATACAGAACATTCTGCCAAAGGAGTAAAAAATTTGATTGACACAGCAAATGGTCATGAATGCCGTGCTGGAGAAACATCAGACAACTTATCAGAAAAAGCTTCTGCAGATGGGGAGGGTAGACAGCAGCAGCAGCATCAAAAGCACCGGTCGCCCACTCTTGGGTCTGTCAAGGAATTCAACTTCGACAATGCAGATGGTGGAAACTCTGATCAGACTAATAGTGGCTCTGACTGGTGGGCCAATGAGAAGGTTCCTGGGAAGGGTGTTGAGCCATGCAAGAACTGGTCCTTCTTTCCGGTGATGCAGACAGGTGTCAGCTAGCTGTTATGCATCCCTTTGGCGCTTTTATGCAGCGCTGTAGGGGTATTCACGGCTTCGCCTGAACATTCTGAATTCTGAACCCTCCCATCGCTGACCATTTCAGAGGTATGAAGCCAAATGGTAACAGGTTTTGTTCATTTTGGATGAAGGGAGGGTTGCATACATGAAGTCTATTTTTTTTAGCACTTCCTGAGATTAAAAAAGGAGACAGATGAAACTCTATTACTAGGATTAACATCAATAGCGTACTGTTTTCCCTGTTTATTGTCGAAACAAATGAAGTAACACCGTCTAAGTGATGCCTGTGTGCCTTCCATATGTAATATAAATAGTAGATAGATAGAACAGTGGTAACATTATGCTGGTAAATTGCTGATGATTACGAGAAAGTTGAACTTGTACATGAATGCTATTGGTGTCTCTCATGTAACACACCAAGTATTGGCGCTCTTCTGGTCCAGGATTAAAGGTGGTTCTAGTCCAGGATTAAAGGGAGTTGACGAGAGAGGTGACATTTTGGTAAGAGTAATGTTATTTAGGCCTAAAAATTTGATAGTAATTGACAATATTTGTGTGTGTGCCACATGTTTGATTGAAGGTAATTAGTTGTGATTGTCCAGGGGCGGAGCCTGGAATTTTGTTCAGGGTGAGCACTTTAATTATGCAATCTAATTTTTTTCTTTTTAACCAATCACACTATATAACATATTTATATTTATTATATTATTTTTGATATATGAAGTCAATTTAACATAAAAAATTTCAAAAAAAAATGTATATTGCCAAGGGCGGAGCCATAAATATCTATAATAGAGACAAAATATAACTGGTATAAAAAAATATTAAGCCGAAATTAATACAAAAAAATTCAATTCAAGAATAAAAAAAATGTAAGAATCAATGAAATAGTAAATTTAATTTTTATTTAGCCGAAACAAAATCTTAATAAAAAGACACAAAATAATTTTTTTAGTACGTTTTAACCTAATTATATATTTCAATAAAATATAAATTTTTTTAAAATCTCTAAAAAATTTTATATATGAATTAAATGTAAATTAATTTTTGTATTTTATTAGGTTATAGACTGCTATTACTAAAAAAATGGTAAATGAAAATTAAAAATTATTCTTAAAAAGTAACGAACATTGTGTTAGATAAAGAGAAATATTGTATTTTTGTCAATATACAAATAAGACATTGACTTAATCTAAAACTAACATAATTATTTTAGAGGGTTAGTGGTCCACTAATTTATTAAAAAAAAAAAAAACTAGAACCATTATTAAAATTTCCAAAAATTTAGGGGATAAATATAATGTATAAAATAATTTTATAGGTTGGTACAAAGAAGGACTAAAAAACTCAAAGAATTGAGATTCTCGTGTGTTGAGTTTTTCTCTGTTTCTTCTCTTTTTTTTGTGGCTGGGCAATGAGCTGCTGGAAGTGAGTGATACATAGAGGGAAAAAAAAAAAAAAGAGATAAGATAGGTTTTAGTCAAGTAGGCTAAAACTTTTGTTTTTTAATGATGGTGTGCCAAAAGTTTTATTTTTAATGTTGGGCTAAAATTTTGTTTTTAATATTGGGCTAAAAGTTTTGTTTTTTTAATAGGTTTGGATGGATTGTGATAGGTCAAATATTTGATTTTTTAATAAGTTTGGATAGATAATAGTGAATTCAAATTTTTTTATTTTAAATGGACTTAATTGTTTAATTATTTTGGATAAATAATGTGGGTCTAAGATAAATGAGGGGCACACATAATATATATGTATAAATATATAATACATATATCCAATTAATAAAAAAAAAAGTTGAGGGAGGCACGTGCCTACCCTGGCCCTACCTCCCTCCTCGCCATGGGACTGTCTATGGCTGCAAGAGTGTGGGGATTGTTTGGGTGGCTGCTCTATATTAGACAACACCCATGATCCAAATAGAGTTACCATTCTGTAATTTGCAGCCCGAGTTATGATCGCCCAAAACTACATTTTTAGTTGTTTGAAAAGTTTTTACTTATTTTTTTTTTCACATTTGACAAAAATTATTTCAGCTTATCAATGGATGATTTTTTAATAATATGAGGTTTAGAAAGGGTGAAACACGGTGGTGGCGGGAGAGATAAATTTCATGCATCTCTCGGGCGTCCACCGGTCTATACACTATAATATAACAACCTTATTAAAAGCGAGTGTTTAGAAAGTCTTCCCTCCTTAAATACTAATTTCTCCTAATTTTTAATAAAAAATGCATTGATCTCTTTTAATTAAATTCTTCCATGTGATTTATTTAATTACTCTTATCATTTTTTCAAATTAGTTTAAATTCAAATTTTTTATCAGCTTTATTAACTAATTTACATTTTAAAAATAAAGTAAACAGAAGTATTCAATATTAGGATGGGGTCGGTAATAGTAACAAGTAATGATACAAAATATCGTTCATCATTGTATGGAATCACCGGTAGTACAATACTAAAGAGAGGTGTCAAAATTTAAATTTTTTATCTCAAACGTACTTATACCTCACATATTATATCAGGAGTCTCAAAAAAATCAAGTTTTTTTACCTTATATATTATATTTAAGTCTCAAAAAATCAAGATTTTTATTTAATATGAGGTGATTTGATATGGGAGGTTCAAAAGTTTTAATTAAAATTAAAGGTAATTTAAATAATAAAATAGACAAGTTATGAATTTAGACGTATTAAATTTAAATTTTAATAATCTTTGTACTCATGAATAAAAAAAAATTGGTTATTATGACGAGGGTAAACTAATTCGATTGAATTTTCCGTACTAAAATGCTAAATCCAGTAAGAGCTTTTTACCGCAGAAGTATCCAATCTCTGGAGTAACACAGACCGCATACCTTCTGAACATACTCTGTTCTGTCGACACATGTGTACCACTTACCACCAGAAACCTGGTCCACCTTGGACAGCTTGAACGACCCGCCGCTCTACCCCATTCAGACAGCCTAAAGGCCTCTGGTTTCGGCCTTTCATTGACCACAAACACCATTTTGACCTTCTAGAACCACATCCCACCCACCCAACGACCTTCTCAGCTCTCTTCTCACCCCCTTCAAAAACCAACCCCTCTTCCCTTCGTTGTCCACCAACCAATCTTCTGTGTTTTTTGTTTTCTGCTTTTGGGTTAGTGGGTTTCGTAGCTTTACATTAATTGGTGTGATCTTTTCCCCTTGGTGAGTTTCGAATCTTGGAAATGCCCGAACATTGAGTCTCTCTGATTGAAATCTGAACTCTTGGGAGTCGGGTGTTTGTGGTAGTTGAATTTCTAAATCTGTGTTTTAGTTGCAATAAATTGTGGCATTGGGGAGCTTAAAAATGCCAGTTTCTGCAGAATCAAGGCCTGTTCCAAATGGGTTTTACCAGAACAAACCACACCCAAACTCGGACATAATCACAATTGATGTGGGTGGTCAGCTCTTTCAAACCACCAAGCAAACCTTAACCCTCGCCGGCCCCAAATCCCTATTGTCTGGGGTTTCAAGTTACGATCAAACTGTACCATTCATTGACAAAGACCCTGAATTGTTCTCTATCCTTCTCTCTCTCCTCAGAACTGGTCATCTTCCTTCAAAAGCCAAAGCATTTGATCTACAAGACATAATCTTTGAAGCCCAACTATATGGTATTGAGAACCTCCTTATAAATTCTCATTCAAACCCATCTCAGTTTGAAGCTTATAACCTTGAAACATCATTGGTTTTGCCTTTAACTGGCCGAGAGTCTCCCTCGGCTATCTCAACAACACCGTTTGGGTCAGTTCATGTTGCCCATGGTAGCAAAATCACTTCTTTTGATTGGTCTTTGCGAAGAAAATCCACCATTTTGACCCAATTCACTGCTGTTGATTCACTATTAGCCATATCGCCGAAGATAGTGGCTGCCGGTGCCACGGACTTTTCGGGCTTACAGATTATTGATCTTGACAAGGGTTTTGTGAGAGAGACATTGAATTGGGATAATGTTACTAGGTCTAGTTCAACAGTACAGGGAATTGGGTCGAGCTCTGAATTTTTGTTCACTAGTTTCGAGTCGGGTCGGAGAAATTCGAATGCAATTATGGTTTATGATCTTCAGGGTGGTTTTCGCCCAGTTATTGAGATTGGTCATTGTGAAATTTTTGGTGCTGATCTCGATTCTGCGATTCCTGCGACTAAACTGAATTGGGTTTCAAGCCACAATCTGTTAATGGCTTCTGGGTCTCATAGTGGACCATCCGGGATGTTGGGGAATATTAAATTTTGGGATATAAGGTCTGGGAATGTGGTTTGGGAACTCAAAGAAAAAGTAGATTGCTTTTCTGATGTCACGGTTTCAGATAATCTTTCAGCAATATTCAAGGTTGGTGTGAATTCAGGTGAGTTGTTCTTTGCTGATTTGAGGAATATTGGTTCCGAGAACTCGTGGGTTGGCCTCGGTGACAGAAGAAAGGTGATAAATGGGAAGAAGGAAGGTGTTGGTTGTAAGATTGAAAGCCATGGAAATCAAGTGTTTTGCAGCAAGGGAGGAGATTTGGAATTGTGGTCAGAGGTTCTCATTGGTGCTTCAAGCAAGAGTGAAAACAAGTTAAAAGACAGGGTGTTTAGGAAGAACTTAATGGGGAGAGCAAATGATATGGGAGGAAGTAGGATAACCCACATCTCTTTTGGAGGGAACAAAATGTTCATGACGAGGAAGGATCAGCAATTTGTTGAGGTTTGGCAGAGTTCAGTAAGGGATTCTGATCTCAAAAGCTTTAGTTAGGACTATTAGATGGAAGATTGTATGGCTTGTTAGTATTCAGCTTTCTTGTTAAGTCTGTGTATTACTTCCTGGTTTGGTTTATTTGTAAATGACTTTGTATTTTATCATGCTTCCAATTGTTTACAAATGCTAAGTTTTATGAGATTAATTAGCATCATGAATTGTTGGTCTTTTATGCTTCCCTTTCTCTTCTCACTGCTGTTGATTTTTTCATCTTCCATGAATGCAGTTCTTAATTTTGAAGTTCAGTGAGATCTGCAGGGATTTATCAATGTGCTGTTTATGAATTAGCTGGTCCTCATATCCATGACCACATGCAGTAATTGTTGTTGTTCTCTAACGAGGCTCAATATTAGCACATAGGAATTAATGGACCTGAAATTAATTTGCTTGCATAGTACTTCTACCCATCATATGCATGAGAAACTTTTGAAGACAACACCCAATTTCTAGGATAACCACAAAATGCTCTCTAAATTGCAGTGGAAACATGTGTTGTTCTCCTAATTACTTAGATTATCTAATGTAGTTAGACCACTTGCTTCATTAACTATTATGAAGATCGACTTATCTTGCTTTATGTGATTGTCAGGTCAAATTTTGACATATTGACAGGGTCATTGGTATATTTGTGGGTTTTGTCTTGCCTATTGGATGGGGCACCAGGGATTCTGATTCGAGTTTAAACTGTCTGTGATAGCAAGGAGGTGGTGATGAGGTCTGGCAGAGTTTGGTAAGCGGGTTCTCATTTTCCCAGATTGATAAGGGGGTTCTAATTTTACTAGTATCTGTATATGTATGTTTAGAATGGTGAAATGTTAGAAGAAATTGTTATATAGATAGGTCACCAATCTTGCCAGGTAGACTAAACCAATTTTTTTTTCCTTGACATTTTCCCCTCCCGAACGAAGTTTGGAATCAGCATTATTGCAACAACAGATAAACTAACCTCATAATTGGCATCGACGCCATTGATTTCTCCTTATTTACAGCCTTTGTCTTCTTTTTAGTTGGTCGAGCCATTGACAGAGACAGCCAAATACCCATGCTAGCCCTTCAAGTCTTCATTTTTATATTTAGGGACAAGGACAGCAATGTATGCTTCTTATTTTGATCCTCCTCCTGTCTTATATGGATCATCATTTTGCTACATGTTGACAAGTTAAAGCCAAAAAGAAAGATTTCTTCCACGGCTGTATGATTCATAGTAACCTAGTCAATTGATGCTTGTTTATTTAACGATGCTATCCATTGTAAGAAACCATTTGAGCTGTTTTCATCTGGTACTGGGTATACGATAGAAATATGCGCGTCATGCAATATTATGTGATCATGAAGCTGACTTTCTCGAGTGTGAGTGCTTGAAATATTAGATTTTTTATTTTGGGGTAACAAATGTGGAAGAAATTCTAATTGTTTAATTATCCCTTTTGCAGTCTGCCACAAGAAGGTTGAAGGTAGTATAGGTGCAGAGATTGTTCACCCTGTAATTATCGCTTTTATGCTGAGTTTTGTCCCAAAAATTGCAGGGTGAACAATGTGTTTGCTTTCTTACTAGGCTTGGCGTCAATTGAAATTATTGGGTCTTCTGCAACTCCAGGTGAGTCATGTTGGTGTCGATTGATACTTTGAACCATGGATAATCATGTTTGCTGGCATAATTTTGATTCAATTCAAGGTTGTACAGTTATGCACCCAGTGGGAGGGTATGCGCCTTTTGAATTCGTGGCTAGAAGCTAAATCCCAGACTCACATCGAAGTTTTTAGATTCAATTAACAAATAGGCAATCTTATGCACGAGGGTTTGAGGAAGATTAGATATATGCCGTCTTATTTCAGTATACAGAGAAATTATTTTTGCGACTCAAACTTTTGTCTCTTAATTTACAACTATATTCAACCATTTCGACAATTGTGCAACCCTTTCAGTATCGACAAGTGTTCAACCCTTTCAGTAATTTCTCATAAATTCGAGTTAAAGAATCAATCTCTTCAGAATAAGAGTAAAAATGACTACCACTTGTCACTTACCTCTCTTAAATGTTACTGTAGAAAAAAGTCTCACACACTAGATACAACCTTTAATTTATATTAATAGAAATGTGATACCTTCAAAGCAAGGCTTATCCTATTAATGATACAACCAACTCTTGACAAAGAAAAATTGCATCTTCTTTTAGCTTGCACAGGCTGTATTGAGATCCAAGCAAATGATTATATAGTATTTTTTATTTTTTTTTGATTTAAATTTCACCCAATAATAGATTACCTGATGTGCGTTCAAGAAAAATTCACTAAATATATAAGGTGTATTATTTATCATTAGGGAAAATTTAATGCAGATATATTGGAGGGGATATCTATCTTAATAATATTAAGTAATACTCATCCAAATAAACCAAGTTTAAAAAAAAAAAAAACCAAATAAGCCAATTAGATATACTAATTTTCAGATGGAAAATGATGTTTGAGTAATGTTATTTGGGATATTATTTGAGAATTTAATGGTTGCGGTCATTAAATTATCGGTAGGTCCCAATATTCAATAGATCTCACTGTTAATTCAATAGATTTGCGGTGTGCAATGAATGACCTAAAAATGGGTTTTGTTTAGCCAAATAAAAATAAGAGTTAATAGTATTTTTTGTCATTAAAGTATATATTTTTTGTTAGGTTAGTCTTAATTGTATCAATTTTATCAATTTGGTTCCTAAATAATTCAATCCGTATCACTTTGGTCCTTAATTAGATAGGGTTAATTACAAATTGCACCCTGAAAGATTATTTGAATCTCAATTTGTACGTTTAAAGATTAAAAATCTCAATTTACACCCTCAAATATAGAAATTTGTATCAATGTACACCTCCAAAGATAAAAAATCTCAATTTGCACCATCAAAGATAGAAATTTGTATCAATGTGCACCTCTAAAGATAAAAAATTTCAATTTACACCCTCAAAGATAGAAATTTGTATTAATGTGCACCTAAAACTAAATTGATAAATTATACCTAGATCTCTTATGTTGGTCACTTAATCAGTTGTACCTTTTTACATTTAGAATATTATTCCTACACCTCATGACGTTTGTGCACGTATAACACATAACCCCTTTTCGTTGATATCTGTTAATATAACTGTTAAAAAATATGATTTTATTCTAATAAAAAATTATAATTTCATATTGCCCTTTATTTTATGGTTCCAATATACTCTAAAATTCAAAATCAAGCTAACCATTTGAATGTCTAATAGAATAAAGGGTTGCACATCTTTACTAATAAGATAGGACTCATTTTGAATCTTTTTCTACTTTAAAATTTAATTTATTTGGAAAAGCATAAGAACGGCTCAGATTAAATCCACTTTTAATTCAAAGGCCCACATTTTCATCTCATTTCTTCTATTTCAATCCAATGGCTTGCAATGCATCTCAACCCAAAAAAAAAATCCCGCCCATTTTGAACCCAAACACACGCCACCCCCAATTAAACCCTCTGCCCCTCTCTCTCTCTCTCTCTCCAATCTGCCATGGAACTAGATTGTAAGTCCCCTATATTGCTGTACATTTTCCCCTATATTGCTATATAAAACACATAAGTCTCCTATACTGCTATGCATTTTCCCCTTAAAATCATCACATCACTCATTTCTATTACATGCTCAACTATTTAATATTTGATTAATTTATAATTTAACATAATTTTGTTAAAAAAATTTATCGAATTTCATATTTTGAGAAAATTTTGTCAATATCTTTAAAAAAATAATGGGTAAAAATAAATTTTGAATGATTTAATCAAATAAATAAATGAAAGAAAAATTATTATTTAATATAGGATATAGATTTTTTAAGACTCAAATTTTTTGTTCTATCGTGCCTTCAGGCACGGGTAATGACTAGTTGAGTGATATATTGCATTTGATATAAAAAATATTATATAAATATCTACATTCTTTTAGACATTCAAATGGTAAGTTTGATTTTGAACTTTAGAGTACATCGGACCCACAAAATAAATGGTAATATGATATTATAATTTTTTATTATGGTAAAATCATATTTTTTAACAGTTATATTAACATACATTAACGAAAAAGGGTTACGAATTAAACATGCACAAACGCCATGAGATGTGGGAGTAATATTCTAAACGTGAAGGGGTCCAAATGATTAAGTGACAAGCATGAGAGGATCTAGATATAATTTATCAATTTAGTTTTAGATGCACATTGATACAAATTTTTATCTTTGGGGGTGTAAATTAAGATTTTTTATCTTTGGGGGTGCACATTGATACAAATTTCTATCTTTGAGGGTGTAAATTGAGATTTTTTATTTTTGGGGGTGCACATTAATACAAATTTCTTTGAGGGTACAATTTGAAAATTTTGATCTTTGACGGTGCACGTTGATAAAAATTTTTATATTTGAGGGTACAAATTGAAATTTTTGATTTTTGACGGTGTAAATTGAAATTCGGACTATCTTTCGGGGTGTAACTTGCAATTAACCCAATTAGATAATCTGCCAATTTTTTTGACGAAAGTGACCACATGTCATTTTTTTTAGAGGGTATCACGTGTCTAACACGTAATTATTCTATTAAAAATTTAAATCAAAATAATACGAATTAAATATTTAGTAATCAAATTAATATAATAAAAACTACAAAAATACTCTAAAATTAACTCATCACCAAACCTTCTTGTAATCAATTGGTGAGACCCAAGAACTTATCATGGGATTACGACCCAAGCATGTGAGGCTTGGTTTGTCTTAAAACCAGCTGGGTCCTCAAAGAGGTGTAGCAGAACGCAAGGGACATGCATAGCTAATACATCGTCCTTGTATAAGCACTCACTGCCACTGCTGTATGGACCATGTATTTCTAGGATGGTGATTGCCAAAATTTAATAACCTCTTCAAGAACCCTTTTGGATCACTCGGATGTGAAAACTTCAGGTGGGAATTTTTTTTTTTTTTTTTTTTTATGGGGTGTTTGAGTCAATTTACATGTATTTCGAGTCTTCGAATAAACCCCTCTATGGTTTGAATAAAGACAAATCATCTATGTTGGGACTAAAATATTAATGAGAGATAAATCTCTTGTAGTCTGGCTTTAAAAGATTATCAAAATTCAAACTCACGACGTTTGGAATTATAACTCATTCTTATTACCATTTAAGCTACTCTTTAGAATTCAAGCGAGATTATTTCAAAGTCTCAAGTTCAAGTCTTGTAAAATAATGTCAGTGTACCCAATTTACTGGATATTCGAATCCAAGAATCAATCTATTTTAAAAAATACTTAAGTTAAAAAAGAAAAGAAAAAAAAATATAGCCATAAATCATAAATAGACACTATTGCAGACGCTTTAACAAGTATTCATCAATTCAAGTAATACTTTGGGTATTCGAATCCGAGAATCAATCTTTTTAAAAAAAAAATATTACCTAGTGGACATACTCTTATTTTCCTCTGACCCTACTATAAAAGAGGCTAATAAACCAACTACAAATTGATGCTATGTTATTGTTAGGAGCTTATAGCTTTTTACCACAAAGAGTACTTGAGGCGGCAACAATGCGGACAGGACAGGGCCCTGTCTATTAATTCAATCTTTCTTAGACAGTGAAATAGAACGCAAATAATGGATGCGGTGCCTGCCTTATTAAATGCAACTCATTAATACACACTTTAGAATTTCCCGACCTTCTAGATGCGTATAAGTATCGGAGGTCAGGACAGGGCAATCATGCATATAATTTCGTAAAAACAGAGCATATAACATTTAATATATTTTATATACAATGCACAATAGATACAATAATCTAGACCCATGTCTTGCAAGTCTTAGATAAATCAAGAATCTAGGCTCTGATACCAAACTGTGACACTCTAAAATCCGAATATCAGTAATTACCTCATTGATCACCCATCAACCGGCGGAATATCCCTGGTTACCGTGAAATTTGATATCATGCCGTTATGCCCCATTTATCGAGATCCATAACTCAATAAAATTCGGACAAAGTCTTCTTTGTACAAGTAACTCTACCCTAAACGCAACATGTACAACATTGACCACACCAAGTCCATTCATTCATACTCAATTGTATAGTATCGGATACTAGCATAATCATTATCATTACGTACATTCATTCATAAAAGAATAAATGTTTCAAAAGAGTCTCATATACATACATTTTTAATATAAAAAAAAAATTTGTTTATAAAAATTATACAAGGTCAAAAGTAAACATATACAAGGGACTGCAAAGTTAAAATAAGAGTCATAAACCGGTTATGTCGTCAAAGCAGGCCCATTGACTCGGGTTCGGTGGATGCATGTGCGATACTTGAAAAATGTTCTTATAAAGGGTGAGTCAACACTCAATAGGGTAACTCCTATAGAGAATACCTCTCAACTCAAATGCATATGAAATGTCATATGCAACGATCATTTTATGCATTCATTCAAATATGTCAATTACAAACAAATGTTATAAATCATATCATGTCATTAGATGAGACTCATGCAAATAATACCAATATCGATCCCCATTCTGAGCTCTCACAACACATGCAATGTCATGCGTATGTATCCGGACATTCCAAGCCCCTGTCATTGGTGTTATGTACATTCAATGACTAATTAATTCATTTTCTTGTGTCTTTGTGGGGAGATGATTTATGATATTATACCAATGGGATATCAACTATCAACGAATTTTTAGGACATCTCACCTGCGGCTCCGTTCTCGTCGTTACACTTTTTTGAAATTGCACCGCTGGAAAGTATATAAACTAATTAAGCGGGTCTTGCACTCGAGGGAAAATCAAGTCTTTTTTACTATCCCGACACGTTTATCCATTTAAGTTCCCGTACGATTCAGCCAGACCTTGATACGACTTTCTCTAGCCCACGATCAACCACCTATGTGGTGATTAATTTCATATCATAGACACACTCCGACCCATATTAATGCCCATGAATATAATAAATGTAATATAATGACATTTTCTATACAATCTCAAGCATATTATGTAAGATAATCAACTCAATTAACATACTTGTATTCATTTAGGTATTTGAACAAACATAATTTTTTTTTTGGGTTTTGCAATATATATAGCTCATGACATATGATTTATTCTTACTAAAAATTAAATCTTTTTTCCATGAGAAGTGGAACATATAGGCAAAGGCCTCTATGATCAGGCAAAGGCATGTTTCATTGAAAGTTGAATCTAGAACCTTTCATGAGAAGACAGACACTTGAAAGGTTTTATTCAGGTCGGCCCATCAGTATGAAAAAAAAATATGGATTTTAGATTTCAAATTTTTAAAAGGTCCTATAATTTTAGGTATATCACTAGCTCACAAAAAAAAATTAAATCCATTAAATTTTAAGCCATACAAAAAAATCTCCAAAAAATTAAATCCAATTAAAATTTTTATTGCAATAATTTGGGTCTATAATCTAATTCATAACATTAAAAATTTAAAAATTAAAAAAATATTTAAAAGTCAACTCATATTTACTCTATCTCTCTCTATAAAAAAAATAAAAAATAAAAAATGAAAACAAAAGTTAAAATATCTTTCTCAGTAATATTAACACATTCTTCTTTTGTCTCCCTCTCACGTAAAAAATTAAAAATAAATTATTTTTTTTTAAAAATTATACTAAAAATAAAAAGACCTTCATTTAATATTTCTGCTTTATGCCTCAAATTGACTTGAGTTACCTCTGATTCTATTGGGTATATATATCATACAACCCAATAATTGAGCACCCCAAATTAAACCATTTACAAGTTATCTATGCCAGCTTCAATTACAAAACATTAGTAATGTTGAATTTTCCCTACCTAAAGTTTGAAAAGTTCCTTAAAGTAATAAACTTTATAATTGTAAAAGGTATAATTAACCTTCTTGGCGTGAACATTACACTTTTAAAAGTTAACTACAAGGTGTAGGTCAAATAATAATAGGGCCAAATTATAAATTTAAATCAACTGTGTGTTTGAATCTTAATAATTTCTTAATATTAGATTATGAGAGAATTATTTCTCATAAATATTCTAATCTTAATATGAATGATTTATTTTTGACAAAATCGAGAAAAAAATTAATATATGTACATGTAATTTGATCCAGACATTAGGGAAAAAAAAAAAAAAGGTCTGCTTGTGAGTGTGAGGCTTGTGCATCTAGGCTATTTGGAATAAAACGTCATCGTGTCGGCATGTTAATTGCATTAAAGCGTTTGAGGGTTGTTCACCAAACCCTAACCGGACGTCCCAAAACAGCCCGACGACCGGTTTTTTTTTTCTCTTCCCAGCCCCACATAAAAACCAGTTGTTTCTTATGTTGGTTTCTCAACCAATCTCATTTACTTCTTCCCTTTCATTCAATGCTGTTATTTAAGGTACAAGCTCTTTTCCTGCCAAATTAGGTGAGCACTTCTAGAGAGAGAAATTGGACCCATATGCATGCATATATGTGGAGAGAGAAAAAGAGAGCGTTATGAAAGAGTGGGGGAGGTGGGGTTGCTTCCGTTACAGTGTTTGATCAAGAGTCAAGACCACTGGGGAAGGCTCGATTTGAGGTTTTGTATATAGTTTCTAACTGGGTTTTACGGATTTGAAATGTTCTAATTTGTGAGTTTGATTTAGTTTGCTTTCCAACGACCTGTGATGGCATTTAATGGCGGTTCTTTAAAGCTGTTTAGTATGGTTTGTAGAAAGAGACAAAGATAGACAAAACTTTTTGAGCGAGAACTATGTGTTTTCATACCAATTTTCAACAATACTCCGCCCCCGCCCCCCCCCCCCCCCCACATTTATTGCAACTCTCCATCTATCCCTCTATAAATCTCTTTTTTCTCATCCTGTCACTTGCAGTGCACATCTCTCTCTCTCTCTCTCTGAAGTTCTGCTACTTCAACTTTCATTGAGTTTTCTCTCACATTGTTGACTCCTAGGGTCCTGTGCAATCACATGCACAGACACCATGACGTGTCTGAAGTGAGATTTCATTCTTAATTCCATTTTCAGAGTCTGAAGCTCAAAAGTCAGAGCTTCAACGGCTTTATCTGCTGGTAAGCATCACGTTATTTTCTAGATACGTTCCTAGCTTTGGTTGCTGGTAAGTGGTATTCAGGCGATTCATTGTGGTGGTTTCCCGGTGACAAGTGTGACTTCAGATCTATCTCTTTACAATCGGTTTCACTAAGTGGGGCCGTCCAGATCAGATGGAGATATCAACAGCTCTAATGCTCTTATCACTGGTTGTGGCTTATTTACTATGGTTGAAAACCATCACGAGGACATTGAAGGGTTCAAAGGGTCCACGTGTCTGGCCCTTATTGGGCAACCTGCCGGGTTTAATCCAGAACTCTAATCGCATGCATGAGTGGATCGCTGACAACCTTCGCGCGTGTGGTGGCACGTACCAGACCTTGATATGTGCAATTCCAATTTTAGCCCGGAAGCAAGGTCTCGTGACTGTCACATGCGACCCCAAGAACCTTGAGCATATACTGAAGCTCAAGTTTGATAATTACCCAAAGGGTCCCACCTGGCAAGCTGTGTTCCATGATCTTCTTGGTGAGGGGATCTTCAATTCTGATGGTGACACGTGGCTGTTTCAAAGGAAAACTGCCGCACTGGAATTCACCACCCGAACCCTTCGGCAAGCGATGGCTCGATGGGTGAGCCGAGCAATAAAGAACAGGTTCTGTCCTATTCTCAAAGCGGCTCAAGTGGAAGGCAAGCCTGTCGATCTTCAAGACCTCTTGCTTCGGCTCACTTTTGATAACATTTGCGGCTTGGCTTTTGGTAAGGACCCAGAGACTCTATCGGCTGGGCTTCCTGAGAACAGCTTCGCATCGGCTTTTGATCGAGCCACTGAAGCCACACTGCAACGCTTTATTTTGCCTGAGATTATTTGGAAGCTCAAGAGATGGCTTGGGCTTGGAATGGAGGTGAGTTTGAGCCAAGGCATGAAACACGTGGATGATTACATGACCAATGTCATCAATACACGTAAGCTCGAGTTACAGAGTCAGCAGAATGGGACGACCCCACATGATGACCTACTCTCTAGGTTTATGAAGAAAAGGGAGTCCTCATATTCAGACACATTCCTCCAAAATGTGGCCCTCAATTTCATTTTAGCTGGTCGTGACACATCATCAGTTGCATTGAGCTGGTTCTTCTGGCTTGTGAGCCAAAACTCGAGAGTGGAGGAGAAGATCTTGATAGAGATATGCACCGTTCTGATGGAGACACGTGGTGATGATACCTCTAAGTGGCTTGAAGACCCTCTAGTGTTTGAAGAAGTTGACCGATTGACATACATCAAGGCAGCATTATCAGAGACTCTTAGGCTATATCCATCGGTGCCGGAGGATTCAAAGCATGTCATCGCCGATGACGTATTGCCGGACGGCACGTTTGTACCAGCAGGCTCAAACATCACCTATTCGATATATTCGGCTGGTCGATTAGAGTACGTATGGGGAGAAGATAGCTTGGAGTTTAAGCCAGAAAGGTGGCTATCAAAGGATGGCCAAAAGTTTATTCTTCACGATTCATTCAAATTCGTAGCGTTTAATGCTGGTCCAAGGATTTGTTTGGGCAAGGACCTAGCTTACCTGCAAATGAAGTCGATAGCAGCGGCCGTGTTGCTGCGCCACCGGCTCACGGTGGCGCCGGGGCATGTGGTGGAGCAAAAGATGTCATTGACCTTGTTCATGAAGTATGGACTTAAGGTTAATGTGCACCCTAGAGACTTGGCCCCCATAGTGGCTAAAATTGGCAAAGGTAGTTGCATGGGTGAGGAAAAACCTCTCACTAACGGTTACTGTCATGCAGAGGTTGAAATGGTTGATGAGGTTGCTTAGGAATTGGTTTTGTTTTTGAGTGGGTTGGTGAATATGTGAATACTATGCATGTAATGGTATGAAAGAGTCAACTGTGTATTTGGTGATTCTTTGTGACAGGCACCTGAATCACCACATGATCAAGTCAAATGAGACTGAATCATGTGGTGGACAATGATATAATTACTGGGGTCTAGGGTGGTGCCCGTCACAATTGATCACCAGTGCTGTTGACCAGGTTTGCATTTTAATTTCCCCGATCAATAGAATACTATTTTCAATACTTTTACCTATTTCCAAACTTGAAAGTTGAAAGGTGATAATGAAAACTTTAGTGGTAGCTCTAAGTTAATTTCTCCAATGTGTTATAAATTCAGATGTTTTAAATTCGAATTTTAATTGGTAATCTTTTAGAATTATGTCGTGAGGAATTTATCTTTTATAAATACCTTAATCTCAGCGTGAATAGTTTATCTTTGACCAAATCAAAAAGGAAACTAATTGAAAGACGCCCAAACTAATCCAGACACATCTTACCATTAAACTAAAAAAAGAAAAAGACAATGAGAACTTCAAATGGACTTTGTCTACTTGTATTTGTTAATAAATTTATGTCAATCTCTAACCTTTTCGTGCAAGTCATGTATTGGCATCAATTCTTTTGGTTAATTGTCTAGGTAACTTCTCGGATTCTCCATGAAGATTTAGGTCAAGTGGGGAACACACAATCAAAATCAGCATTCTATCTTTCACTGGCTTTGTCCCATCAATGCCATTTTTCAGTCTAGAAAATCCAAAACAAATGTTATAAGTCTTACAGAAAATTTAGAAGCATGAGATGTGTTAAGTGTATGGTTTGCAGACAGTTGTAATGAATGTGTAAAATTAAATGAACGAGTGTGCTCAAGAATTGAGTGATTCGCCCAACTAATGAACTTGAGCTTGATTAATTCACTGTAATGGAAGCTTCTACTCTTGATCCTGAGAGTGTTGAGGAAGAAGATGAGTATAAATGTTCTCTCTGGAACTAATGCATTGACTTCCTATTTATTCACTACCAATCAATTATGATGTTCAATCGAATTGTTAGTGAAGATTTAGTTGTTATAGAGCTTTTGCTCTAGATATCACGTGGCCTTCTATAAGCAATGTCATAGCCTTCTAGAGGGTTGGTTTTTTTGCCAAATGTAGGGTTTAAAATGAAATTTCCCCCTTTCCCCTTCTAGTGGTCCCCTTGTTGTTAAGGGTTTCTTGGGCTCATTCAACTATCTGGGCCTTTTCATCCCAGCCCAACTTTTGTCGGATTGGATTGTTGTCTTGCCCTAGGACTTGAAAATGGGCCGACTCAAAAAATAATAAATTTAGGGGCTAAACAAAAAAAATCCCAAAATAATACATCAAGTGATGCATTGTTCCTGCTTTCCCTTGCCTATGGATTGACCAGCAACTAGCAATTGCAGACATTAACAGAAAGCTCTTGCAGTTAAAAATGGTGTTCTGCATTCCTTCTCTGACTTTAGCATAAAATGGAAAAGTTAAGACCCCAAATTTCCAACTGGGTCCGATTGAATAAGAATTCATGACACTACATATTCAAGTCAATTCCAATTCTATCCTACCAAACACACCCATTACACCCGAACAGTATTCTTTGATGATTGACTCAGATAAACAACAGGTTTTGATTCATTAGCATTCATTGGAAGATCCCCTGAAGCCACACAATCTCACTCTGTGCACTGAATATCTAAGTTTCTCAAGTAAAGTACTTGACCTTTCTATATCAGTTTTCAAAGTTAGAAAGGGAAAATGTGGATCTTTGGAAGAAAGGGGCCATCTGGGTTCTCATCCAGTTCTACAGATAAGGAAATTACCCTAGGAATTGATGGAACAGGCCTCACTGCTATTGTTACAGGTCTTATTCTAAGCTGGGTTTTCCAATATTTTCTCTCTCCTATTCTTTTTTTCGTTTCAATAGGTGTATGTAAATTGCATATTTGTCATTATTCTTTGTTTAGTTGATTCAGAAACCAAACTAGAAAAGTTCTACTGTATCTGCATCAGAGGGTGGGCTTGACGTGATGGTAAGGTTGCGTCGTTATTAACGTGATGTTATGGGTTGGAGTCGCAGAAAGCCTCTCTGCAGGGTAAGACTCCGCAATGGAGGGAGCCTTGTGCATTAGTACGCTCATTTATTTCCGGTATCTGAGCCCCAACGAATGATTGAGAACTTACAAATTTCATGGGATTGGTGCATTACACAGTCTATTTAACCGTGTTCAGAATCATGTGATAGAATTGGAAAAATTGCTTCTCTTATATTTGATTTTGGTACAATCTCTTTGTTTCCCACTATGTAATACGCGCAAATCGAGGTGTGTTTGTTTCATCCTATAGGGCGGATTTGCTCATTGCATTTCATGTAAAGTGTCCATGGTGTCGAAAACGTTGAAGGATTTGCTCTGCTGCGATCTAACTCGGCTCAACTCTGTGATGTATTTTCTGTTTCCCATAGTTAGATCCACTTCTTTTCGTTTTCATTTTCTTTTGAAGTTGAACGTATAAGTTTTTTATTCAATTTAATGCAAACATTAAGTAACGAAATTGATGTAACATATATCAGGTATTTGTAAGTTAATGTAGCTGTACCTTGAAGCCGAAAAAGAAGGAAAGAAAATCTATGTGTATGCTTCATTGATTTGTGTCAAGTTACAAGCACACAAGGGAATAGAGGAAATCCAAATATAAATTGGCTCAGGTTGGTGAGAAAGTACATTACGACATATGAATGGCAAAAGAAGAGTTGTATAGCTGAATTCATGGCACTGATATCCAAGGCAATTGTTCATTGAGGTTCCGTTTGATAAGACATGAATTCCATTGCAATAACCAAACTCCACTGTAATTTCAGGAGCATCAGGTGGTATTGGAATGGAGACAGCAAGGGTCCTTGCCTTGCGCCATGTTCATGTGGTTATGGCAGTGAGAAATATGGATTCTGGTAGGAAAGTCAAAGATAATATACTTCAGGACATTCCTACAGCTAAAATCGAGGTTATGGAATTAGATCTTAGCTCAATGGCATCAGTAAGGAAATTTGCTTCAGACTACAAATCCTCGGGTCTTCCCCTAAACCTCCTCATGTAAGAAACTATATGAAAGCACTCTAAATTGGTTGCTTATATACAGTCTTTTTTAATTAATTGAGTCGACAATATCAAAGGCATCTTACATTTCTTCACCAAAGCTTAATTGTAAGGACTAAGGAGTGAACTATGTCTTTGTATCTGCTAGTAACAATGCAGGGGTTATGGTTCCTCAATTCATGCTTTCCCAAGACGACATAGAACTGCACTTTGCAACGAACCATCTAGGTATGCTTTGCAAAGTTCCTTAATATATGTTGTTGTATTTGTTTACTTGTGGATGCAAGAAGACTCTTGACAAGTAGCGAAGTTAATGTCTTTCACAACCTTAAAGAAGTCATTAACAGTGGTTCTCCATTCGTGTAAATCTTTTGTGGTAATTAGAAAGCATGGTCTGAAGTTAATCAATCGTAATGTTTGCTTTTTGTTAGGTTGATTGAGTTTTGTTAGAAACAAAGTGCACACTGAGTAATAATAGGGCTAAAAATTAAGAGGACAAAAAATAAAAAAAAAAACAAGAAACAAAAACAAGTTATACAATTGCATAATGATTTGAAAATGTCACTTAACAGGTCATCAGGATTGAATATCAATTTTGTTTTACTGTCTAAAACTCAGTTCCAGGTCGTCTGATTACATAATGATTTTGTAAAACCATCGCCCAGTTTGTTCTTCTCTCTACACTGACATGCTGTTCTCTTGTCATAAACCATGTAGCACACAAATGTAACAGAATATATCATCCTCCAGGTCATTTTCTTTTGACAAATCTTTTGTTGGACACCATGAAGGACACAGCGTCTCAATGCAACGTAGAAGGAAGGTCATTAATGTTTCATCTGAGGGTCACTGGTTTCTATACAGTGAAGGAATACAATTTGACAAAATCAACGATGACACAAGGTAATCAGTGAGAGCACAAATTTGTAGACTTTTTGCTAGGCAGCGTTTAATTTTGTGTTGTAATTTTTCAGTATGTTTGTTGAATTCTTTAAAGAGCAGTGTTTTTCCTTGCGTTGTGATTTTACTCCTCAGATACAAGTATGGACAGTCAAAGCTTGCTAACATATTGCATGCTAATGAACTTGCATGGCGCTTGAAGGTAATCTATCATCCTAATTGTATGATCTTGATGTATTTTCTTTCAGAGGTCCATCAATGACATTAAGTAATGGATATATCTCATATTGTCTCTATTGACAAGCATATGTGTGTGTGCGTCTGTGAGAGAGAAATCTACTGAATATAATAGCATGGGGCTATTAAAATATTGTACTGTTGGATATGCTACTAAAGGGTTTTGTGTTTGGGGTGGTCTTTGGACAGGATAGTCAATGTTACTTGTTCTAAACTAGGCAAATTGGCCATGCCTGGGTGAAGCAATGCCAAAGTTAACGGACAGATATTCATGTTCTGAAATTTTTACATCCATGAACCTAATGACAAACCTATAAACAGATATAGTTTAGTTCATTCTCATACTTTCATCATGGAGCAATTAGTTTTATATGGTTCGAGATAGAAAAATGTAAGGAAAAAAGCATGGGAGGTTCTGCAATCAAAAAAAATTCGATTGTTCCTATTACACACCAAAGTGGATAGCTTTTGTGCTTAACATACAATTTTGCCCTACCATGGTTTTCATCCTTTCCATTTATCCACTACCTCTATTTTTTTCAACTTCTGCTCTGCTGATTCCCCTGATGCCCATTAAATGTCCTACATGGTGACTGGTAAGTTGAGTGAAAATGTAATATAGATACATATAAGAAAGCATTACTTCTTAATCAGCAAAGTAACCGAATTGTAAATATTTGACATTCTTGGGGGGCACCGACACCCATTTCCAGCCAAATTCAGCAGGCCATTGTCACCTAACTTGCATAGGTAATCAACTGAACTGGTTTGAATGCAGAGGTTACCTCACCAGGGGTTTGCTGTTCGGAGGAGACATCATGCTTTTTAATTACCCAGCTAAAGTCTATACTCTTAGGATAGGCCATGCAGATATTTTCATCTGTACTCTCCTGTGTATTTGACATTCTAATGTGAATGGTGGGTTAAGTCTTTTCCCCCCTCAAAACAGAACAAGGAGAGAAAATGTTACCTCTTAACAAAGACTGGCCTTTGGATACTGAAACTTGGCTGGTGAAGAGACGATGGCAAAATATTATGCTTATGACTCCCTCAATGAGCCTGTAAAAGATTTTACTGTGTTTTTTACCACAAAATATTTTTCTAACCAGCTTTTAGTGGTGCTTCTGCTTAGAAGCAGCCTAGTGTTATGTCTTCATGCGCCGTGAGAAAATTCCTATGTAGATATTCATTATGAGATAAGGCATAGGCTCTTAATTTACGTGAGGAGAAGATATGATTATCTTTGGGCAATATTTCTTTTCTCTTGAAGGAAATAGTTAATGTATGTGTTTGGTTTGTAATCTAATTGACATTTCGGACAATATAAAGTTGATCTGCATGGTATAGTTTATTTATGGTAGCAGTCTAGAATTTTGACATGACATTGTTGGTTCCTTTCCCTACATTGAGCAGGAAGAAGGGGTACATACAACTGCTAATTCACTTCAGCCTGGAGTTGTTGTCACTAATCTTCTCCGTCACCGTAGCTTTCTTGATGGTAAACCTTTGACTCTTATCTTATAATGTTCTTGAAAAATGCATTAAAGCACATGAAAACTAGGTAGATACATGTTGTTCAAGTCCTTACCGGAAGCCACAGAAATGCTCTATTTTAATCAAATCATTTCAGGCTTGCTAATTCATATCAATACAGAATCTTTTAAATGTTTTTCCTAATGCAATAATAACAATATCTAGTAATTGTAAATCATGTACTCTAAACAAAAAGGTAATGGTCCACAAGGATTGCCCTTTGTATCAGCACTTGAACACATGTATAACTCTTGCAAAGAATGTAGCACATAGCATCCAATAGATTGCATAGGAAAATATTACTTTTACTTTAAATGTTGACTGACTTAATCAATCACAATCGTTGAATAGATAGTGGATCCTAATAAATATTGAGACCTATAGTTAAATCAGTGACAATGATTGATCAAGTCAACATTTTAAGTCTATGTAGCATTACTCAATTGCAAATAGGTGATTGGAGAAAAATGCATATTAGAGTGGCTCAAGTAAGAATAGTGAGCAATGCTACATGGACTTAAAATGCTGACTTGATCACTCATGATCATTGATTTAATTATAGATTCTAATATTTATTATGACCCACTACATATACAATGCTTATGATTGATCAAATCAATATTTTAAGTACAAGTAGCATTTTCCAAGAATAATTCATTACATTCTGCCTGTTGATGTAATCAGCTTGTAAGTTGCTTCTTTTACTCCTTATTTTGAGGTTCTGGGATATTAATGCTTTGGTTCTTGGCTTGATGCAGTTGTTATTAATGGCATTGACAAATACATGTTTAAAAATGTTCAGCAGTTTGGTTCTCTATTGTTTAAGCAACTAGACAGAAGGATTTCCACGAATACCATCTGGAAAATAATAAAGCGAGATGATAAAATAACCTAACTTTAAACTTTGCATATTTATTGAACGAAAAAAAGAGAAACAGTATCGAAAAATAACTCTTTCAGTACCAAAAGTTATATCCTCTTAAACAGTTCACTCGAATAAAACATAGCAATATGTTATCGTTCTCTCAATGTAAATTGTTCATTTTATTGTGCTTGTAGGGAGCAGCCACCACATGCTACATAGCATTGCATCCACAAGAAAAGGGTGTGAGTGGTGAGGATTTCTCGGACTGCAACGTAGCCAAAGCGAGCTCTATGGCTGAAGATAGAGAATTGGGGAAAAAACTGGGGGACTTTAGCTTGAGCTTGACAGATCCCAAGTAGCCATTATGATATAGCGTCGTTGAATAAAGTTGTGGCTGCCTTTGTCTACTTGTCCAAAGCTTCCAAGTTGTGAAACTCATTTGTTGGGATAAAGTTATGATACCAAAAAATACTTTGTTTCCGTACCGAAACGTGAATTACGGTCTTTCATCTAATATCATTTCAATAGATAGATCTCACCTCTCTTCTTCCGTACCGTAGTTGGAAGGGATAGCGACATAGCATATCCACAAAAGAGAGTACGGACTTTTACCCTTCATTTAGTTTAGACATAGCTCGAATACAATTATGCTATAAGTTGTGTTAAACATATTTTTTTGACAGAAAATAAAAAAAAAAGGTGACTATAAAGGGTGGGCCAGTAAGCTCTCTATCAACAACAGGGCCGATTGGGCGGATTGGCTGGCTGAGAAGGGGTGATTAGCAGGTAAAAGAATCGTTGAGAGATAAATTCTCCTATTTGGTTAGTAATAGATCTTGAATTGGTTTTAAAAAAAATATAATAAATCAATCAATCAAAAGTGTGCAAAACACACTTGCAAAAGTTTTCTATTGAACTAATGTTCCAAAAAAAGTTTCTTTTATTTATTAAAATCATGATTTTTCAAATATATTTTTATATTTGTGAATTTAATGACACTTTTGTGGGTTTTGGGTCAGATAAAGACGAGTAGAAGAACTAACTAGACCGATAATTAGGCCAAATGCGATTCAAAATTAGTTGAGCTGATATTTCAAGCCACTTCGAATATTGGGCTTAAGTTAATTGGCATAATGGGTATTTAACCGTGAGTATTTTTTTTAGAATTTATTTGATTTTAAATACCACAGTCAAACTTATACTCCATTAAGTCTTCTTTTTCATCAAATTATTGTCATTAAGTACACATTTCAAATTCTTTTTTTTTTTGTATAGAAAATACTACATAACCCAAATGAAACTCAAAAGCTAAAACTCAAATGCATATCATTCCTTAGATGAGTGTGAGATGAGTGGCCCTACTAAAAAAATTGATGGTACCCACTCATCCGAGGGATAATATGTATTTGGGTTACAACTTTTTTGATTTCATTTGAGTTTTGTAGCATTGCTTTTTTTGCATTACCTAATTAACGCTACCATAAATACTATCTATCATTGTTAGTTTCAATGTTTTCAAATATCTAAATATTAGGTTTGAGACTTTCAATATTCATCGGTCATCTTCCATTAATACTACATATCTAATTGTCATTTTTTTATATTTTCAAATATTTAAATATTAAATTTGAGACTTTTAATATTCCATTATCATATCTCATTCTCTCTCTCTCCACCTTTTCTCTCTCTCTCAACCGTTACTCTCTCTTTATTTTGTTTCTATCTCTAACTTCTCTGCGCTTCCTTTCTAATTTAATATTCCTTGAACTTTATCTACAATTTAAATTTTAAAAATTTAAATGAAATTAAGCCACTCTATAAAAATAAGTAATTTGTTATATATTTTTGTAATGGTCAAGTCACTATTTAGATTGTCACTCTATAGATACAAGCCGAGGGTTAAAGACAATCAGGTGTCACAAGTTTAAATTTGGTATAATATGTATTGAAATAGATATAGAATTTGATTGTCACTCTATCGTGTCAATCCATGGTCTTAAGTTCACTGTTGCATGTTGTACAATGAAATGGCTAATCTATGAGCATATAATAGAGTGACACTATAGAGTAAAAACAGTTATAATTTTTTTTTTTTATGTATTTTGTTGTGGGTAAGACAATAGTTTTAAGTACTCATTGTATGTTGTTACTCTATTACAATGAATAAATTTTTAATCAAGTTTTTTATTGAACATGTACTATTTGATGTTACTATTTTTTTGTTGACCATATTACTATTTGATGTTACTATTTTTTTGTTTAACATGTTACTGTTTAATGTTATTATTTTTTTATTTTGAAAGTTTCTATTTTATCTCATATATAGATGTGTGTGTGTGCGCGCGTGCACGCATGTTTGCGTGTGTAAGAGAGATAAAATAATTATAGATATAAATAAATATGATAAAAAAATAATTTTAATGCTAGCACAATTCTCAAGTTAAGAATTGTTAATACTAATAAAGTTCCCAATTTAGAAGTTGTTAGTTTTTTCAAACAAATTTTGGTTAAATTTAACTATTAAGGATATTTTAGACAGTGGAGATTAAAATGGACTTATTCCAAACAAGTTTTTTGAATGGACTGAAGTCTAAATAAGTCTATAAAAGAAGACCGGCCTCCAAAAGACCCTCGGCATAAATTGGTTCAAAATACTCTAGTTAGTCTCAGACCAAATACACATGTATAACATGAGAATGAATTATTACAAGGACCTTATGAAATTTAGAAATAAAAATAAAAATAAAAATATACGATTCCAAATTGAGTGTGGTTTGGACAAAATACTGGTGGTACTAAATTGAGTAATTTTTTATATGACGCGATTTAAATATATGATGAATTTGACATGAAAGTACATATTGCCCGCTTATTATTTTCATGATTTTTCTCTTTTTTTTTTCCATCTCTTTCTTTCTTGAAGCCTTCCCTCTACCCTCGGTAGATGTCTAACTAGGAAGAGATATACGTGGTAGTTAGTAAGAAATCCGAATAAATCTCCAGCACCTTTAGATGAAAGATTGATTGTTCAACATAGTTTCTCAACCTAGAGAGATTCAAATGGTATTTGAATGTGGGGGGAGGAGAGAAACCAGCTAATAGTCCTAGATATCTTGCCTGTCCTACAAAAAAATTATCCACATTAGCAATAGGATAGAAATGTTGAATGTTGATTGTTAAATGATTTTACTAAACGATGCAAGAATACAAACTTCAACATTGAGGGTGAATGGACAACAAAGAAACACAAGAAAATGACTTAAACAAAAAGATCAAGGGCTTACAACAAAAATCTCAATTGTTTAAAGCTTATGAAAAACATTGCTGAGGAAATAAAACGAGGAAGTTAGCCCTTAAATTTATTGCAAAAAACAATGATAACATGTACCCAACAACACTCTAAAATACTATTGCATCAATTTTTTTGGATCATATTATATTAATTTTCAAAATGTATTGGCCCCAAGCAATCGATTTATCCAATGATTTAACCAAAGTCGACAAATGTCTCTAAGTATTGTATGACATGAATTAAAGATCGAGGAATTGAAGAATAACATACTCTTTTGTGTCATTAATGCAAAAACACCAAACAATGTTCTACTTGGGCAGCCTTAAATATATCATAATTGTGTCGTCCCTTATGCTTATTACTAATGTTTCAAGTAAACCAAACGAGGTGAGCATAATTTTATTTTCTTTTTATCCTAATTTTGAATTGTAGTTTATTGTTGCTTAGGCTAAATTGTAATTTCAATTCATACATTGTCAAACACATGTTTTACAAACATCTATATAATAAAATAGTTATATTTCTTTGTCTTGAGTTTTTTGCGGCTCAAATCGTTTGAAGATTATTGATCCAACGATTCTGATTAAATTATCATTCTTTTTAAAACTCTAAGACTTTTATTTCTAATATAACTCTCTTTCTTTTTCTATCTCATATATCCAACTTTTATACGTATATAGCTCTCTATCTCTCTCGCTCACAAATATTTTAAACATCGTTAACACAAACAATACTATGTCATACTTTCTCTCTTAGCATTATTTGTTTGTCTTAACGATCCTAATTGGACTTATTTACTCAAAATATTTGTATGATTTTATAGATGAAAAAATATTTAAATATTAAAAAAAAAATCTCAAGTTGTAGGTATTCAAAGCCAAGTTAATTACCAATAAAAAAAATTCAATGGCAAACTAATCACCAATAAAAAATAACAAGTGATTTTGCACCATAAAAATAAAAAAATTCAAAGTTAAGTTAATCACTAACAAAAAATAACAAGTGATATCAATTGCACTAAAAAATTTAAAGTTTAAAGTCATTACTAATACTAATAAAAAAATATCAATGACCAATAAAAAAAAAATAAGTGATATCAATTGCAATAAAAAAAAAGAATATTCTAAATCAACTATCAATTTTTTTTTCTTTATTTGCATCGTTTTTTCCTATCGCCACCCACTGTCACCTATTTCCATTACACTTACCACTACCGTCATTTGCCACAACCCAACACATTGTTGCCTAGAAGAACCTATCAGTGCCCATCATCATCGTCACCATTACCATCGTCGTCCCACCACCACCACTGCCAACTACAATCATCGGCGCCCACCATCACCATAACCGTCGTCACCCATGACTGTCACTACCATCATCATCACCCAAAATTCACCACCACTATCACCGTTGCAATCCCACGATTTTTGCCACCACCACTATGATCGTCGCCAGCCACCACAATCATCACTGTTTTTCCACCACCACCACTACTACTCATCACCACTACCACCGCTCACCCCCATTATAATCGATACTTAAATTTCTTTCTCTCTCCTCTATGTTTGTGATTTGATTTTAGGCGTAAATACAAATATGTTTATTATTGACTACTTTTTATTTATTATTGCGTGTATTTAGGCATAGAAAATAACTAGTCTATATAATAAAATACAATACAATTCAAATCTCAAAAGATAAACAAAATAAATTTTGCTATTCGTGGTTGAGATTTCTTTAAATTTTAATTTAAAGTTAATCTGACGGCTAATATTAAAATCTCAAATTTAATAGGAAAAATAGGTTCTTAAGGACGTGTTTAGAATGACTTTTTAAAAGTGTTTCTAGAAATTATTTCTTATTAACATCCCCACCCCCACCCCTCAGCCACCATCATCATTACCACCATCATTGCCTCACCACCACCGCTGCCACCACCTTACCACCACCATCACAACTACCATTGCCCAACCACTATCATTACCACTACCACCTCTACACCCCCACCACCACCTCCTTTTTCACCGCTCCCACCACCATTGCCCCACCACCACCTCTACCATCCTATCACTACCATCCCCACTATCACCATCATCACCACCACCACTACCGCACCCTACAATCACCACTATCACTATCGCACCTTACCACCATTGACACTGTCCCACCATCACTCCTACCATTCCCCTACAGCACTACAACCACCCCTATGACCATCACAACTTCCACCACCATCACCAACCCACCTTCGCCACCCCACCCTCACTGCCCCACTGCCACCACCGCCACCATCACCAACCACTAATTACTATCATTGTCATCCACAGCCACCATTCACCAATATCATCATCTTATTTTTATATTTATTACTATTACCACAATCATCCCACTACTACCGTTGCCCACCGTCAGCACCCACCACCATCTGTCGTCGCCCACTATCGCCATCAGCCACTATCACTCACTCCCACCACACCTACAACCACTACCCGTCATCGTCCACCACTGCAGCCACCTGCTGTCACTTATCTTTGCTATACTTACCACCGCCGCTATTTGTCACCACCTATCACACTGTCGCCTAAAAGCATCCATTGTCGTCCACCACCACCATTATCAACCACCATTAATATCGTCTACCACCACCACCACTGCCGTCACTCACAACTGCCAGCACCATCATCGTTACCCAAAAACCACCACCACAATCACCATTATTGTCCACCATCACTAACACCGCTTACCCTCATTACAATCAATACTTAAATTTCTTTATCTCTCTTTTATATTTGTAATTTAATTTTGCGTGTGAATACAAATATGTTTATTACTGACTATTTTTTTTATTACTCCGTATCTTCGAGCACGAAAAATAATTAGTAGTCTTATATACCATAATTTATATAAAAATAATAATAAAGATCTATCTATGTAACAAAACAAAAACTTCTTGAAACATACATAAAATACAAAAGCGGTCTAAATCGTTTTCATCCAACCACTTATCTTAAAAATTGATCATACATCATCACTAGTCTCACCTTAGTCATCTCATTTTCCAATACTCTCTCTCTCTCTCTACATGTACATACATAAATAGATACAGATTTTCTCTCTCTAAAAAGGGGCAAAGCAACGCACGCTTTCTCTCTCTAAAAATTCGTGTTCTTCTTCTTCTATCCTTTTGCGCGACTCTTCGGTAACTGACACTTCGAACTAATTCGGTGCGGTTTTACCCTCCGGTGACCGGTGAGTAATAATTAGGGTGTTGACTTTTGGGTCACTGAGCTCGATTTCAGCTACTGTAAGTCTGTAATGGACCAAAATGAGGCGTATTTAAAACCGTGAGGACACGTTTTTTATCATTATGTGTTTTCAGTAGTTGATTCAGGGTCTTTTTGGGCTTGAGGAGTATGATTTGCTCTTTAAAACTATTTTTCTGTGGCTTTGGATGCTTCAATTTGGTGAAATTTTGTTGTTTCGAGTCATGAAATGCCTTTTTCAGGTGAATTTTTGTAGTTATGAGGCCCCTTTGATTCTGAGTTGGGAAATTTGATACCTTTTTTAGGCAACTTTTGGTGCTACTTATGTGTTTATGTATGTATATAGGCACGCAGGTATGTACTTGATTATGTTGTTGAGTTTTGTGGATGATTTGTCGGAAGTTTAGATCTGTGTGCAAAGATTCTGGGTTGTTGATTATAAGTATATTATTGTTCACTGTTGTGTGAATTTAGGTATCATTGCTTGCATTCGTTTTATGATGATGTAGATGAAAACATAGTTCAATTATAATAGTTGATGATGCAAAAATGGCAGTTTTGCTTCGAAATTATTTACTTGGAATGATATGGATACCATGTTTAAATTTGGAAAAACATGGTCGTGTGAGAGTTCGATAAATTACATAGGAATGTGTATTATTAATTGATTATTGATCATTTTAGTGGAAAACTTTTAGTGAGACATGGACAAGTTGAAGAATTAAATAAGATCGTGACCGATGATTACCAAACTTGTGTGCAAATATGGTAATAGTGAACACGTGTTAGAGATGACCAAAAAAAAAAGAACACGGGTTAGAGTAGATTGTGTCTGGATGTGTTAAGTTAAACTTGAGTCATTAATTTATGAACAAATTTGGTAAAATTTGAATTTGTCAAAGAATTCGTTAAGATCTGTCCGAATGTGTTTAGTTGGATAGGTGATCTAGCAAAAGGTCAGATGGAGGTGAGAACTTGTTAAAAGTGTGGATGAATGTTTTAGTTGAACTGATATTTCCTAATCTCTTGGATGTAAGATATTAATAAATTCAGATCGAATGCATTTGGATTTGAGTAGCATGCAAGGTGAAAATATTCTCTTGATCTATCTTGGATTTTTATTTTATCATGACTAATTCCATCTAGAGGTTACGGTTTTTTGATTGTGTTACCCGTCTAGAGTTTCCTAGCATCTAATCTGTGGCGTCATGGTTTAAAAATGTTTTCGGAAGGATTAATCGATATATGGGTGTTCCTATGGCAAACCATTAATTTTTTTTCTTCTTTTGGTAAGTGGGTAAAATATTGACCTGCATGGTTTGGATTGTGATTGAGGCCTCTAAGTAGCTTTGAGGAGCTTATATTCACCAGATCACTGTTCAGTAAAACACCTGGTCAGTTGAGTGTATCACTGAATTCTCATCCCTATGGGAGCAAGAGTTGGATCAGATATTGGAAATGACTGGAATGGGCATTGCAGTGAGCTCACCCAGGTTGTTGAGTACATTTTGAGAAAGAAAGGCATGCTATACCTGTTATGTGCAAGGCCAGGTAAGTGGGATAACATATTAGACTAAGTTTCAGTTACAACGTGCCGCACTTGCACATCGTTCTTGTGAGTTAGGAGAACTTTGTAAATTACAGGGTCACCACTTTGTTTTGCATGATAGTGGAATATACATGTTCTCTTGAATCTTCGGACCAGTATTTTTCCTTTCTTTGTTATCTCGTCATGTGGGAGGAGTGCTTTACTTGACTACAAAACACGTATAATTGCTCCATTCAAATGAATCATGAAGATGTCTCAATTTTTTCCAAGTCCTCTTTATTTTATCCTGGTGAGAAGAAAGTTCATTACATCTTACAATTAATGAAGCATTCTGAATTTTTGCAATCTGGAGAATCACCTGCTACAGATATTCTACCTTGTAGGAATATTTTTGTGTATGTTTGATCAGGTTTTAGCTATATTTGTTATCTTATCTGTGTTTTTTAATGGGAATCATTTCAATTTATGCAAGCTGTTTGTTCATTTAAAGGATTCATTATTTACAGCAGACCCAGTCACATACATTTTCCAATATATATTTTGTTTGACATAAATGCTAATGTCAATATACTTAATGCAGGGTCATAAGGTGCACAAGTCATTCTGAACAACCCTTATTTTCTGCTTACCATTCTAAATTGGAGTGGCATTCAGTTGTGCTCCTTTTTTCAGAAATTTTATGGAGGGGCAATTGTGCTAAATCTCGCTTTCCCAAACTAAGTGCAGACATGATATAAGATGAATTGATATGTGATATTGCATTGGCATATATTTTATTGTATTGAAGGAGTAGGTTTTTTGGGGCTAAAATCATGCGTTCTTGGTGGGGAAAGTCTTCCTCCAAAGAAGAAAAGAAGAAAGCCAACAAGGAAAGTTTTTTTGATACAATACACAGGAAGTTAAAGATTGCATCTGAAGAAAAGAGCAGCAGTGGGTCAGGAGCTTCTAGAAGACGTTCTAGTGACACTGTTTCAGAGAAGGGATATCGATCTCGTGCAGGTTCACGTTCTCCATCACCCTCTGCAAAAGTATCACGCAGTCAGAGTTTTGCAGAGAGGCCTCATGCCCAACCACTTCCACTTCCTGGGACTGGGGCACGGGTTACCTGTCTCCCTCGGGCTGATTCTGGAAACAATGCATCAACAAAAGCAGAAGCTGACAAAGGCTCTAAGCCTGCCTTTCTTTTGCCCCTTCCTACGCCTGAACGTGGTCGAAATGGACTGGATCCCACAGATACTGCGGGAGATTTTGCAGCTTCTGTTTCTAGCGACTTTTCAATGGATAGTGATGATCCATCTGACTCCCGGCTACTAAGCCCCCAGGCATCTGACTATGAAAATGGGGGCAAAACTGCCATGAACAGTCCTTCAAGGTGAGTTTGCTTGTAATAACAGTTATCCCCAAAGATTATGATTAATAATACATAGTGACTATGTGGGAGTGCTTTGTAATTGTTCTGTTTTTCTTGTGGTTACTTTTCTATTTGCTCCATTTCTAACACATCTTTCTACCACTTCTGAAGTGTAAAGCACAAGGATCAATCCCCAATTGCCACCCGAAAGAACCCAAGGGAGATTGTGAGGCCGGCTAACATTTTGTTGAACAATCAAACTGTCCCAACATCACCTAAATGGGGGCCTTTAAGCTCTCATGTGCCAAATTTACAGATTCCTCACCATGGTGCTTTTTATAGTGCCCCAGATAGCTCGATGTCAAGTCCTTCAAGAAGTCCAATGAGAGTGTTTGGTCATGAGCTTGCAATGAATTCTGGTTTATGGACAGGGAAGCCCTATGCAGATATAGCTTTACTTGGTTCTGGACAATGCTCTAGTCCAGGTTCAGGTCAGAATTCTGGGCATAATTCAATTGGAGGAGATATGTCAGGACAGCTTTTTTGGCAGCACAGCAAGTGTAGTCCGGAGTGTTCACCAATACCTAGCCCCAGAATGACAAGCCCTGGGCCCAGCTCCAGAATTCACAGTGGTGCAGTCACCCCTCTGCATCCACAAGCAGGAGTGGCAGCCACAGAATCACCTACAAACTTGCCTGATGATGGAAAGCAGCACAGCCACCGGCTGCCACTGCCTCCAATAAGGATCTGTAATCCTTATTCTTTTTCTCCTTCATATTCAACTGGAACAACGCCTACAGTCCCACGTAGTCCAGGTAGGACTGAAAATCCACCAAGCCCTGGTTCGTGCTGGAAGAAGGGAAGGTTGCTTGGCAGAGGCACATTTGGGCATGTTTACCTTGGTTTCAACAGGTCTGTAATCAGCGGGGTGTATTCTCATTCAATGTTTTCTCTTTTGTTACAATAAGTTGTAGTTGGCTGTGGCACTTCATTCCTTACGATTGATGGTTTGTTAGTTGTGTGGCGTTTTCCACTACCTAATTGATTTAACTGACCCATTAGTTAAGATTGGTATGGTTATATGTCTGAAATATCGAGGAGTCCAGTATCACCTTTTCCCTTTATTGCCTTGACTCAAATATAAATACTGGATTGATAACATAACTGTAGAGAAAAACGTGTCTTCTCTAGTGATCTTATATGTTTTACTGATGGTACTTTACTGCCTGGGCTGCAGCGAAAGTGGTGAGATGTGTGCAATGAAGGAGGTGACACTTTTTTCCGATGATTCAAAGTCCAAGGAAAGTGCACAACAGCTAGGGCAAGTGAGTTTCCCTTAGCTGATAACTTGGAATTAAGTTTTTGAAGGTGGAAAAATAATGAATTTTGTTATTAACTAGGGAAAACATTTGCTTTTTTGCATCATTTTTGGAACTTATCTTTGTGAAACCACAAATTTGAGGAGAACTTTATTTATTTTCTGTTTGATATTTGGCAGGAAATTTCCCTGCTAAGTCGACTACGACATCCAAACATTGTTCAATATTATGGATCCGAGACAGTAAGTTTTCTGTATTCTTTGGCGTAGTTTAATTTGGAGAGTGATGTTTTTAATTAATGCTTTGATTTGGGTATTTATCTATGCTCCAAGTTTTCTGTACTCTACATTTATTTGGTTATAAATTCTGCACTCTACATTTATTTGGTTATAAATTGTGCATGCACTTACTATACAGTGTGGAGAACTGAAAGTTGAAATAAAAAAATAGTGCCCTTTTTCGTGTTGGTGAGTTTCACATAGTTAGGTTCTCGGGTAAACCCTAGATGTAGTGGATACTCTTATGCCAGTAAGTCCAGTTAGTTAGAGGATGAATCATCCAACAATTACATAAAGGCATTAAAAAAAGGTCGTTGCTAGTATCTCTATATTGAATTTTTGTTTACATGAAGTAACATTACGTCAGTATCTGGCAATTGAGGTCTTAGAATATATGTTGTTTGTTGTCATTGTTATATGTCTTCTACAGGTGGACGACAAACTATACATATACCTCGAGTATGTATCTGGTGGCTCTATCTACAAAATTCTCCAAGACTATGGCCAACTGGGTGAAATAGCAATTCGAAGTTACACTCACCAAATTTTGTCAGGGCTTGCATACCTGCATGCTAAAAATACAGTCCATAGGTGAGTTTAGTTGTTAGTAAGATTTGGCTTGGACCACTTAGTTATTATTCTGTACTTGGCTTGTTCTTTATTGCTTACTCTTAATTGCCCTGGTGCATTTATTCATCTCCTCTGCATCGCTTATGGGTAGGCTTATTGAATCTTTCCTTGTTAGGGACATCAAAGGAGCAAATATTCTGGTTGATCCTAATGGCCGTGTGAAATTGGCAGATTTTGGGATGGCAAAGCATGTAAGAGAATTTCTTTAGACTTTTTCGGATACAACTATCTTCATTATGAACCAGGTCCAACAATGTTTCTCAATGATAAATTAACGCCTGATTATGGATAAGCATGAATTATATGAAAGAAGGCGACAAAGTTAAGTATATTAGGGTCAAAAAAAATTAAAGGTGATCATACAAGTCCATCAGGAAACTTATTTAGGGAAAACTATTTATGAATAGGTCAGGAGAACACTTTGTAAAACTTGTCTTGTTAGATAGTAACTAGTTTTCAGGCACTTGAGATTCAACTTCTAGATGTAAATGTCAAACAAAAAAGATGGAGAAATGCTAAATCATGCTGAATTTAAATGAGTAGCAAGAGTGACATCCTTTCACATATGCAGTTGAAGAATAAATGCAGGTGTTGTATCTGCACCATATGTATTGCCTATTTAAGGTGTCCCTTTGCTGATGCAGTTTATTTCTTACTTCTGAACTAGATGCTAACAATGGTACCTTGTGTAATGTTCACGATATTCTTTAAATTTTACTATGTTTAAGGTTAACACCGGTGGGTTTGTTTAAAGATTCTGAATAAAAGAGTTATTGCAGTACTAATCTTGCTTCAGGGGCTGCCCGTATTCTCTGTGGACTTCTTAATGCTGCACACTTGTGTCTAATGTAATTCTCATAACTTGCAGATTAGTGGACAGTCTTGTCCATTGTCATTCAAGGGAAGTCCTTACTGGATGGCACCTGAGGTCAGCAGAATCCCAAGTTCATGCTTTTGAGTCACTTTTTTTGGCATTACCTTTCCAATAATATATCAAATTGCATTGTTTGTTCCACTTGTTTAGGTTATAAAGAATGCCAGTGGTTGCAATCTTGCTGTGGATATATGGAGCCTTGGATGCACAGTTTTGGAAATGGCTACAACAAAACCACCTTGGAGTCAATATGAAGGGGTCAGTCAGTAGATTTGGCTAGAGAAGCTTAAAAAATTAGCAGTTTCACCATTTTGGCCTGATTCTGATCTTATTTATCATCCAAAAGGTTGCTGCAATGTTTAAGATTGGAAACAGCAAGGAACTTCCTGCAATCCCTGATCATCTCTCAGAAGATGGCAAGCACTTTGTAAGGCAGTGTTTGCAGCGCAACCCACAACACCGTCCTACAGCTGCTCAGCTTTTGGAGTTCCCTTTTGTTAAAAATATCACAACTCTGGAAAGACCCATTATAAGTCCTGAACCTCTGGAGGCAATATCTGCAGTTAAAAATGTGGTGAGATTGGTAGTAGGGGGTTTTGCCTTTTCTGTCCATGCTTTCATTTTATGCGCTAATTTTGGCTCTATATTGACCGAGGTGCATTCATGTAAACGGCATATATTCTTCAATTTGTTTGTTGTGTGTGAACAATGAATTGCCTGCATAAAGAAAATTTCGATAGGAACTCTCTTTAAATGCTGTGAAAGGTTTTATCTGGAGATCTTCAGTTGCCGACTGAATATCAATTATGACACAACTTTAGAACTTCTCCCCCAAATGTTAGCGTATAAAGTACAAGCTGTTTAACAATCGTCTACCGTCTTGTGGTCCCTTATATCCACATCACCTTTTAAGACCATTCCTAGGCCCAAGTTAGCCGGATGATAGTCAATATGTTAAAATTTATTGTCTTCTGTTAGTCGGAGTTCATGTCTTCTGAAATAATGCTCTTATTTTATTTTCTGGGCTATCCTGCTATTCGAAATCCACTTAAATGTAGTTTGTTCGTATTGAGCCCTTGTAAATATATATTTCATGCCAACAATCCTGGGGCAGCCTTATTAATGTATTATTGCACAGTGATGCACTTCCTGGGATTTTTGTTAAATTGATTATTTCTTTTATTGCTTGCGACTTTTAGGGTGCCTTTGATTAACAATTGGTTCACACACTTGATGTTTCAGGATGTTGGACAAGCCAAAAATCCTTTGTACATGGACTCGGTACGAGGGGCTATTCATCATTCTAGAGGTCCAAAAACTGGTTCAGGATTCAGGTGTCTCTCTCACTCTCCTCCCCCCCCAACACACACACACGTATGGGAGCCAATGGGCATGGGCACACGGTTAATATACTGTCAGTGGCTGGTAGTATACTGCATGTGATTGTAATATGGTCAGTGTCGATGCTGCTGGCTCTGCACACATGAATTTTGTGGTTCCTTTGAATTCTTAATTTGTAATAAATAAGAATATTTTTATATATGGGAGAGAAGTTCTCTTTCAAGATTACTTAAGGTTTGTTTAATTGCCGGTTATGAAGGTGGCAGTATTGTAAATCCATGGATTTATTGCTGTATAACCTGAATTGTGCTTCTGAGAGGGCATACTGTACCAAATAATTCCAATATGTGGCCAATGAAGTCATCCACCATAGAAAAATATCTTATATTTTCCTTTGATTTGCAGTGACGCCCATGTGCTGAGGAACATATCATGCCCAGTTTCTCCTCTTTTGCATCCACGATCACCACATCATGTGAGTGGACGATTGTCTCCCTCTCCTATATCGAGCCCCCGGGCCACATCTGGTTCATCCAGCCCACTTACTGGTGGCTGTGGTGCCATTCCCTTTCATCACCACAAACAGCCGACAAATTTCTTGCATGACGGCATGGGAGTGTTTGAAAACAGTTTCTACCCCAATGGTAACACCTCCTTTCTAGACCTGAAGCCTGACATATTTCGAAGGATGCAACAGGCCCCTTACATGTTCCAAGAAATGGCTCCACCTGAAAATGGTTTTCTTGGAGATCATTTTGGGGGGCTGTCCGTGGGGACCCCAAGGAATTTTATGGTGGACAGTCGGTGTTAGCTGATCGGGTATCTCAACAACTATTGAAGGATCATGTGAAATTGAATCCATTGTTTGACCTCAACCCCAGCTCACCAGTGATCAGTCGCAATAATGGAGTTTGATTTGGGCAGACCCCCTTATTTGAGCTGTCTCTCAGTTGCATTATTTATTGCACGATTCGCCATTTTTACCAATAGGAAACCAAAGCAGACAATCTTATGAATAAATCTGGATCTTCTGGAAGCTGAAATGGAAGGAGGGAGATATTGTTCAGTTTTAGCTTGGGTTTTTATAATCCAGTGCCTAAAGTAAGTAACATGACTCTGCAATGATTACGTTTCTATCAAATTTCTTACTATATTTCCCAGTTACAAGTCTTATTTCTTCCCTGGATACACACTGCTAATCTGGGTAATATTGGTTTACAGAGATGATGGCCTGTGGAGCTCCAACATTCCGCAGAGATCCTTTAGTGAAGAAAATTTTCGTGTAAATACATATTATCAGCATACATGAAGAAGAGAAGATTAACCTGAAAGAGCTATTAGTATCCCGACTCCGTTGCCATGTTTTTGGCTTTTGGATCTTTTTTTGAAGGTGGAGAGGTGGGAGGGGCGAAAGGATTGAACAGAAATAGGTTACTAAAGTAGGCTCCAGATTTTGTTGAGAAGGCAATTTGAGAAAATGCAGGCTTGGTGTGTATAATCTGTTATTAGGCACCAGGTTGGACTTAAATTGGCTGTCCTGCCAAACTTTTGTATCTAACATCATAGCTGTATCAAAGCTAGAAGATCTATTGTGTAATCATGTCCCAGTTCTGGAATCTCTTTTGTGCCCCATGTTTTCCTTTTGTTTTTCCTTACTGGTGACTTAATCTCATATCTCTTGTATCTAACTTGACAACATAAGTAGGCTTTTTGGGATGCTCTCTAGCTCTAGAGTTTTGAAACCCATGAATCTCCTTTTGTTTCAAGATGTCTTGCTAATTAGTCTCTTGAGTTCTAATTCAAATACTAAGCATTAGACGTCTGGTTCCATTCCACCGGCTCAACCAGTAGCCAATAATGGCGAAAACTCAAAAATTCCTGATTTTTTTTAGAACCCTATTTCGCCAAAATTGTTTTGGAACCGAAAAAAAGTAGTTTTTCACACAAACTTGCTCATAGAGGTCTTTGAGCCTTAGTCGAATCTCGTTGAATGGTTGTGGTTTCAGGACACAAATGCGTCTAGAGTCGTCAAGTGAGACATTTGGTTTACAATTCAAAAATCTATGTCCACAGCAAGCTCTCAATTTGACCCAGTCCATCACGCTTTGGACATCACCAATGGGTCGTTGAGGCCCCATGAAGAGTCGTCTTTGCCTAAGTGTGAAATGTAGACGACTCTCTAGTGGTTCCATTTCTTCTTACTGTACTTCTAGGTTAACCTAACCTGAATTAGAAGAAGAGCATCAACTAAATTGCAGTCCACATTATACGTTTTTTAAACAGACCAATCAAGCATTTTTAAAAAGGGAAGGAATGACACCAAATATATATTCATTTTGGTGCGTTGTTTTGGCCAACTCAAAAGCTTAAACTTTTTCAAAATGTTTTAGAAATTTTTTGAAAAACAAAAGTATGACTTAAAAAAAAACTAAAAATGAATTCCAAAATATTTCAAAAAATAGGAAGAAAGTTTTCAAACAATTCAAAATAAGAGAATTTTGATTATCAAAGTGATTTGTTTCAATTTCAACTTATACTATAATGTTTCGGCTAAAACAAAACGTAAATTTGATCCTGTTTTCAACCAATACCAATGCCTTTGGCAATAAAGATAACAAGGCTCTATTGAACTTTTCTCCATATGATCACAAAATAACTTTACAGCATCCCTGTGTAATCACATTGCCACTCTTTACAGCACTTATCAAACCAAAAAAAAAAAGGATCTACACTCGATTTTCTTTCATTCAGTCATTTTGAAGCTCACACGACCAAACTGCTATCAAGTTGTATATTACACAACAGCTCACAAGTTTAAAGATTTTGGCACAGGCCTTCCACCAATCAGCTCGATAACTCAGTCATCCAAACTACTTGGGTTCTGTCAAGCTCAAACTGAAATCCCACAGTTTCTTTGCCAATTCTGCATCTTTAACCAGAGAGCTCGGTTTAGCAACATTACTGTCTGAAAAATACCCACCACTTACCCCTTTTACTTGTGGATGCAGTGCCAGATAACATGTAGTAGCCGCTCCCTAGAACCACACAAGAATAACATTAATGAGCAAAATGTGTAATTGAAACATGTTCTTGTGCCATTATGTTTGTTAAAATGACCACCATCAGGGGATCGTTGAGTTACAATAGGAGATTCTTGAACTTGAGAAATTTCACTTTGCACAAACCTGTTGAACATTTTTTCGCTTATATTTACCAAGGCAATTAAGCATGACTGCACATGATAAGAAAAAAAGGCAGAAACATCAAGCCAGATAACAACTTTATATCTGTTAAAAGAAATAAACATGTGTGTTGATTATGTTTTGAAGGTTATTTTCGTTGTTAAAAAACAATGTCATATTCGACCATGGTTGTTAATTGTAAACATAAAATTCATACTTCATAAACTGAATTTTCCAACACACTCATACGGTAAGTATGCTGTATCTTCTATCTACTAGTAACATTCCCAATGAAGTGGCAATAACAGAGTCTTTTGTCAACAACCTTACCTCTTGAAGTGCTACAGGGTGCTTTACCCTGTGCTTTGTGCAAAATCTAGGTAGGGATGCAGTAAGAAAAATTGTGTACTAATGCCAACTAGCAAGATTCACAATCTCCAAAGGGAGTGTGAGTGTATTACAGGTTTTATTTGTGGAATTAACCACAGAAATCCAACTATTTTAATGAAATTTTGTAGAAGATAATCAACAATTAGTTCAAAAAGCTCTTACCATTAATAAGGTTGTGGTGATGCAGGATGTTGGTGGCAATGGCCCCAGGATGAAGCGAATTAGCAGTTATCTCCCCTTCTTCGTTCTGGTTAGTTGTAGAAAAAATATATATACCACATTCTACATAGGTTGCTAAATTGAAAAAAATTAGAAGGTACAAATGATAGAGTAACTGCCTTAAATAAACTCCACACTGTATGAAAGTTTGGACAAAATTCCATGCTAAAATGATGTAACGATATATCTTCGGAACAAAGCTAGGTGGTGAGAGGAAAGCATCCCAACTTCTTCGTTAACATCCACATAAATTGGTAGCCTATGGCTCACATCAAGCTGTACAGCCGAAATTCTCCAGGAGGTAAGTCAAGACTAGGCTGCTCTTACGTGCTGGGTGCCATTTAAGTAAGCTCAAATAAGATTTTTCAATGCTGGTCCAAATGACAGCAAAGGAATGCTTTGAGTCCAAACAACAGTGACTATCTAGAGTTTGGCATGTTATAAGCCTCATGACTAGTGAATCCATTGAGGCAGTGCTCATTAAGTCTTTTTTCTTTTCTTTTTTGAAAATGAAATCCAACACAAAACCATGAAAGAGATATGCCAAACAAACTGATGTATTTAGTGAACATTCTCTGAATTTGATAAGATGATTTCTAATCACTTTGAAGGCTGTTGTTGTGACTGCAAAAAGATGATAAATGTCTATAATAAGACCTTCAGAGAAAGTACAACTCAAAATCAAAAATCACAATCTAAAAGTCCTTTTATTGGCTAGTTGACTACAGATTACCTAGACTAGAAATTACCTTCAAGCGCCTTGCGAGCTCATTAGCGTGTAGTATGTTAGCAAGCTTTGATTGTCCATAAGCAAAAAATCTATTATAACTGAAAAATATAACAAGATATAAAGACAAGAGTGTCTGTATGAACTTCATGCATTATACTTGAAATAAATGTGAGCAAACAAAGGGATCCAAACTAAGTGTAGAGCCCTCGTATATATAGCAAATGAAAATTACAATAAGGGTAAAAAGGTAAAAAAAAAAACTATAATAAACCCTAATAAATTAAGTTGTAATATCTCTAAAACTCCCCCTCAAGCTAGACGCAAAAATGTCAACTAAGTCAAACTTGACAACGGAATCCCGAATAATGGATAGATGAAGAAAACATCTGCAACCTGATCACCGGTCCCCACAAATGATGGAGTGACAGAGTCCATCATTTGTCCTCTCATATGCTTCGTCCATCATTTGTCCGAAGAAAGTGAATATCAATCTCTATATGCTTCGTCCTCTCATGTAATACAGAGTCAGAAGCCTGAATAACAAATCGATTATCACAATATAAAGTAGATGAAGAAGTCACTGGAAATCCCAACTCGCTAAGAATCGATCGTAACCAAATAATCTCATATGTGACAAGTGCCAATGCCCGATACTTTGCCTCTGCTGACGAGCGGGAGACAACTGACTGCTTCTTGCTCTTCGAAGAGATAAGATGAGTCCCTCGAAAAGCACAAAAGTCAGTAGTAGATCTACCGGCACACGCTCTCCCATAATCTGAATTTGAATAACAGGCTAGAGAACTAGTCTGAGATCCTGATGCATAGAACAACCCAAGTCCAAGTCCAAGACAAGACTTAAGGTACCGAAGAATATGATAAACTGCATCAAGATGAAGTTGACATGGTCTGTGCATGAACTGACTAACTCGGCTGACAATAAATGAAATATCTGACCTAGTGTTGGCTATGTAGATAAGTCTACCTACCAACCTCTGATAGATAGTCGGATCTCTCAACTCCTCACCTTTAGCAATAAACTTCAGATTTGGAATCATGGGTGATAATGCTGGTTTGCACCCCAACATCCCAGTGTCTAAGAGAAGATCCAAACATACTTTCTCTGAGAAAGAACAATACCCCTGCTGCTACGGGCAACCTCAATCCCAAGAAAGTATCGCAAAAATTCAAGATCCTTTATATCAAAGGTCTTCACAAGGTCTACCTTGACCTGTGCAATCCCAGAAACATCATCTCCAGTAATAATAATATCATCAACATATACCAAAAGGATGACACACTGTCCAAAAGTATTCTGTCGAATGAAACAGGTATGATCAGAATGACATCTGGTGAATCCTAAACGTACAACTACATCACTAAAGCGAGAGAACCAGGCTCGTGGTGACTGTTTCAGTCCATAAAGAGACTTACGCAATCGACACACCTTTCCAGCATAATCTCCCTCATCACGAAAGCCCGGTGGTGCATCCATATAAATAATCTCGTCCAGATTACCGTCAAGAAATACATTCTTCACATCCAACTGATGAAGAGGCCAAGAATACTCCGCAGCTAGAGAAACAATCAATCGAACAGTAGTCAATTTTACCATGGGGGCAAAGATAGCACCAAAATCACGACTTGGTACCTGAGTAAAGTCCTTCGCCACAAGCCTAACCTTGTGACGATCAATAGTACCATCCGCAAGAAACTTCAGGGTGTGTAAATCCAGCGACAGCCAACAGCTTCACCCTTGAAGGTAAAAAGATAATATCCCACGTATGATTACGCTGAAGAGCGTCCATCTCCGTCTGCATGGCAAGAATCCACTGGGGCTCCCTCATAACCTTTGAAACATAGCGAGAAATCGGCGTATCTGATAAGGTCATACTATAAGCTCAAAATATAGAAGACAAATCACCATAAGACATATAAGTAGAGATCGGATATAAAGTCCTGGCAGTCCAACCATAACAAACAATTGAACGACGATCACGCTGTGGATAACGATGCTCTAAATCATTATCCTCCACTGACAATGTCTTATTAGGAAAAATAACTGGCTCAGTACCTGCAATCTCATCAGTACTAATAACAGGTGTATCAATCTGCTCAACGAACTAAAAAGTATTACTTGTATCACCTGAGGTAGAAGGGACATCAGCAGGGGGATGAGAGCAAGGTTAACGAACATAAATCTGCAAAGGAAGAGAGACTGATGACTCTGTACTAACAGGGACGAGTGACTCTGGAGAAGGAGAGACTGATGACTCTGTACTGATAATGACTAATGGCTCTGCCTCCTGCGGTAACGAAAAATCAAAGAGAGTATCATCAACTAGAGGGGCAGACACAGAACTGGAAGAAAAATAAGGAATGTGCTCAAGAAAGGTAACATCTAGACTGTGATACATACGGCGCCTGATAGGATCATAACACTGATACCCCTTAGACTGATGACAATAACCTACAAAGACACAACGAATTGCTTTATCATTAAGCTTATGGCGAGTAGGAGATCGATCCTAAATAAAACATGTGTAGCCAAAAACACGAGGGGGGACCGAAAAAAGTGTCCGCTCAGGAAATAAGACCTGTAAGGGAGCCTTATGCTGAAGAACACGACTCGATGTACGATTACACAAAAGGTAGAAATCAAAACAGCAAAATGCCAATAAGATTTTGGTACTTCCATACGTCTAAGCATACAACGTACCATCTCCATTAGACTCCTATTTTTCCTTTCAGCCACTCCATTTTGCTCAGGAGTATATGGACAAGTGAGCTGTTAAAGGATACCCTGAGAGAAAAGGTGAGACACTAAGGCATCGAACACATATTATTTGACATTCCGAACGAAGAGCACGAACAATGACATCGAATTGTGTCTTAATCATTTGGAGAAACTGTGTGATGACAGAGAGCACATTAGACTTCCTATGCAAAAGGTAGATCCAAGTACAACGGGTATGGTCATCTACAAATGTCACATAGTATCGAGCACCTGACAAAGCAGTAACAGGAGAAGGTCTCCAAATATCAGAGTATATTAGGTCAAATGGCTTGGGTGACTGGTGCATGCGAGGAATATAACTAGTTCGAACGTATTTCGATAGGGAACATATAACACAGTAAAGTTTACCACCAACACAAGCATTGCTCAAAGCAAAAAATAACATATATAAATATTTAAAATTTGCATGTCCAAAACGATCATGCCACAACTGAACAGTTTTTGATAAAAAATCATAACGACAAGTATTAGGCAAGATACTAGCATACAAGGTAAGAACAGATAAAGACAAAGTAGGTGCAGGTGATGGAGGTGGAGGAACTGGTAAAATTAGAGGTGGATCGCCTAAATAATAGAATCTATCTCTCTTATGTCCCTTGATAATAATCCTCTTGGTACTCAGGTCCTGCAAATAATACGAATCAGATAAAAACACAACCGCACAGTAAAAATCTTTAGCTAACTGATGTACGGATAATAGATTCATGGCCAGTTTTGGCGCATGAAAAATCGAATGTAATGTAAAGCCATCTAGGAGGCGGACTATAACCCTACTAACAACAGGGACATGTTTTCCATCTACTAGTTGAACCTGTATATATAATTGCTCGTCAAAAGTGGTGAAATAATTGGCCTCACCTGTCATATGACCATTTGCACCCGAGTCCAGCATCCAAAGGGGAGACGGACTGGCGCAAGCATGAAAGGCACGAGGTATACATGTAGTGGTGGCAGTAACAGTAGTCGGACCTTGAGAAGTCAGGGCGGACATAAGTATATCCAATCGGAAAATAATAGCATCCATGTCACTTTGCCAAGGAGGAGCTGCAACATGAACAGCAGCAGTAGGTGGTGGTACCTCAACAACAGCAGCAATACGACTGCGAGGAAACAGCTTAAGCTCCAGATAGAGCTTCCAGCAAGTAGCCCAGAGATGACTTGATCGGCCACAATAATAACACTGACGAGAACCAGGAGGTACATTCCAGGTGGAAGTACTAATAGCAGAGGTCTCAAGAGTAGAGGTCTCAAATCCCTCAGTAGTAGCCATAATAAGAATAATACTAGAGCACCCGTGACAGAAAAACAACTCTAAGATAAATAGAGGGATTAAATAAGAGAGAACAATATACCTCCAGTCGAACAGTAGCGACAGATAAAGAAGGTTCAAAAAACTCCCAAATAATAAGGTCACGGTGCCCAGAAATCAAATAAATATAAATAAATGATCTACTACATCAAGAGCATATCAACGAAGACAAAGAATGCAAAGGACGAAGCCACAAAAAATCGCGACCCGACAGTGGGCTGATGAGTGGGCTGGTTTGTGGTAAGTGACCCAGCAGTGAGCAATTGGCAGTGGGCTGGTCTGTGGTATATTGGGTTTGGGCTGGACAGGACTAGACTGGGGTTTGGGACTGGACTGGACTGGTGGTTTGGGACTGGACTGGTCTGGACTGGACTGGGTTTGGACAGTGGATTGGCTGATTTTAATATGGGCAGTCGGTTATTGGTTTTCTATGTTGGAGTTTGTCGGTTTGTTGGAGATTGTCATTGTCGGTTTGTATTTTTGCTGGCTGATTTCGGTGGGTGCTGTATAGGCAGTCGGTGTCGGCTTTGGTTGTTGGTTTTGATGTTTGATAATGGTTTTTAATGGAGGCAGTCAGTGCAATGGGTTGGTTTGATAGAGGCAGCTGGCTGGTGTGATTGTGGGTTGGTGATCGCCGGTGAGGAAGACGGAGAAGGTTAGGGTTAGGGTTAGGGTTAGGGTATGGCTCTGATACCAACTTGAAATAAATGTGAGCAAAGAAAGGGATCCAAACTAAGTGTAGAGCCCCCGTATATATAGCCAATGAAAATTACAATAAGGATAAAAAGGTAAAAAAAGAAAACTACAATAAACCCTAATAAATTAAGCTGTAATATCTCCAACAATTATAAAAAAAAATTGCACACCAAGTAGGAAACTAAACTGAAAAGTTTCAATTTTTACCTTGATTTATCGTTTATCTATCAAAATTAATTCCTTCATGGTAAGTGAACCGATGAACCATTGATGAAACGTTGACAATCCTTCCTTCTTTGAGGCTTTCGCAAGAAGAATTTTTCATGTTCTCCAGCAAAAAATTTGTCAAAAGAAAATGAGCTACACAAACAGAGATAAATTAACTTATATTTTCACAAATATGTCATAGAAGAAGAAAGCATACACAATGTAACATTTTAAAAATGACCCACAAAGGATTAAAATTTCTTTTCGTTGTATTGTTTCGGTCATCTAAGAAACGGAAATGTTTCGATGTGTTTCGGAAACGTTTTGACCCGTTTTAGAAACATAATAAAAAAAATAAAAAATTTAAGAATTATTTTTCTAAAACATTGATTGAAATATATCAAAATATCTTGAAATATTTTGAAACATTCTGATACAATTGTGCAAATCCATTGAAATATTATAAAACATCAGGAAATATTGTGGAATACCTCGAAATATTAGAATTTTAATTTCATCACTGTTTCATTTCGATCTCCTTGAAAACGGAAATGTTTCTAACGTTTCAGCCGTTTCAAAACGATATTTTAATCCTTGTGATACCCACTAAACTCGAACAAGAACTGTTTTCTTTCAATGACTCAATTGAGTCATATCCGACTCGACACATTCAATTTCAATACTGTTACACGTTCTATGTAAACCACGAGTTTCACTCGTCTCGTAGATAGCTAACAACCTGTGATGATGTAGAGTTTGGTGCAGTCGGAGGAACCCTTCAACAATAAATTACCATCAAATCCATCTATTCTAATTCCGAGTAATATAAATTCTATACTTCCATAAAGACATCAGTATTCAACCTTGATGACCCAGACAGCATAGGGTCAACTTTATACAGGTCGTTTTTCTTCGTGCACATGATTTTACTTTCTAGCAAAATTGCATTCAATTAATCCTTAACAAATAAAAATATTACGATGAATGCATATATCTGAACTATAGTTTTTCGCAATTGGACTAAAAGTTAACCCCAAATATACTGCTGCTATAACAAACCTTTAGGGTTTAAAAAACTACATAATCCACGTTGTAAAACAAACGTCAAACAGCTAAGCTAATTACCTAGATGGTTAGTTGAGAACTGCAGTTCAATGCTGTCTTGGGAAAGCATGAATGGAGGACCCATAACCCCTGCATTGTTTCTTCCACACAAACACCAGCATTTCACTTGTCAAGATTTAAAACAAACTGGTGGAAATATAAGAGAGTGTGTGCCTGAAACTACAAATTCTTAATTGCCTATGCACATGAATATTATTACATAGCAAAAAAACAGTAGAATATTCAGATAATATTATGCAGTGTTCTTACATGAGGAGGTTTAGGGGAAGGCCCGAAGCATTATATTCTGCTGCGAATCTTCTAACAGATGCCAATGAGCCGAGATCTAACTCCATAACATCAACTTTTGCAGTGGGGGTTTCTTTAAGTATTTCTTCTTTAAGTTTTGTACCAGCATCCATATTTCGTACCGCCATAACCACATGTACACCATGCAAGGCAAGGACCCGTGTGGTCTCTGTGCCAATACCACTTGATGCTCCTTAAATTCTCAGAATGTAAGCAATGAGATATGCCCATGAAACAATTTTTACAATTTGCTCAAGTCAGTATTAGCATCAAAGCTTCTGGACCTGCCAACATGTGGCCATCAAATGTCAACAAACAGGCTTATGTTAATAATTACAAAATAGGGGTTGTTTGGACTTGATCCCATCATTTTTGTTGCTCGTAATTTGACCCTATTGAGTTGTACCTAATCTTTTTCAGTCATAACTCAACCTTAAATGAGTTGTAACTAAAACTTATTTTCTCGTAAATTTTGATACACTACCAAAGTTGGTACAATAGTCTTACCCAATATCATAAGGTTCACAAAAAGGTAAACTGGCAAAATTAGACAACGAAATGAAACCAAATAATTGATATCAGCAATCTTTTTCATAAACTAAGAGGGGTCAAGTGTTCTCGACAAGTTCCTTAGAACTTGTGGTGATAGAAACTTACTAACAGATCTGAAGCATTGTTTGATTTTAAACAGATTCGGACATGGCAATTTAAGCACGACTGGGCAATTAAAAGAAACAAATTGCTGGGAAATTTTAGAAAAAATAAGCAAAACCAATGTTAGGAACCATCAAAATTTTGTAAGAGTTGAGATTAGATATGTCCCTAGTTTTCATGATTTAAGTTCATAAAGCTTTTACCTTTGTTATATATAACAGATGAAACCTCTTAAGTTAACCACAAACCAAAGAACTTTCAACAATTTGACTTGTTGATTGGCAACTAGTAAATAGCTAACTCACACTTGCTTGATCAAACAGAATAAAAACCAATGAATATGATCCTTGACATGAACTCGCCAACTTATTTATGGTCACAACCCTACCCACCAATCTACAACAACGTTAGCTACAACTGCAATTAGGGCCAACAATTTTGATATGATATGATTTGAACCCGATATAAAATTAGCAAATTAGGATTGAATAGTTCTAGACACAAACCCAAAAACAACACGACACGCTAACACGTAATAAATGGATCAAGGTAGTGTTGAACACCAATAATCCGATTTTACAGTGAAGTTGCTTAATTTAAAAAAAAAAAAAAAATTGCTGAGCACCTTCTTAATTGGTATTGGAAGAAGTTGTCTAATTATTTCACTCCTTGACATGATATTTTATGAATTCTTGTAGTATTAGTGGATTTTTTCACTCGGACTATGAATTGATGTTTTTTTTTCCCTGTGAAGGGGCAATGAGGTCGGGGTTTTAGCTTACGGACTATTCGATCCGATTACAATATAAGAGTTGAAAAGTTGGGTTAGAGATGATTAGTACTCAACACGAATACGAAAAGACACAAGACAACACAGATTTTTACCCAATTCAATTGCTTGAAGAATGGTTCCAAAAAAAAAAATTGCTTAACGAAATAGAAAACTCCATAAAGCACATTTTAGATTTGATAGCATTAAACAACCTTTTGTTCATTTTCAGTCCTCGCAAGTTCATGGATCAGAGCATAAAAAATACAACAGTATCAACAACAAATCTGAAAAAGAGGCACCTTTCTAGATAGTGAAAAAAAAAAAAAGAAAAGAAGGGAAACCCAGAAGAGAACAAAACCTGTAACAATGGCAGTGAGGCCAGTTCCATCAATTCCTTCAGTAACTTCTTCAGCTGTAGACCAAGCTGAGAACCCAGATGGCCCCTTTCTTCCAAAAATCCACATTTTGCTCCCTTTGACGTTGATCAAAGTACTGATTCAGGCAACCCCAAAAGTTGTAAAACAGACGCTGCTTACTCGCAAGGCCATTGGACTGTTTGTTTCTTGTCGGAGGGGAAGCTCCACCCACATGGGGACAATCGGTAATGGGTTTTTTTCTTTTGACTACTAAATTAGATGAAGCGACTCATAAGTAAGGTTATTTGATTGGTTTCTTGTCGAAGAGAAAGCTCCACAGGCATGGAAACAAATCACAGAAGGGTTTTTGACTACTGAACTAGAGGAATAACAATGGAATGGAGGAGGATGATAAATTTGACATCGACTCGGGTTGAAGTGGTTAACTTATACCAAAGCCCAACTAAAAATCACACATAACGCTCCACCCTATCAAAATGCAAAAGAGAGGAATTCCTCGAAATAAATCTTCCACCACCTCACATCTCTTGTGAATAAATAACTCTACAGTCTTTTTCCAAGCAAATAACCCAATTGCACAGTTGTGCACAACAACGTACAGCAAAAGGCCACATGCTAAATCAAAATTGTCGAAAATAGTGTTGATCGGATACATGGCTGATTTTGGGCTTGTTAAAAAATTTCATGAGACTCCATTTTAGAAAGTTATGGTTGATCTAAACAAAAATGAAATTACACCTTTAACCCAAAAAAATAAAATTTATGAATTTTTTAAACATATTTGATTTATTTTGCATAAAATTTAGAGACTAATTTTTTTTCATTCTCCAATCGATTTTGTATTCTTAGGAATCAACTAGGCTTTCAAATACTATAATCTAATATTATTATGATAATTAACAGGTTACAATTTCTGTTGTCCGATCTTGTTTTTTTATTCGCGCGTCCTGCAGCAACAGTGGCCCTCTTTTTGTTGTTTTCAAAATGTCTGAAAACTAACATACAAAAACCTCAAACTCAACCCTGCTACATTAAACTACTTCTTCCATAAAACCCAGACTTGTTCTTGTTTTCTCCAAATATCCTGTCTTTTCCATGTAGCAGTAACATTCAACAGCACTTGTTGTCCAATCGCAAATCAATACATGGAAACGAAACAAAACAAAATATTCATCCTCGTTCTCTGTTTTGTACTGAAAGAAGACCTCTTTGACAAGGTACATTCCCATGCAACACCAGTTGGTGGTTTGAAACCCTTTTTAAACAACATGGCCACTTCTCTGAGGCCCAGAAGAACTTTCTCTGAATCTTTTGATTCACCAGTTATTCTTCCATGGCTTATTCAAAGAAATAGGGATAGGGATGATGAAACCGAATCACTGATCTGTGAAAATCTAGTAAACATGCTCTTTGCCTAGAAAGGAACATGAAAAGATCAAAAAAGTTCTTCATTCAAAGGATGCAACGAGTTTAAGTACAACATAATTTGATAATTTACACACTTAATTATCAGCTTAACACAAAATCCAAATGAAAAGAGAAGGAAAAGACGCAACAAATAGAGATGGGGATAAGAGTCAAAGATGGGGAGACTTGAAAAGGAAGAAACTTAAGCCCTGCTCTTGAAGGGAATGGCTCTGATGACTATCTGGTGGTACAAAGCGGCAAGAGTAGCTCCGATGAAGGGTCCAACCCAGAAAATCCACTGCAAGGCAAAAAACTTAATATTATCTAACTTATTCTGGTATAATTAAAGTACTCTCTTCTTTGGTTCCGATACAAAATGTAAAATCAAAATACTAACGTGGTCATCCCAAGCATGGTCTTGGTCGTAAATGATGGCAGCACCAAGGCTCCTAGCTGGGTTAATGCCAGTTCCAGTGATGGGGATGGTGGCCAAATGAACCAAGAATACTGCAAACCCAATGGGAAGAGGAGCCAAAATCTGAAACGTAATACAAAGAAATAAAAAATATACATTGCATTAGATTCAAATAAAAACAAAATATAAATGAAAGGATGCAACGAAGTACACAGAAAGGGGTTTTACACAAAATAATCATGACTTACTTCTATCATCTTCCAAAAGAATTGCCACATCAAATTCGAATCTTGAACAAACAAGACCTTTTCAAGATGAATAGCCTTTTCTACTCTTTAGAGAAATGCATCATCTCAATAAAAAAATGATATGGGAGTTGTACTACTTGAACATTACAGCAAAGCAACAAAAAAGAAAATATAGGTCCATTTTTCCCGCTCCGTTGTATTATAGATCCTTGTCATCTAGATGTCACCTATTTTACAAGATGCAAGCTTCCACCTTTCCTATCATGAAAGGCAAAAAATGCAATGTGACATTACAAGGTGAAAGAATGCAAGCTACCACCTTTCCACCACAACTTTTTATTACCTATTGATGCAAACAAGTGAAATTACACATTCAAGAAATTAGGTTCCACCTTCTCATGAATGGAAGATCGGATCCCACTTTATCCTCATGTCTTCTCCTTAAAGATTGGGACCTCTATATCACCATGGTGACATGTTGGTCTTGATACACCAAATAAATTCTCCACCTATACATATTATAATGTGAGTCACACTTCCTTGTGTCCATAGGTAAAAAGCATGGTGAAAAAAAAACTTGGATAACATCACTCCCAAGCAATATGCTTTAATGATGGGATGTTCTTGTATTTGTGCTTTTGGCAACCTGCAAGAATTTAAAGGCACATGCAAGCATGCATAACCCAACATGGCACATGCAAGTATCATGATCATCTGCTGAACCAAAAAGAGAAACCACTCATCCTAGTCCCCACTAGAAGGCAATAATAAATAAACCCATCACTACACTTCCCCACAAAGAAAAAAACAACACAACTTTATCACTTTACAACAGTGAAGGTATCTTTGATCAAAAAAAAAGTATCTTTTGTAAAGTAGAAACCCATCCTGTGTTATACCATCAACTACTTTCCCAAACCAGCCCAAACAAAATCCAATTTTATTCAGAGTTTGTAGAGTAGTTCAAAACATAACACACTTAAAATAGCAAATAATCCTTTAAAAAAATTTGCAAGACACAGGAATTAAACTGATCAAATAATAAATACTAGGAGTAGCGGTTGCTAAAGTAAGTCTGATTAACTCTCAAGCAATATCTTGCAGAAAACTTATATATAACGAGTTAATCTTCCTCACGCACAAGGGAAAAAGATCCTCAAAGCCACGTCGTAACCCAGATTAACTAACTTTATAGAAGGGCATGCCTACCTTACCAAAAAGCTAATTTGCGAACCCTATTGAGAGTTACTACAAAATAAGAAGGAGATTACGACTCAATCTGGTAAGTTTACAACAACATAAGGTTGTGAGGGATAGACTGGTCCCAACATTAAGGATCGATCTCAATTTTTTCAAGTCCTAAATTATCCCATTGAGTCATAAGTGACCTTTTAAGTAGTAATTCGCCTAATGAATTGTAATTAATCTTATGTAGTTAGTAAATTTTGGTTCCACACCCGAAAAGGTACCGTAGTCTTACCCTTTCCTAAGGCAATAATGCTAATTGTACATAATGCAGATATAATAAAGAAGGATCCAAGGGAAAGAATAAGTATGCATACAGGGACATGTGAGTCTCTGGCGCTTCTTTTGGCATCAGTGGCAGAGAAGACAGTGTAGACAAGAACAAAGGTGCCAACAATCTCAGCACCAAGGCCATCACCCTTGGTGTAACCATGTTTCACAAAGTTGGCCCCGCCACCCAAATTCTCATATTGGGATTTCTGGAACCCCTTAACAACACCAGCGCCAAAAATGGCACCAAGGCACTGCATCACCATGTAGAACACAGCCCTTGTTAGAGAGAGCTTCCTTGCCAGAAACAAACCAAAGGTTACAGCTGGGTTAATATGTCCTCCTGTTTTCAACAAGCAACAAACTGAAATCAAATACAAGCTTCCAAAGAAAATGTCTTGAAAATCAATGGACAAAATAACAAGAAAAACCACCCCGATACCTAAAGAAAAAAATACAAATTAAGGAGTAAAACCACTACTCCTTTTGGGGGATAGAGAAAGAATCCCAACTATGAATATCTTAGACACCCAAACCAGATCAAGATATCTAGAAACCAGATCAAGATATCTAGCAATGCACCTACATAACATTTGTTTTTCCTCATATGACATCTGTAAAGATTTTGAAATATATCCCATCCCAACCAATCAATAGATACAGAGATCTAGAGAAACAAACTGATGAAAACAGACAGAAAAAAGTAGCCCAGGTTGGGGTAAATCTAACATACAGAAAAAAGACAAAGGAACCGGTGGCCCCAGACTGAAGTGAAACGCTAAGAAGGAAACCAAGAAGTACCCCTAAAATTCACACAAATTTATACATGAAAAAGATAGTATTATAGGGAAAGAGGTGTTGGAGAAAATCAACAATAGCCAAGGGAAGAGACAGGAATAGCTTGCTAACCTGAGATACCAGCAGTACAGTACACAAGGGCAAAGATCATACCACCAAAGGCCCAAGCAATTCCTTGTATACCCACAGAGGCACACTTGTTAGGTGCTCTAGACACACCCATCACAGTCAAGATTGTAATGTACAAGAACAAGAAGGTGGCCATGAACTCTGCAATACCAGCCCTGTAAAAGGACCATGATGTCAACTCTCCAGGCTCAAACAAGGGTGCTGGTGGTGGCTCCTTGTAGTCCTTGTCTGTTTGAGCAGATGTGCCTATGGGTTGCCTCTCTGCATACTTGTTGGCTCCAAGCTTAACATCTTCTTCCTTACCCTCCATTGTATCCCAATAAGCTCTCTCTCTACAACACTCTCTCCCTCTCTACAACTTTGAGCACCCAAGAAAAAGAAAAGAGCTTGTGACGTGATAAAGAAGTGAAGGGTTTGGGGGATTTTTATAGAAAGAAAATAAATGGGTATGCTTTAATTTTATCTTTTTATTAAATATTGGCCAACTTTTTTTAGTTTAAAAAAAACATTATTCGAAGCACTGTATTTAATAAGGGTGTTAAGGTTTTCTGTCTTTTCTAGGGAATTGGGTGGTTTTTTTTTTTTTTTTGGCCTTTTTTTTTTGCGTGTGTTAGAGAGAGAAAGATCTGGAAATAGGACTAGGATGCTGACAAGTTTGGCGGAGTTCCTTGTTCTTATTCTCCTATCAAAATAATCTGACAGGTCCCAGAATTTTTTGATTTAATACAAAAAAAAAAAAACCCCAATCAAAATTTACAGTGGTTTGTAGTCTCAGACTCAGATTGTTGCATGTAATATTGTCGGACAACCCCTTTGGTTTAAGGTTATGAAAAAAAAAATAGAATGAATCATGGTGCTGAATAAACAAGGCCTATTGAAAAGATTCATGGAATGTTGGTTGGTTGCTTTCATCAGTGATGATTATCAACTTGGAACATGAATATTTGATGCCTTCGCACGCAATGTTTCCTTGGATTAAGTTTCTTCAACTACTTGTTTAATGATTTAACCAACCAATTTTATTTTTTTGGTATTACGGTTGTTTAAACTAATTTATGTATACATCGATTAATCTATTTTTTAATTAGGTCAAAGAGAAATTATCCACTCAAATAATAATTTTTTAACTTGATTTTAACTGAGTTTTAAATAACTTCTATATAATTAAATCGAACTCGACACATTAGTTATTCTTTTTAATTAAATTAACTATTTTTTTCCATATACATTTAACTATACTTGAGCCAGCTGATTCACCTACCCTTCAAAAAGAATGTCGGCAGGTAAGGGAAAGAGAAAAGGGGGCGGCAATCATGTCGATAAAGCCCCTTGCATAGGACTTTTTTTTTTTTTCCTCATCAGCTACCAGAAATTGAGCACACTTTTACTTTAAAAAAAATAAATAAATCAATTGCCTATACTTTTGATTACATCATATAGAATTGAAACAACATGCTGGTAAATTCTTCTTCTTTTTTGGTTTAACACGGATTTTTAGACTAGTTTTTGTGCACTTAGACAAACTTTCTTTTCGATTCAGTTAGAAGTAAGTCATTCACACAGAAACTAGAATATTCATGAGAAATAAATTTTTATAATCTAATTCAATAGATAACCAAGATTTAAAATCAGAACGTATAAATTTTTTTTATAAACTTTGGACGAGTGTGAAATTTTTTTTATTAAGATTGAAAAAGAATAGTACTAGGGGACATAATGAACCTTATCCCATAAATCATCCAATACAATGTTAAAAATAACAGAATTAATGCAAGGTGATGTATGAATTATATCAAAATCTAAAACAAAATTTTAAAAAGTCGACCATACCTCTATTTATTAGTGAACTATTTAGTTCTATTTAATCCTATTGAGATCAAACTAGATGATATTTCCGAAAAGAGTAATGTAATTTTTAATTAAATAGTTGTAATTGATTAGATTCTCAAATTTAATTTAAATAATTTTTTTGGGGAGTCAAAAAAAAAAAAAGAACTGAACTAGTTGATGATAAGCTCAACGGTCAAGGTTATAATATTGGTGGGAAAATGGCAACCCACAAAATAAGATATGTGCAAATTCAATGGCCGGTAAAAATAGCCGTTTATTTGACTGTTGTGGAAGGTCACAACCTTAAATAAGCACAACGGGTAGGATACAGTGAAATTACAATGTCGTCCTTGTCACATATAGCACTAAGCGGAGCAGAGTGGTCCGTGGCAATATGGATTAAGTCACATAGAGAGTAATTACACGTAAAATACATGGATTAATTTGACCAAAATGTTTATTTATTTTTTTATGGAATTCAAACTTAAGCTTTTGTGATATTAATCTTTTTATTTTATTTTTTCAACGATCAAAATATTCGAACTAATTTATGCGCACTTCGTAACATTTTTTATCAGAGATTTCCATTTTTTTTTTGCTGTTAAAAATAAGAAGTGGTGTAATAGAAGAGCCCCCAACGACCACCTAACAAGACATCACCGGTAGAATCATAAGGTCCCTGATTGTGCCTAAAACACCTCTTAGAATCAGATTTAAGTAGACTACCATAACGACCAACCACCAAATCTTAACGAGAACTCTAAAATTTGAACATACAACTTTAAGACGAATAGTAAAGTCAATACATCACTAGACGACCCTATTCGGGGGTTTAGAGATTCTGACTTATTTAAATCAAAAAATTCTCTAACTAGTTTAATCATGTGGGCCCATTTATCTACTCATTCTGATCTTGTTGTCTAAATTTTCATGTGAAAAGAGTAGGCCAGCCAACCAACCATGATAGACACAGCTCACAACCATTGGACATTCGCATGCCAGCCTTTGGGCCTGCAGCTTTAGGCCTCATGCCAACCTACCATAAAACGACAAAAAATCCCACCACAAAATCTATACCATACCAACCAAAGAATTATTTCTTTGATGTAATAATATTAATGAAGAGTAAGATTAAAATTTGATTAAGCAATTAAAAATAAAAATAAATTTTTGAAATAAATTTTAAATAAAAGTGGAAAATGTAGAGATAAGCTATGATTTTATGGTATCATTCCAATATTTAGAATCTATCATTTTTTTAAAAAAAATATCACAACTTAGCCATGCTAAATTATAATTGACCTTTTTGGATTATAATTCATAATTTTATTATGACTATAAATAACTCGTGTCTAAAGACACGATATAATGTGAATAATTTTAGGAGAGATGTTGATGGCCGTCGGATAAGTTTATTTGAGACTATCGAATGAACTTATTGAAACTTACCCTGTATTTTATATTATATATATCAAAAAATTATTTTTTTAATATCATTCACCTTTTTTCTTGAATTTACAATAAAAAAAATTACTTTACTATTTTAGACTTTCTCATTAATGATTATAAATAATTAAAACAAATTTATGATTACGAATGACCTTTTAATATAGTAATAAAAAATTATTTATTACCATAACTTGATTTTGGTTATAACGAATTATTATCAATCTAAACTTACAGTTAAAAAGTTGAATTATTATTTTATAAAAGCATAATAACAATCAAGATCAATTCAATTTTCATTTATTTTAATCAAATGGTACAAAATACATCATATATGTTTTTTACTCAAAAATAATATCTTTTTTGTACGATCCTCTAATATCGGTCAACCCAACTAATTCATACCTACATCTTTTTATTCTTTTTCATAATTCTCTCTTATTTTTTTTGTTTACTTTAATTTTAAATTATATAATTAAAAAAATAAATTATTATTTAAAATATAAATATTACATGACTAATACTCAATTTTTATTATTACAAGTGTCTTCGCACGTGCTATTGCAAATCTATATAATAAAGTAACTTATAATTTAAATCTTAAAAGATAAACAAAATGACTTTTGTTATTGGCAATTGAGATCACTTTTNCAAATCTATATAATAAAGTAACTTATAATTTAAATCTTAAAAGATAAACAAAATGACTTTTGTTATTGGCAATTGAGATCACTTTTAAAGTTAATCTAACGACTAATATTAACGTCATAAATTTAATAGGAAAAATATGACCCTAAATGTGTGTTTAGAGTGACTTTTTAAAAATATTTCTAGAAATTATTTCTCATAAATACTTAAAAAAATATATAATTTTTGAAACAACCCCACCACTATCTCTACCACCACCGCTGCCGTTGCCACCACCACCACCACTGTCGTCGTCACTACCACTCCAACCTCCAGTACCACTATCACTACCCCCACCACCACCGTCACCACCACCCTTTACCGCCACTGCCATCGCCATTGCCATCACTGTCGCTGCCACTGTCATCGTCACCGCCACCATCGCCACTGTCACTACCACCACTTTCGCCGCTGCCATCGTCGCTGCCACTACTATCACCAGCACTGCCACCATGATTATTGTCACCCACTATAACCATCATCGTCTCTTATCACTACCACTGCTATCTACCACCTCTCACCCCACTACAAAATCGTTACTTAAATTCTTTTATTTTTTCTCTATATTCGTGATTTGAATTTAGATATAAATACAAATATATTTATCATTTATAATTTTTTATTACTTTGCATTAAGGCACAAACAAATATAATTATAAATTTCAATACAATATCATTCTTGTCCAAATTCCTCTCATGTTCTACGCACCAATACACCTCACATCAACCGCCCAGAGCTCAGCATCTATCCACGTGGCATCAATCTGATGTCACAATCTCGATTACTCCACTGCTTGGTCAGCCATCCCCACAGACCAAACCGACCCAATTGATTAAACATCACATCATAAAATTGAAGCATCAAAACTTGCCCAAGTAAAAGTGTTTGAATTCTATCTCAAAAAATAATATTTATAAATAATTTTTAAAATTTATTTTAAAAAAAGTGATTAAGAGACAAAAAAAAAACTTATTTATTTAGATGATTTTAAAAATAATTTTATAAAATAAAAAACAGTAAAATCTGTTTGGATTAATGGTTTCATATAAAAATATTTTTTTAATATACTAAACTTGATAAAATGCCAAAAAAAAAAAAAAGAGGGCAAATTTGAATCTAAAATTGGCAGAATAGTTGCACGACGAAGAAGACAAACCCAAACTTCAAGATCCAACATATAGGTTCTGGTACATGACAGAGAAAATGAACTCAGCTGTCAGTAAAGAACCTTTTCGTCGAAAAAGACCTAGATCTAAAAAAAAATAAAACTCAAATATAAATAAATACCCAGACCTGGAAAAAAAAAACCTAAATTTGAAGCTCATAGCTGTTGAAGAGCCTCAGTTGACGGAGAATATGAACTTCAATCGTCGAAAAAGATAAAGATCTAAAAAAAATAAAACTCAGATCTAAAAAAAAAGAGAAAGCTAGATCTGAAGCTCTCAGTCGACGGAGAAGACCCTTCGCCGGAGAAGACACAGGCACGCTGGCTGTGTGTGTCTGTAATCATTCTGTATGAGAGGCAGAGTGAAGAGAGATAGTCAAGGAGAGAGGAAGGATTAACAAAAAAAAAACTTTTATAAGTTGACTAGTTTTGCTGCTAAGAGGATTCGAAGGGGGAGTTGAATTGTTTCTCTTGTTTTCTATTTTGGCTAAAAAAACTTAGAAAACATCATTTAGATGTTCTCTAGTTTTTTATCTCAATTTCCATTTTTTAAAAAAAAATTATTTTTGAAAATTACTGTCAGAACGACATCTCAAGAGTTTTTTTTCTGTTTTGAGAATAAAAAATTATTTTTGAAACACAAACCAAACATCACCAGAGTTTTTTGTATACACCAAGTTTATGATTTGAATTTTTTAGATCAAATAAGACTAGTTGAGTAGATAGAAATAGTAGAATGGATCACTTGAATGTCAAAAATAAACCTCGGTTGTTTTCCCTCGTGTTAGTTTATGGCTCCCAATAGAGACATGGCATGAACCCTAAAGATGTTTTTTTTTTTTTTCCAAGTTTGTTTTTTTGACCACCTCTAGATAGGGGATGCTAAATTTTAACACGACACAAAAATATAATTTAAAATCGACACAAAATTAATAAGTTAAAATTATTTTAAAATTCGTCTGTTTTTTAACGTCTTTAGTTTCAAAATTAGCCTTACCTTTAATGGTTCTACAAAACTTGTCTCATGCCCCAACGTATAGGTTTGTGTAGAATTCAATCTTCTCAAGAAAAATTATTTCTCGACAAGAACCCATAAAATATCATTATTGTTCAGCAAATTGGGGGGTCAACCATTAATATAGGAGAGGTAACAGCAATGGGATAAATTTTTTGTTACTCAGAATTAGATACTCCTGTTGGGATGTATTGGGACGAAAGACTCTCGTCTCTCCAAAAAATAAATAAATAAAATAAATTCTTACATGTATGGGTATGTTTAGTGCTATGTATATGAGTAATGCTTTTTTGACATAAAAATATGACATAATTTATTATTCTAATAATGTAACTTCAATAAAATCATTAGATCAATATCAAATTTTAATGTTTGATGGGATCTAGCATCAATCCAAAGTCAACATATCAATCATTTTTTAAGAGAAAGTGACTGTAAAAAAAAAAAATCCTCTCACTATTCTTTCATTTAATTAATTATAAAGTTAAGTATTCTTCCATACATCCAACATTTGGCCAATATAATCACATTTTTACTGTTTTACCAATTAACCAACATTCATCCAATTTTACTTTTAAAAAAAACTCGATTTCAATCGCCTATGAACTTGAATAATTCTTGAACTACCCATATTATGTAATAGAAAAAGAGAAAGGTTGAAAGAGTGAGAAAAAATGAGCTGAAGCAAGGCGGGTAATAAATTTTGTGCATCACACGGAACGCTTGCTAGTATCCTATGATTCGAACTTATAGTATCAACCATCGAAGGAACAAAAACGCCTCAATTGTGGCATCACAAAATGACAACGAATCACTTGATGATGATGATTGAGATGACTCGAGATTGACTCAAAGATGTCTCAGAAGTTTTAGCTGAGTCATGTAAGAATCATAATTGACACAGAATGATATCGAAACGAAAGATACTGAGTTGCATATGACTTGACCTAGTTGTACTGATATCAACCTAGTTGTATTGATATTAGCTGATACTTTGAACCATCATATATCCCAAAAAAACAATATTGAAACCTGGGGCACATGCTGCATGGTAATCAAGGGAGTCCATACCAAATATATCAGATTTATGCATGGCATAGAGCCTGGTGGTATCACCTGCCTTAGGCTCTTTCATATGGGATGGGTAGGGACAAAATTACAAAAGGAAAGATGGTTTTGTTGTGAGAACTTAAAGAGCAACAACAGGAAAATAGAGTCTATTTTGTGAGGAGCCAAATATGGCAGCAATTTACACCGTCATATGCACACTGTTAGTATAATTCCCGGTTCAATTAGAACACGTTAAGCGTTCTGACATTGGCTTCCTATTTCAGTCAAGCGTTGATAGGCTAACCTGTTGCCAGAATAGGATGATCCACGGCGTGTGACATTCCCACCACATTACATTCACAAGAGGAATGTCTCATTTATCGAGGTTAGAATCTTGAGCGTGTTCAAATTGGATATGTGGGCAGACCCTTTCTGGTTCTCCTCTCGTCCAAAGAATTGTTAGATCGCCTCTCTTCCTCCCTAATGTCAAAAAGGTCCCTGCATCATGTGTGAAAGTTGGTGATCAGGTAATACTGAGATAGAAATTTTAGAAATTCATCTTACCTTCCGAGAAGAAAAGATAGAAGGGTTTCCCTTTGATTCATTTGAGAAAATTACCAAGTGTTAATGGGACGATATAAAGCAATGCCGGTTGGCCATGCCCATCCATCAAATTTAGTGCAATGTAAGTAATTAGAAGACCTGCAATATGTTTCAAGGTTTAATATCCGAGTATTGTGGCATTGCATTCTTCCAAATTATATTGACTTAATGGCACAAAACAAGGTGGCAAGTTTAATGTCTTTCTACAAATCACTTCTCACCAAATCCATAAGCAAACATAGCCCATATAAAGTATCCAGTGCGAATATTCTTCTTTGCCAGCCAATCATACCTGCAAGGACACTCACATGACTGATCAACTTGTAAACTTGAGCACGAAAAGCATTATTGTATTCCCACTTTGTTAAAATTTGCCTCAGGTCGAACCGGCCATTTGGTTGTCAATGAGGAAGGACAAGAAAAAGATAGCTTAGGTAGATTTTCGGATGCTCATTTGAGTAGTACTAGAAGATGAGGAAGGAGGAGGAGTCAAACTTCCTCTCCTGTTCTCCATTTTATTGGAAAGCAAATGGAGTGACATAGCACTTCACTAGAAAAGAAGTAGCACGAGAGAGAGAAGCTGCCCTTTAATCTGCACTACAACAAATCAAAATATTCTCGAGATCAATATATGATGCTAAACCAAACTTCCACCAGTGTTGGCACATGCGGCAGCACATCGAGAGCCATTTGAAAGACACGACCCATACTACTAAAGAAATTCTCCCTTTCTTTGTAGTTCGACTAAGTGACTTCGTAACTGCAACGTACTTTCTTTCTTACTGTAGCTTAGGCATTCGCCACTTCAAATGGGCGCTTCGCCCATCTTTTGTTGATTATCAAAGAGTTCTTTCCAATACAACAATGAGTTTAACATATTTTCTAGTCCAACTATCCTAGTTTTTAACTTGTTTTACAAAGTTATCTTGCTAGAGACTTTTGCCCTAGCGGTATAAGATCAGGTAGAGTAATTTAAGGTTTGGGTGGCTCTAATTCATGGAATCATAATTTTTCCAACATTTTATGTGTGACATCCACCAGGAATTCTAAACAACTCTGCTAAGCATGTAAAAACAGAGTTGTATGACCAATTTTTACAAAGCTTGAGCATCACAAGCTTCAATGCAGGACCAATAAGAAGAAAAGACTGGCAAATAGGACAAGGCTGCAGAACTCAAACCTAAGCGAAAATGCAATTAGCAATCCAGGTAACAGGATGTCACCAAAGCCTATGATGCTATAACCACCCCATGGATCAAACATGCGAGGGAACTTAAGTAGCAATGGAATACCATCCTCTCCACTTCTGTCACCACGAGCTACCTGTAAAGATGTAAACACCCCAAATCACTATATCATTTCAAAGCACAATTACTCTGTGCAAATCATTCATGACCTCGCGTAGCGGAAAAGTGTAGAGGATTACTTACCACAATCATTACACTTTCTTTGAACAACTTCGTAGAAACGAACACCCAAAATATGTCGTACAAAAAGGCACCACTTAAGAGGACAGTACCCACCTGGTTTGCAAAACCATCCAGGATTATGCAACAATTCATAATCAATAATAAAAAATTGTTCATAGTCTTCGAAAACCATTAATTGGCTGATACGAAGCTACAGTGACCAACTGTACATACTGATGATTGATGAACATAGAAAAATTGCTAAAAAATATAATACTAGTGTCTGTGAAATCAAATAATGAATCTGGGAACATGCAAGCTTATATAGATAAAAACTATGCAGCCTAGTAATCAACCGTACATGAAAACTATAGTCAAGTTCAAGATGCGTTTGAATAATTACCATCAGATTAGGCACACGTACAATCTGCAGAACAGTAATTATCAGTGCAATTCCCTGTTTAGAAAAGAAAACTATTAGTTGCTTCCCAGCGAGATTCAAAACAAGCCCATGCAGGTTTAATCTGACACACATTATTAAAGTGTTATCAACTTTATGATGCTGGTAGACCATTAGAGAATTTGGAATGGAGAGCTTAAATAGGAGATCATACAATGATGTGACTTAATCTATGTAACATTCAGTGCACCATGGGAACAAAAAAATAGCCGGGTCACTCTAGCATCAGGAATCAAATACAGGAGTCTTGAGACTAAAGAAGTAATTGTTGCTTTCTGACATCCTACTTTTTTAAGTTTTGCGTCATAATAAAGACACTTGATTCACAATGTCAGTCTGTGTCATCTAATCAAGAAAAGCAGTAAGGGCATTATGTATGCCAATGAGGTTTCCACCAAGAAATTTAGAGGAAAAAAAAAACAAGAAATTTAGAAGATTACAGGAAACCTAACAGAGAAGTTTGTCCTTACAAGTATATCTTGACCTATCCAAGCATAGGACATGTTTCGATACACTGCCCAAACAACAGCGAAAGCTATGCAACATGGAGAAACAGCCAAAGTAAGATATGAGACAGCTCCAAAGAAAGGTAGTTTAACGAATGATTCTCCAGTACGTTTGAACCACCTGAAAAATTATGTATGTATTTAGTACTGACCTTTACAGACAATAAGTAAAATCAAATAACTGTTATTGAAGTATAAATATTTAAATTACACCTTTTCTAATAACTTAACTTTTAGAGTAGAAGGTTGTTTAAAATGGTACAACAAGAAGAGATTTTGTGTTCGAATCAATGCCGCCACCCTAATGACTTACAGATATCTGCTAGGCCCAAAAACTTAGCATGTACATGAGGGGGGCGTATTGAAGTATAAATACTTAAGTTACACCCTTTTTAATAGCTTAAGTTTTTAGAGTAGATGGTTGTTTAACAACTATAGCAAAGGCCCCAAGCCAACAAAAGATAAATTTGCAAACTAATTTGATTGGGGAAAACCAGTACAGACATTTACAGATGCAAATAACCAACAATTTGTGAATGTGGGTAACAAATCTGAACCACACATTGCAAAACTTTCACAGTTTCCAACGCTGTTATCAAATTCTATTTAGAAATAAAGTGATATTAATTAATAGGCTTAGAGATGTTTATAAGATAGAGCAGAAGGTTCTATGGAAAGCTACGATGCAGAGGAATTAAACAAAAAATAATGCACCTTTGCCTTTCTGCTTCTCCATTCTAATTTAGACTTCACAAACAAGACCATTTTGCATATCCCAAGTACTTTCCTCTGCTTATCCCAAGTACTTTCCTCTGCTTTACAACCAAGGAGTTTATTGTTTGTACTATTCATAATTTCTTTCAGCTTGTGCAATTTCTCTTGTAAACAAAATCAAATAGTTTGCTCTATTAGGTTTCCACAACTGCAGCTGCTTCATCTTTATGAAACACACAGATATTTCTGTCAATTTTGTTGACCAGATGGTGGCCGCAATGAGAGCAGCACACATGCCATTCGGCTATAACTTCTTTTTTTTTTTTCCTCTTTATGATTGGAAACAAAAAATCCAATTCTTCTAATAGCCCTTTTCTTTACAATTGACAGCCCACTTACTATACATGGTCTCTGACACAACTGTTAGCTATCAAAAGCACCACAGAAAACTGGAGCCATATCTCCCTAAAGCTCTCTCTCTCTCTCTCACACACACACAGTCTTCTCTACCTATTTTTAATATTCCCTTTCACTAACCTTCCTCACTTGCCATTTCATTTGAAAGTACCATCCTTTATTTGAGCCACCAGCATTGGTGAATCACCCTCAAAAAATTGAAACCAAAGCCTTGTGCATGTTGAAGCTACACACATTCCTACAGAAGCTTAGTAGCGCCATATCTTATTCTTGTGGATGCTTTTAAAAACATCTTGAATTTTTGTAAATAAGCACATTATTTTCCATTCAAGTGTGAATTTAGAGCAAAAGGTCATTATAATTTATTGACAAATTCCAGCCTTGCATCAATCCAGGAGGAAGGAAGTGGAATTAGAGGTAATAAGTGGTGCATACATGGAGAGGGTTTGTAGCATAATGAAAGACAAATGAAGAAGGAAGAAAATCTTGTACCTTGACAGCACAGCAACTATGCAAGTTTGCAAGGCCTGATATGCAAGAAACTAAACTTTCAGAAGAATTCACAAATACAACACATTTAAGACATTGAATACAAACCAGCCAAAGGCTACAATGAATAAGATGTGAAAGGGAAGAGTCGCACCTCTACACCACCTATGCAAAAAAGAAACACCAAAAGCTCAAAGAACCAGAATGACATCAATTTGTAAAGTATAACCAAGAAGCATGATGCAATGACAACAAATAAGACTGCTGATGTTGTGCTGATGTCCACCACACTGCTTCCACCAATGCCTTTGGAATTTGGAATTTCATCCGAAGCATCCTAAAAGGAGAAAATAACTTTATACAGTAGTACAGACTGTCAAGGAGAAAAACCCTACTTTAGGCAACAAAAGTATTAAAGAATGGGTAATGATGACCTTTAGTAACTTATCCTGTTCTATAGCTGCTTCTCTAGCACTCCATGCAGACCAGTAAGAGGCACACAAGATAGTACCAACCGCCATCAGCCACAGAAATACTTCTGCCATGTCAACTATTGATCGCTGTGGAGAGTACAATTTCACAGACACTGGAAAAAAGTCTCAAACTTCAGAACAAGATTTTGGAGATAAAGTCGGCCTTCTTTAGAAGGCATCCTAGTAAGTTGGAGAAGTGGAGAAAAAAATCCATGACTGAAAGTATTAGAAATGAAATTGATGCATTCGCATTGGCTACCTTCAAATGGAAGGAACTCACTTTTTACCTTGCTCCCAAATGAGCAGATGATTACTCTGAAATCTTTCATATAAGGTTCTTAAGTCTTATCCTATGTGTCCTTTCATGACACCTACTTGCACTAAAATGTCTCTACCTTCAAAAGGAAGAAACTCTCCCCCTTTCATAAGTTTTGACGCACCTATACCACAAAAAATTTAATCAAGTCTATTTATGAATTTTGATTTGCTAAAACGTATTTCAATACTCATGGTTGCATTCGTATAACCAAGGCCATATTCCAATGTCTTCTAATAAAAGCAAATATGGCTTCATGATCAATGATACAACCGTTTCGTTTCCTTTCCGTACAAAAATGGAGCATAAGAGATACATCTTTGTGACCATGACCACAAGGTGCAACAATCTAAAGACCAAAATGACAAAAGCAATTTAGGAAATGTTATTTATTAGTTCCAGTAGAATCTAAGTAGGCAAATATATTTGCTTGATGCAATAAAATTTCCAGCTGAAAATGGAGATCCTCTGGTGGACAAACTATAACTTTTGATTTGTTACTCGTGCATGATATATATAAACAATCTTACCCAATGAACTATTCAGGAACATTTTTTCCAAACTTGTACCAGCTTCTTGTGGGAGCATGATAGTAGGTATGTGTATGTCCAGTTCAGTCTCGTCTGGATCACAAACCATCTTGTAAAGTTCTGCAGGGAAAAAGAAAAAGTTCAATACAATAATAATAATAACATGATTCTAGTGTTACTAGCCATGCGCTAATTCTCTATGGCTAGTGCATTCTCAAATTTTGTATTTTAATACTACCTAACTAGTTGATTGTATATGATTGAATATTCTAAGTTAAGTCTTTCATTCATGTACACGAGACACAAAATGTACAAGAAGAAAATGGATAACAATCGAGTCAACAACATAGTCATTGATTGAAGTAGCAACCTCCAAATTACACCACAAGAAAAATAACATCAGCCGTCAAAAGAGGTGTTTAACGGGTATCGACAATTATTATATCTTACAACTATCATAATAGGAACTAAATCCTCTTCTCTTCTCTTCTCTTCTCTTCTCTTCTCTTCAGTCATCAAATGGCTCCTGGATTTTATGATACTGTATGATTTTACCTCATGTTTCCACGTTTTTAAACGTGTCCGACCTTGGGGCATTCATCCCTAGAAGTAGGAGAAATAAACCTCATATATCAAACAGTAAATTGACAACTTTTTTGAGCACTAAAATCTAATACCATCCTGTGACTGTTTCCTAAGACAGTGCCTAAACATTGAGTCTGTGTTTCAATCATTTCCAGGGTCCATTTCTTTTTCTTTTTTCGTAGATCAATTATAGGATACTTTTGAGTGACTATCATTGCATTATTTTACAATAAAAGGCTAAAATTTGATAAATGCCCAGGAAGGGCTAGCTTCGTTATTTCTTCAACAGATTGTGAAATGGCTGGTTCTGGCGCTCCATAGAGGCTACCGGCTAGTTTACATCCACCACTTCCACTTCTAATCCATTCGCATACTTGAAAGACTAACTACATGTGTTAGCTGTTACCTTCACTAACATATAGACTTTATAAGCTCAACCATCGTGTTCAAAGGCATCAAAACATATTGCCCAGATCATAAGTAAGAAGGAATCAATACTGAATTCATTCATAGGCATAACCATATTACATAACACTAACACCAAAAAATAATTATAATTACCTTTTTGGTTATTTACAATGAGGACTGCTGAAGCACCAGCAGCTTCTGCAACATTTGCCTTGGTTGTGAATTTGCATTGACCTCGGTCCACCATGACGACATCTCCACTAAACTAACATATCCAATCAACAAATAAATGGGTATCAATCAAGACCTATCAAGTCTCAAGAATGCCAAATCCATTAATGTCAAATATATAGGTAGGAAGGGCCGAAAACCTTGTTCTTTGGCGGACTGCAACAATACCGAGGGTCTGAAAGAGTAAGGCGAGTTTGGATTGCATTTTTCTCTTTCGATACAACAGTAGTGCCAAATCTAGCACCAACGCCAACAAACTCGGCATTCTCTCTGCCATCAACCCAAGTTTGAACTTTTACCTAAGAAAAGAATAGTATGTTGATGAATAATTTATACTGAGAGAAACCACCAAATCGCTAGACAATAAACGACTATGAAAGAAGCCCCCAAATAAATCACATCAATACTTCTAAGCTTTCATAAAAGTAGAACTAGATCATAATACTAGCTTTAATGAGGGTAACTTTAATTAATATTGGTAAAATATTCTAACTCAAAGTAACAAATCAATTAGATACGTGAGGACCTTGATGCTTATTTGAGCTTACTTTTTATGAGATATCTAAAAGAAATAATGCCAAATCTTATACAAAAACAAACAAGTAAAATAACTCCAAATTACACAAGTTTAACCAACCTACGAAAAGCACAGGAATCTCCCATGATTTTGGTCCATAGCTAATTGTCATTACATTGAGCTTGTCATTGATATGATACACCCCCCACACACACGTGCATTACAAATGTATATATATGAAAACAAACTAAATAAGTAAAATAAAGACGACCCAGTTATGGGAATCACAGAAATATGAACTAGGTCGAAAAAGATACCAGTACAAAATCGTTGTCGCAACCAGGCTTCTTCGGAGCGGAATCGTCGTCGTTGACTATATCACTAGCTGTCACGGTAGCTGGATGGTTGAAAAAGACTACAACGATTGAATTTAAACACAGTATAGCCGCGCAAAGCCTCCGTAAATCCATGAGATTTGTTCACAAGTTTTATGCTTCTCGTTTCAACTGCATCAGAACCTCTGAGCAATATGCAGTTCTGTATGGAGAGAGAGAGAGAGATCAAGAACACACAATGTATTTACTATGTTCAACAGTGGTGGTTTTCATTTTCCCGGGGGAATGAATAAGTGGTGGAGGGTGTAACAGAGACGACAATTACTCCAAGTAGAACGGATACGCCGGTCGTCTCAGTTTTTTTATGGGATTAGGCGAATCGCCACCCAAACTCACCTCCGACGATGAAAATTTTGTTTTGAGACTATCGAAATATTTTTATTTGGGTTAATCTCATTTTACACCTTGAAAGATCGTTTGAATCTCAATTTGTACCCTTAAAGAATAAAAATCTCAATTTATACCCTCAAAGATATAAATTTATATCAATGTGCACCCCTAAAAATCAAAAATCTCAATTTGTACCCTCAAAGATAGAAATTTATATCAATGTGCACCCCAAAGATAAAAAATCTCAATTTACACTCTCAAATATAGAAATTTGTATTATTATGCACCTAAAACTAAATTGATAAATTATACCTAGATCTCATCATGCTTGTCACTTAATCATTTGGACTTCTTTACATTTAGAATATTACTCCTACATCTCATGACATTTGTGCACGTATAACATGTAACTCATTTTCATTGATATCTGTTAATATAACCGTTAAAAAATATAATTTTATCCTAATAAAAAATTATAATTTCATATTACCCTTATTTTATGGGTCCAATATACTCTAAAGTTCAAAATCAAGCTTATTATTTGAATGTCTAATAAAATGTAGATATTTGTATAATATTTTTCATATTTTCCTTTATATAAATATCTATATTCTATCAGACATTCAAATGGTATGCTTAATTTTGAACTTTAGAGTATATCGAATTCACAAAATAAAAGGTAATATGAAATTATAATTTTTTATTAGAATAAAATCATATTTTTTAACGATTATATTAACAGATATCAACGAAAAGTGATTATGTGTTACACATGTACAAACGTCATGAGATGTAGGGGTAATATTCTAAATGTGAAGGGGTAATATTCTAAATGTGAAGGGGTTCAAATGATTAAGTGACAAACATGAGGGGATCTAGGTATAATTTATCAATTTAATTTTAGGTGCACATTGATACGGATTTCTATCTTTGAGGGTACAAATTGATATTTTTTATCTTTTGGGGTGCAAATTAAGATTTCAACGATCTTTCGGAATGCAAAATGAGATTAACCCTTTTTATTTTGAAATAATTATATTCGGACCCTTAAAATTTATTAATTAATTATTTAAATTTTTTACATTTAAAATATCGCACATATACTTTTTGAAATTTGTACGCGCGTAACAGCATTGGCTGTTCTTTAAAATATTCGTTAATAAATTACACTTATACCCTCTAATATTTATATGNAAAGAAAAAGTTCAATACAATAATAATAATAACATGATTCTAGTGTTACTAGCCATGCGCTAATTCTCTATGGCTAGTGCATTCTCAAATTTTGTATTTTAATACTACCTAACTAGTTGATTGTATATGATTGAATATTCTAAGTTAAGTCTTTCATTCATGTACACGAGACACAAAATGTACAAGAAGAAAATGGATAACAATCGAGTCAACAACATAGTCATTGATTGAAGTAGCAACCTCCAAATTACACCACAAGAAAAATAACATCAGCCGTCAAAAGAGGTGTTTAACGGGTATCGACCATTATTATATCTTACAACTATCATAATAGGAACTAAATCCTCTTCTCTTCTCTTCTCTTCTCTTCTCTTCTCTTCAGTCATCAAATGGCTCCTGGATTTTATGATACTGTATGATTTTACCTCATGTTTCCACGTTTTTAAACGTGTCCGACCTTGGGGCATTCATCCCTAGAAGTAGGAGAAATAAACCTCATAAATCAAACAGTAAATTGACAACTTTTTTGAGCACTAAAATCTAATACCATCCTTTGACTGTTTCCTAAGACAGTGCCTAAACATTGAGTCTGTGTTTCAATCATTTCCAGGGTCCATTTCTTTTTCTTTTTTCGTAGATCAATTATAGGATACTTTTGAGTGACTATCATTGCATTATTTTACAATAAAAGGCTAAAATTTGATAAATGCCCAGGAAGGGCTAGCTTCGTTATTTCTTCAACAGATTGTGAAATGGCTGGTTCTGGCGCTCCATAGAGGCTACCGGCTAGTTTACATCCACCACTTCCACTTCTAATCCATTCGCATACTTGAAAGACTAACTACATGTGTTAGCTGTTACCTTCACTAACATATAGACTTTATAAGCTCAACCATCGTGTTCAAAGGCATCAAAACATATTGCCCAGATCATAAGTAAGAAGGAATCAATACTGAATTCATTCATAGGCATAACCATATTACATAACACTAACACCAAAAAATAATTATAATTACCTTTTTGGTTATTTACAATGAGGACTGCTGAAGCACCAGCAGCTTCTGCAACATTTGCCTTGGTTGTGAATTTGCATTGACCTCGGTCCACCATGACGACATCTCCACTAAACTAACATATCCAATCAACAAATAAATGGGTATCAATCAAGACCTATCAAGTCTCAAGAATGCCAAATCCATTAATGTCAAATATATAGGTAGGAAGGGCCGAAAACCTTGTTCTTTGGCGGACTGCAACAATACCGAGGGTCTGAAAGAGTAAGGCGAGTTTGGATTGCATTTTTCTCTTTCGATACAACAGTAGTGCCAAATCTAGCACCAACGCCAACAAACTCGGCATTCTCTCTGCCATCAACCCAAGTTTGAACTTTTACCTAAGAAAAGAATAGTATGTTGATGAATAATTTATACTGAGAGAAACCACCAAATCGCTAGACAATAAACGACTATGAAAGAAGCCCCCAAATAAATCACATCAATACTTCTAAGCTTTCATAAAAGTAGAACTAGATCATAATACTAGCTTTAATGAGGGTAACTTTAATTAATATTGGTAAAATATTCTAACTCAAAGTAACAAATCAATTAGATACGTGAGGACCTTGATGCTTATTTGAGCTTACTTTTTATGAGATATCTAAAAGAAATAATGCCAAATCTTATACAAAAACAAACAAGTAAAATACCTCCAAATTACACAAGTTTAACCAACCTACGAAAAGCACAGGAATCTCCCATGATTTTGGTCCATAGCTAATTGTCATTACATTGAGCTTGTCATTGATATGATACACCCCCCACACACACGTGCATTACAAATGTATATATATGAAAACAAACTAAATAAGTAAAATAAAGACGACCCAGTTATGGGAATCACAGAAATATGAACTAGGTCGAAAAAGATACCAGTACAAAATCGTTGTCGCAACCAGGCTTCTTCGGAGCGGAATCGTCGTCGTTGACTATATCACTAGCTGTCACGGTAGCTGGATGGTTGAAAAAGACTACAACGATTGAATTTAAACACAGTATAGCCGCGCAAAGCCTCCGTAAATCCATGAGATTTGTTCACAAGTTTTATGCTTCTCGTTTCAACTGCATCAGAACCTCTGAGCAATATGCAGTTNAAATAAATAAGAGGTCAAACTGTAATGAACACAATATCTTATATCTTTAATTGAGATAGTTTGGTCATTTAATAGATATATTTAGATCCTTCAAATTAAAAAAATTATACTTACACAAATAATACTTCAATCAAATATAGAATACAAAAAAAATTTAAATTTTACAACAAAAATTTATGTTTTATTGTATCATTTATTGATATAAAATAAAAAAAAATCTAATTTAAAAAAATCATAATTAATATAAAATTTATACCTTTTTTTAAAAAAAAAAAAGGAGAAAATTTTATTGAATAATAGTAAACTATCTATTGAAATAAAAATAAAAATAAAATAAACAAATGATGAAACTGTAATGAACACAATATCTTCAATCTTTAATTGGGGTAGTTTGATCGTTTAGTAGATTGTCTAATTGTATAATAATTATGATTCATTTTACAAAAAATAATTTTTTATTTTTTATCAATAAATGATATAATAAACACATTAATTTTGGTTATAAAACTTAGAATATTTGCTATTGTATCTTTAATTGGATTATTTTTAGTTTAAATATAACATTTTAAACCTAAAGGATCTAAGTATTACACATTTATAAACTTCAGAGGGTTTAAATATAATTTATTAATAGACTAGTCATAACCCGTGCCTGAAGACACGATTAAATATAAAATTTGAGAGTCCAAAAAATTGATCCCATTATATTAATTTTTTAAAAATTTATTAACTATAAATTAATCAAATATTAAATGATTAAATATATGATAGAAATAAGTGACATGATGTTTTTAAGAAAGAAATATATAAATGATTAAATATATGATAGAAATAAATGATACAATTTGACATTTGAGTCTAACAAATAGATGATAGGTGAGATAAGTAATTGGTGATGGTTTTGAGGGTGAAAATATGAGTGGGATAAAATTCAAACACACTCATGTTTTATTATATAGATATTCTAAGATATTGATGACAGAGTCTAAGTGTTATGTGCATATAATTTTTAGGGGGTATGTGTATAACATTTTAAATATTATAAAAGTCTAAATGATTAAGTGATAAATTTTAAGGACTCTGAGTGTAAATCTCTATTTTATTTTTATGAGATCCGAGTATAGATAAAATTTTTAGTATTATTATGTATTTTAAAAAATGTTGAGATTTTTTAACCTATTTTCATAGTTGTTTTATTTTCANGGTCCAAGTATAGATAAAATTTTTAGTATTATTATGTATTTTAAAAAATGTTGAGATTTTTTAACCTATTTTCATAGTTGTTTTATTTTCACATTTCTGGTGTTTTAAAATTTTTTCTATATCTCAACAAATGTTTAAGAATATTTTAGATTCAATTTTTTTTAGTTTTTTTTAACCCAACAAGTCTTATTTAGATTGATTCAAGAAATTGATTTTATGAGTGTTTCTTCTAATTTTATAAAATTTTGTCGTGAGTTCTATATAACTTTTTATTTTGTTATATTCATAAAATATTATTAATAATGTAAAAAATAATAATATTTATATTTTGGAAACTATTATACATAATTTATGCATATATGTAATTATTTTTTATTTTGACCCAAAAAATCCAAAAAAAAATTAAAAAGTCAGACTTTTTTTATGTTTTTAAAAAACACCCAAAACAATTTTGGGGAAATTTTTTAACTCAGATTTTTTTGTGCAATCCTTTGCAAATCTCTGTAAATCCATGAGATTTGTTAACAACCTCCGAACAATATGTAGTTATGTATGGAGAGGCAGAGAGAAAAAAAAAAAAGAAAATTTTCAATCACATTCTTTTTAATTAATTATATCTTCAAAAACATCCTCTCTACTTTCTAAATGTTCACTGATGCTCCTGTTAGATTAAAAGTATTAATTAAAATGTAATTTTACTAAATTATTTATGATATATTTTAGAAAATTTTTCATCTATACTCCTTCTAGATAGATATATCTTCAATGAGACCCCCTCTATTTTCAAATTTTTTTTACGTTATTCAGATCGATTAAAATTTTATTCAAGCTAATTAAAATTTGAAGCGATTAAAAATTAAATTTTTTTTACGTATTAAAATTTGAGCTGATTGAAATTCTATTCGAGACTCAAATCAAATTTTAATCAACTCACATTAAATTTTAATTGGCCCGATTTTTTATACAAAAAAATATAAATTTTAATNTATTCGAGACTCAAATCAAATTTTAATCAACTCACATTAAATTTTAATTGGCCCGATTTTTTATACAAAAAAATATAAATTTTAATACGTAAAAAGTAAATTTTAATCAACTTGGATAAAATTTTAATAAATAAAAAATATAAATATTAATTAATTTGAATTAAATTTTAATCCAGGTTAACAACTCTACCTGCGCTCAAATTGACTTGAATTTTAATACTTAAAAAAAGACTTTTAATAGGCTCAAATTTTAGTATGTAAAAAAAATAAAATTTAATCAGTTCGAATCAAATTTTAATATATTGAAAAAAAATTAATCAGCTCGAAATTTTATTTGTAAAAAAATAAATTTTAATTGACTCAAAATTTTAAGTAGAAAAATTATTTGGGATTCACGTAATGACAATTTTAGTATTTGAGATAATTTATTTTTGTTATAAATGATTGTTTAATAGCAGGGATTGTCAGTGATGTTTAAATATAAACTAGAAAGGATGCCAACGATGTTTTAATAATAGAGAGAGTGTCATTAAAAATATGATAAATTAGAAGAGGTATAACTGAAATTTTCCCAAAAAAATATAATCAAAAACAGTTGTATACAGGTTGATTTTTTGTGCCAATCAAAGAACAAAAGATGGATTGGTTTTCATTTTCCCGGGGGAATGTATAGGTAGTGGAGGGTGTAACAGAGACGACAATTACTCCGAGTAGAATGGATAACGCGGTCTTCTCAGTCTTTTTTTTATGGGATTAGGTGAATGGTTATCCAAACTCATCTCTGATGATCAAAATTTTGTTTTGAAAATCACCCAAATATAGAGATCGAAATAATATATTGATTGAATCGATACAAAAATTTGGAAATTTAGCGCTAAAATATTCTTACAACATTTGTTAACTTGTACGGAAATATCTTGAAATACTTAAAATATAAAAATATTTTAAGATAATTATAAAAATGTTGAAAATTTTTAGAAATATAATCTTTGTAAAAATATTATTACAATGTTTAAACTCAGGATGTTTAGGATTAGAATTCGTGAGAAGTATGCCTCATGAATATCTTAATTCCAAAGTGGATGACTTACCATTGATCAGATCAAAAAAGGGATTAGGCGACGTCTGTTGAAAAAAAATGAGAGAATTATATCTAGATCTCTTGAAATTTGTCATTTAATCACTTAGATCCTCTGATATTTAAAATATTATACACAGACCCCCTAAGATTTGTAGGCATGCAATACTTAGACCTCTGTCATCAATGTTATTTGTAAATTATACCCAAACATCCTGAATTTTGTATGCGTGTAATATTTAAACTTTTCAAGTTTAAAATATTATATTTAGATAAAAAATATTCTAATCAAAGACAAAATATTAAATATTTTAATTTTTATAACTAAAATTCATATTCTATTATGTAATTTATTGAAATAAAATTAAAATTTTAATTTTTAAAAAAAAAAATCATAATTAGTATACAAATATGCTATCTATTAGAATAAAATTAAAAACCAAACAAAGGCACAATATTTTCTATCTTTAATTAGGGAAATTTGGTTGTTCTATAACTAATAAAAGAATATTTAAATATAATATTTTAAATTTGAGAGGTTTAAGTATTACACGTCTACAAATTTTAAAGAGTCTAAGTATAATTTGCGAACCACGAATATTGACATAGGGGCTAAGTATTACGCACATACAAATCTTAGGAGATTTGTGTGTAATATTTTAAATATAAAAAAATTTAAATGATTAAGTGACAAACTTAAAAAATATAATTCTCCAAAAAAAAAAAAAGATAAGAAAAGAGAAGGAACGGTAGGCTGATGTATGCAGGTAAAAAAATCTTTGTTAAAAAACATGGCAATACATGTATGAGGTGACAGGGTTATTTTTTTCCTTCCAAGGGATAGTAATAGAAAAAAATTATTGTAAAACGCTTTCCATATGTCAAAAAACACTAACTGCACCACATCCAAATAACCCTGAGGCTAATTGCTGTCCAATTTATCGTCTAAAATTGAATCACGTGAGTGAAAGGTGGATGTTGAATCAATATGCTTGGCACCAAAATATGTGAGAGTTCTATGTGAATCAATATGCTTGGATTTTACACTTAAGCCTATGCCCCTCCCATCTCCCACTCACGTGATTTAGTTTTAGACGGCAAACTAGATGACTGTTAACTTCAAGAACATATTGATATAGATTTATATATTTAAAGTTGTAAATTAATTTTTTTAAACTTTGAGGGTACTAATTATGATAAATCTTTTGGGGTGCAATTTGTGATTAAGCCAATGTTGCAAGGAATTTATCTATTTCATAGATGTCTAGAAGGGAAACATTTTTTTACTGAATAGAGGAGGGTATTTGTGTAATGATTTTGCTGTCTTGATTTTTAATGACACTGTATATGAAATGTAGGTTTTTAGAAGCAAACTAGACCTGTTCAAAAAAAAAAAGAAGCAAACAAGATGAATTTAGGTTAGAAGCTCATAAGCTGCCATTGAATTACAACAATAGAACAACTTAAGATTCACAATGTCACATGCCCCTTCAATTGCAGACTTTGCAGTGTACTTTTCTTGCAGTTGCACTAAAAGAGAACAAACATTTTCTTAAAAACTCAGAGACATTAAGCAGATATCAGGAGTACAATGACATCCCTATAACGATAACCACCCTCCACAATATTAATTCGACTTCAGAGGATAGGCCAAGATCCCAGAGAGCCCAATTCATAGAGAGTCAACAAGATGGGCTAGAACTCCCTTCATCAATTAGTTTAGACCTCTACAAGCGCATCCATTGAAGATTTGAGCAGGAACTGGTTCGTTGTGCAAATGCATCTTTAACAGCAATGGCCAAAAAGATAGTGTTCAGAGGAGTTAAAGCGGCACCAAAATATGGCTAGACACGACCATTTGCCTTCAAATGTAGGTTCTCATCAATTCAATCAGTGCACTCTATACCAGATGCATCAACGGGGACCTGCTCCTCCAAGTGCTATGGGGCTGATACTCCCATAATGGCTCCGTCTTTAGCAGCCACAAGATCTTCAATGCTTCTTTTTGGCACTGTATCAATGACTCTCTGGCAACCTGCAGCGGGATGGGCAAAAATACCCAATTACTTTAGCATGATCAACATTAATTCTCTTCCTCTCACGCCACATCAATGACCCTCGAGTACAGTGCAGCAAATAGAGAATAAAGTTGCCCCAATAGATGTTGCAAGATCTATAATACGAGCTTACATTGTTGTAAGAAACCATTCACTTTCTCTTCTTTAGATATCATTGGAGCTAAAAGCCTAGTATTTGTCACAAATAGTTGATAGTAGATGACATAGATCTTGTGAGACAGTCAAAGAATTACAGAATGCTGTATGCTATAAGCCAAGCTGTCTGGAAAGGCCCTATAGGCTGCTTTACCAGACTCACAAGGCAAAAGTGGTTCTTTTCAAGCTATTGATGATCATGACAAGTACTTAACTTTTTTAACAAGTAGTCACGAGAAAGTAATCATGTGTATATTCATATTTATAAATACAGTAATTGATGATTTCATATATGGAACAGGAAAAAGTGAAAAATTACCGCCATGGGAATTCACTCGTGTCAATCCCAGCTTGGTGAAGCTCATCAACATATTGTAATGCTTCTCGACACTCTTCCCTGTCATCAAAGAACTCTTTTTTGTCACCTTCCATCTGGTATGTTTCGTGGCCTTTGCCGGCAACCACCTGCAGCATAGAAACAGAAACACAAGATTAGTCAGGAAATAATTGAGAGAGCACACACGGTAACTGCTCTTAAGCATCCAAAGAGGAAGAGAAGGAAACAAAGACCATCAGTTTCATTACTGTCCCAATCTCAACCTCTAAACGGCAAAAGCAACATAGTGGTAAGGAGCACCAGAGCAAATTACAGAGTACAACGCAGTAAATATGGTTTTCTCAAGGTTTTAAGCAATATTATCATGTTTACATTCTGTTTGAATGTTAAAGGCTTAGGTAATGAGTCTGTTCTAAATGTCAATAATTTCATTTCCCTTATTGGAGTTCATATTAGAATTATGTAACTGCAAACCTGTTGTGATGTTTGAGTATTAATTTGAGTCACCAACAGAGAAGAGAAGCAGGAAGGGGCCCTAAAAAACTTACAACAATATCACCTTCCTCACCCATGGCAACAGCACAACGTACGGCTACCCGTCTAATATCATGCAGGAAGAGTCTGTGGCCATTGGGAAGAGGTGGGTAGTAATCATTCTCTCCATGTTTTAAGTAATCCTGCATAGTCCATCCAACGCCAGCCAACATGTCATCCAAGATGTCCACTGATGAAGATTAAATGACGAGGCATCAGTATCATGCTTCCAGGCATTTGATCCAGAACTTAGCATATTAGTCTTATTGCTTAAATTTGACAAGCTGAGGAAAAGAAGGACAGAGAGAGAGGGAGGGAAGGGGAGAGAGATTATACAATTGAACGTTGCATCGAAAATTCAAAGAAGCATGATAAACATAGAAGCATGCTGTTTGACGGTTCATTATCAGTGACAGCATGTCTCCTTCATGCTGTATGGTTTATTGTACTCACGTGGATCTTCATTTTTTGGATTATCGGATGTCAGAATCGTTACATCGCTTTTGTCTGTCGCGACCTTCGTCATCATGGGTCTCTTTCCTCTATCACCCTCTCCAACACAACCAAAAACTTCAAGTAATGCATGAAAATTTGGTTAGACAAGGATAATAAATATAATCTTTACGAACCTTAGCTACTACTCCAGCAGCAAAAATGCAGTAAGAGACAATAAATAGCGAAGTCATGTTTACAATCACAGTTATCTCCTGATATATAACCAACAATAAAAACACAGCAGCTTTTGACATCAGGAAAATGGGTGGTTATAGTAAGCAAATTATGGAAGAAAGTTACTTGTCAACAGGTTGACTTTTCAAGATCTGTTTCTAAATGAAGCAATTTCCAAGACCTTGTGATTTCAGTACTAACTACTTTCAACATCTTTAAACAATAAATGGTGCCACTTTGGATAAATGTTGAAACTCCTACGAAAGTTCAAGATTCCACCCTAATTAGGACTAACAATGGAATGCAAATGTACCACACAGGCTAAATAACCCAAAAACTGGAGAGATAGTCTCCGCCAAAAAATGGAGCATGAGAAACCATCGATTAGCCAACTGATTAACTAAATTTTTCGTTTCTTATGTCCTTTTCGGATAAGTGATGAAACCAGAAGTTACACTGAAGCTAAAATTCAACTTCCTATTAACAGTTGCTTGAAATTCGAACATATTTAATTGTAAAACAAAGTACAACTTAAAAACAATATCCTAACCAGTAAAAATATGGTATAAGGCCCTCCGTAGAAATAAAAGAAAAACAACAAAAGAAGAGAAAAGGAGTACGTATAAGAAGCATACCGGTGATAATCCTCCTTGGGTTGAGCTCCCTTACATTATCAAGCAGTCTTGACAAGGCATCGGGAGTATGAGCATGGTCTACGATCACAGCGAATGCCTGTTCCTCATCTATCAACTCACACCTACCAGGCACTGCATCAACCTCTTCAATCCCCCTAACGATATCCTCCAAAGGTGCCCCAACTGCAATCCCAACTGCAACAGCTGTGAGAATGTTGTAAATATTATGCCTCCCAAGCAACCCTGACGAAATCTCCAAAATACCTTTTGGCGTATTCACCAAAACCTGGGTTTCAAACAGAGAGAGCTCAAATTTCAATGGATGAACATCAGCATTCTTATTCTCCATTGCATAAGTCACAATAGGTACATCCAGGTTCCCTTGGGAAATAAAGAAAGCTGCACTTGGGTCATCGATGTTCACAATTTTCCTATGTCGTTGTGGGTCCACCATCCTCGCAAACAACCTGGCCTTGGCATCCCTATACTCCTCTTCAGTCCCATGAAAATCCGTATGATCCTTTGTCAAATTCGTGAAGACCGCAATATCAAAATCAACCTCATCACATCTCCCTAAAGCTAGTCCATGAGAAGAAGCCTCCATCACCAAAGCTTCTGTCCCATTGTGCACCATCTTTGCCATCAACTTCTGAACCAAAACAGCATCAGCTGTCGTATTAGGCGACTCCAACTTATTATCCCCATGAACATAATATGCGACAGTACTCAACATCCCAGTTCTCAATCCCATTGCCTCATACATCCCCTTTATCAAATATGCAACCGTGGTCTTCCCATTAGTCCCAGTAATCCCAATAACAGACAAATTTGTACTAGGGTACCTATAAAAGGAAGCAGCCAATGCCGCTAGCACTGCATTTGTGTCCTCGACAATAACTAAAGCCTTACACCCTAATGTCTCCTCTATATCAATCTCTTTACTAGCCACTACTGCCACAGCCCCTCTCTTATCAGCCTCACTTAAATACAAATGCCCATCAGTTTTCCTACCAACACAACACACAAACAAATCCCCAGACTCAACCACTCTCGAATCATGCTGAATTCCACTAATCTCCACCTCTAAGTTACCATATACTGATATGGGCACTATCTTACTCTCATCCAAAAGCTCATCTAATGACATTCTAAATTTGGGTTCGACTATTCTAGTTTTATTTATATCCAAACCATCAAAATCAATATCAAACGACGACAAATTTGATAATTGACCATTAAACATTTCGTCACTCACCTCAATATCAGAACTTTCCACGTCCCCCGAATCCTCATCCTCTTCAGATATCACAGTCAATCCTTGAAGATCCTTAATTTCCTCCAAATCAACCACCTCTTGAGGCTCCAATTCATCAATTCCTTCAAGAATTTCTTGCTCTTTCTTAGGATTGGGCTTTAGAAGGCCTTGTTTCACAAATTCTTTTCTTTTTAAAGCTATGGCTTTGTCGATCTCCCCGAACAAATCGTCCCCAGAATTGTCATTGTCAACGGAACTGGGATTCTCGGTTGGGTCTTCGACGTCGGCAAGGGCGTTAACGAATATGGACTGGTCTTTCTTGAACTGTTCTTCTTGGTGTTTTCGGGCTTTGGCAGCTTGGCGGTGGATTTGCTGGAACTTATTGACGCCGTGCATTGAGTCTTCGGGGGCCTCAGGTGGGTCGTCGTCCGATGGGTTTGGATAGAACTTGCCATCTGGGCCGATGGCAAATGGGGTGGTGGTGAGAGAAGTGAAATGGGTTCGGCGGAGATAAGAGAGAAATGGGTGGTGGAATTTTGGAGAAAGAGAGTGGTGGGTAGAGAGAAAAAGTGGAGGTGGAGGGAATGGTAAGAGGGAGAGGAAGGTGAGTGGCATCGTCTGTCGGAGTGTATAACAGAGAGAGAGAGAGAGAGAGAGAGAGATGGGGTTTAGCGTTGAACAGGAAGAGATAGGGGTTTACGGAGAAAACGTTGGGACAGTTAAAACGGTGACGTTTTAAAAGGTAGTTAAATCGTAGTTAGTTATTGCCCTTTCTTCTGCCTGATCTAATGGGTAATTTAAGATTCAAAAATTAACCGCCTAAGTTTTAACAACCGATTACAGTTTTTAAATAAAAAATAATTTTTTAAAAAATTTTATTTAATAAAAATAATCTACATATATTTTAGTACATAAAATATATTATTTATATACACATATTATATATAATTATATATTTAATTATGATTAAAAGAACTGAGTAAGTTTCAATTAGAAAAACAAAAAAAAATTAAATTTAAAAACAAAATACTATTTAAAGGACTCTTTAACCAGCATATTTTTTTCTTGTAAAAAATTACGGGGAAAGTCAAGAAAATTGTGATATTTAATATAAACTCTCATTGTACCCTTAATATTGAAAAAGCTTAATATGAGTTAAGTTAACCATAAAATTTAACCCGAAAATCTGGGTTTGAATATATCCTTGTCTCGTAATTAGATTAAGGGTCACTTTTTTTTTTAAATTAACTTTTATTTATAATATATATATATATTTTTCATTAGACTGATTTATAGTACAATTAAGGATAATTTAGATAATTAAAGAAAGTTTTTACCTTCTTTTCTTTCAAATAATATAATTAAATTTTTTAAAAAAATTCTAGCAAGTTTTTTATTCTAATCAAATACGTGTATAAAAATATATTTTTCTATCTTTTTCTTTTATTTCACTTTACTTTCTATCACTTTTGATTTCATAATTTTTTCTTTCTAACCAAATAAACCGGTAGTGAATGAGAAACTCATGTATATGTATTTAAGTCCAACCTGAGTTCATACTAAATAAGCGATGTATTAAAAAATATATATATTAAAGAAAATCTCAATACTCGAATTTGGGGTGGATTAGTTGATTCATTTTTGTTTTGATACTTTAGCAATTTAGGAATTAACCTTAGTGCACTTGTGTAATTAACAATCAATAAAATTATGAATTTCAAATGAATTTATCAAATATTGTAATCTAAATGATATACGCGAAAGTTTTACATTGAATGTTTAGTGAGAGTAAGTGAGATCCACTAATATAACCATCTGATTTGATGTACAAAATTTAGTAAATAATTTAATAAGTATTATTTTTAAAAAATTAATAATTATTTTATTTTTGAAATTTAATCATCTCCAATTTGAGAGGTTGGAAATTAGAAAAATTGGCCTACAATCGACAAATATATAATTTTTTTTAATTTAATAATCAGGGGTATCTAAGTCATTTTATGCGCATCTCCATTAATCTCTTTTCTAATCTAGTTCGATTAATCAGGCCGAAACTATGACTAATCTCTTTTTTGATCCAAGTGTTCAGATCAGTTTATGCAAATCTCAACTAATCTATTCCTTGATTCAGTTAAAAATATATTATTCATGTCGAGATTACAACTAGTCTTATCTATGATCTGATAAAAAATATACCATCAGCGTTATAACTAAAATATCTATTAGGAGTGAAATTTGAGTTGGACAACCCGATTTCAACTCAAAAAAATTAGGGTTTGGACAAGAATTTTTAATATTTGGGTTGAACTTGAGTCAAAAAATTCTAACTTGAATTCAATTTGGACTGGGCTTGGGTTAAAGCCTTGTGAACCCAAACATGACATATTAAAAAAAAAATTATATATATAACATTAATACTGATTTTTCATTTTTGTTCTATCGTTCTTTGTCTCTCTCATTCTCTTAGCCTCTCTCGTTAAAAACTTGGCTAAAATTATTGGTTGTTAATTTAGGTGAATATTATGTAATATATGTATTAGGTTTAGAACAACAAATCTATTTTGAGTTTTATCCAAATTGAACCCGTAAAATAACTCGGAATCAGCCTTAAATCATCAACTTGAGTCCGCCCAAATTAAACTTAGCAGTACTCAGGTTAAGTTTTCCAACTTGAGATAAGGTTAAGGTTAAAAATTATATCCTTAAAATTGAACTAAGATTGATTATCCAATCCGTCAAAACCGCCCGACTTGCTGCCATAATATTTAAATAAACTCTCGTGACCAATTGAATTACTTTAGGTTTCTTTCTCAAATTTGCCAAGCGAAAAAATAATATATTCCTCGGATATTTGGGTACATTTCCGCCAAACCCCGAAAACTCTAGTTTTCATTTCTTGTCTCCCTCTCCGACTCTCTCACTCCCTCACCACTCACCAGACCTCCAAAATCATAGCCATGGAACCTCAGGCGGTGAAATCAAATCTAGTTCTCATTTTAGACTATGGTTCCCAATACAATCACCTCATCACACGCCGAATCCGAAGCCTCTCAGTCTTCTCTCTATGCTTTTGAGGTATATCATCACTCAAATCCATAACCGACCTACACCCAAGTGTAATCATCCTCTCTGGTGGGCCACACTCTGTCCACGATGCCAACGCTCCTTGTTTTCCACCTGGGTTCGTGGAGTACGTTGAGTAGAACGGCGTGTTTGTTTTGGGCATATGCTATGGATTGCAGTTGATTGTGGAGAGACTGGGTGGTAAAGTGAGGGCTGGTCAGAAGCAGGAGTATGGGATGATGGAAATTGAGGTTGAGAAAGCTTGTGGGTTGTTTGGGAACAAAGAGGTTGGTGATAGGCAGGTTGTGTGGATGAGTCATGATGATGAAGCTGTGAAGTTGCCTGATGGGTTTGAAGTGGTGGCTAGGAGTCATCAGGGTTCAGTGGCCGGGGTAGAGAATCGGGCAAGAAGGTTTTATGGGCTTCAGTATCATCCCGAGGTAATTGGATAAATTGATATGCTTGGATTTTGTGGTGTATTGTATAATTGGTCGTTTTAAAATTTTGTTCTGTTGTAAATTGAATGACGCATTGAGAGAGCAGAGGATTCTTTGAAATTGGTTTTACCGAGTATGAATTTAGGTTTGTGGAATATAATGTGCCAATTGTTCTGGAAGTCTGGTTCTTGGTTTTGATAAATTGAATGGTGCGTGTTCAAAAATTAACAGTAAAGAATAGGAGATAAAAGTGCATTACGTAGAAATTTTTTTTTTCACCTAATGGATAGTACTAAAATCTTACCGTTCTGGTTCAAATAAATGACTGTCCACTCGGTTTGGACAGCTTAAAGCTTAGCTCAGATCCATTTGGTTATGAAATGTAGGTTAATGGAAAGTTGGTAGGTTGATGTGCTCAGCAGGTATAGAAGTAAACTGAAATATGGTTAAGGTGTAAAGACTTAAAGGAAATGTGACATGATAGAATTCAAGTGAGTTAACTGGATAACTCGTTTATTTCAGTTGTATTAAAAAGCCTTATAAAAGCTGACTGATGCTGTGGTGGTCTGGATTACATCAATCAGCAAGTCTGATGCATAAATGAAGGTCAAAAGGATAACCATTTGTGTTTCCTAAAGTCTTGAGATATCCGTATGTATAATAGTTTTCTAATTAATGGATATATGGTATTTATTGAGCATTAACAAATTTTTGTTCTAGACCATGAGTTTGTTGAAGCTTGTATAGGTTACACATTCACCAGATGGAATGGAAACACTGCAGCATTTCCTGTTTGATATTTGTGAGTCGTTGCTGACTGGAAGATGGAAGATGGAAGATGTACCAGATGAAGAAATAAAAGTTATCCGAGGCATGTTGGGGCCTGAAGATCATGTCATTTATGCACTGTCCGAGGGTGTGGATTCCACTGTTGCAGCCACTGCTGTTCACCAAGCAATTGGAGACAGGCTTCACTGTGTTTTTGTTGATAATGGTTTATTGAGGTGAGATTGCAACCAGTTTTGACTATAAAAGCAAAAAAGAAATTGAATGTCAACTTCTATAGTAACTTAGGGTGTACTCTAGAGAAGGATGATAATTTTTATGCACGCCGAACACTTGATTATGGTCTTTTGTCCCTGCAGGTATAAAGAGAGAGAGCGGGNATGCACGCCGAACACTTGATTATGGTCTTTTGTCCCTGCAGGTATAAAGAGAGAGAGCGGGTAATGGAAACTTTTGAAAGGGAACTTCATTTACCTGTAACTTGCATTGATGCTACACAGCAATTCCTTGGCAAGCTGAAAGGTGTGGTTGATCCAGAGATGAAGAGAAAAATAATTGGAAAGGAGTTCATCGCTATTTTTGATGCTTTTGCCCAAGATTTGGAGCAAACAATGGGTAAGAGACCTGCTTATTTAGTACAAGGAACATTGTACCTGGATGTGATTGAATCTTGCCCACCATCTGGAAGTGGAAGAACCCACTCCCACACGATCAAGAGTCATCATAATGTTGGAGGCAAAGTTGTTAGTATCGTACGATACACGATACGTATCGTACGATACGTTACGATACAGACCTAAAACGATACGGATCGTAGTTATGTATCGTTTTTGCGTTGTATCGTCCGATACACGATACGTTTTTACGATACGATACGTATCGGTACGAAACGCACGATACGTGCAAATTTTTTTTTTTTTTTTTTAAAACGACGTTGGTTGAAGTGTGTTGAATTTTTTTTTTTCAATTCCCTATAACCACTGAAACGACGTCGTTTCAGTGGTTAGGGTTACAAAAAAAAAATT